CAAAACGCTTTAGATATCTTGAGTCTACGTACGGAATAATTATACGTCTTTTTCGTGTCCACTTTTTTTGGTTCTGGCTTGGACATAGATATCATAAAATATTATTGGGGTAGAAATTGACCCGAAAATGTTTTCCTAAACTTACATAGCCTAAATAATTTTGATTAGAAAAGTTGTATATGATTAGGCTTTATTGACTTAAATAGAATGATTTAAATGTTCATATGGACTTGTCAAAAGCATTTGATAGTCTACCTCATTAACTTCAACCGGCCAAATCAAATCTTATGGCTTTGTGAAAAGCAATGTTAATTATGTATAGTTATATCTAGAAAAAAGAGTACAACGAGTAAAAATAAACTCAGATTTTAGTGATTGAATGGAAACAAAGCAAGGAGCTCTTCGATGATCAATCTTAGGCCCGTTTACATAAACAAAACTTTTCTGCATTTGAACAAAAGCAACTTATGCAACTATGCAGATGACAATACAATCTGGCTGCCAAGCACTGATGTGAATAAACTAACTGACGACTTAAAATCGGTAGCAGCTATTCTTAATAGATGGTTTTGTGAAAATTTGTTGATGCTCAAGGGTGCTAAAAGCAAGCTTATAACTTTTAAAGCCAACCGATCCAATTCAGATAAATCAAAAATTCAAATAAATGGTTCTACTGTTAAACTATTGGGAGTAACATTGAATCAACAATGTAGATCAGAAGAACATATCAAAAACTTTTATAAAGACACTAGAAAAAAAGGTTAACGCTCTAGCCAGGGTTGTTTCGTACATGAATGAATCTAAGCAAATACTTTTAATGAAAACCTCTGTTTTATCATATTTCAATTATTTTTCCTCTTATATTGCTGTTTTGTAGTAGAAAAGAATTATTTATTCATTATTTATCCATACCATGTTAAGTTTGGCTGTGATTAAACATTTAGGCTCTATGTGACTCGAAATTCAAAGATGCATTTTTGTTGCGTCATCACACAAGTTCCGTTGATACATTTGGGCTAAACCAAAAAGCTTTTTCAACAATATCAGTTAACGTATCACTTTGTAACAAGGTCATGGATTCTGGTTTTACATCAGTGAACCACTTTTCTGCAAAGGGGCGAATTGGTTTAGGGTCACCGGTTGCCGCCATAGTTGATAAGTGCAAGGGAACATGTCTTATCCTTCAATAATTTTCATTCAAGATGGAGCTCATAAAGAAAGAAGAAAATACTCAACATGAAACAAATTTAGAAGAAAGAGAACGGTGGGACCGGAAGATTGAGTTTATTTTCTCGTGCATTGGCTTCGCTGTTGGATATGGCAACTTTTGGCGCTTTCCATTTAAATGTTTTAAGAATGGAGGAGGTTAGTTTGCAATACTTCCTTTCTCTTTCTGATTATGTCTACAAACGTTCCAGACGGAACAGCAACCAAGCGCCTAATTCTTTCGTAACATTAACCTACACCCTATTGGTTCTTGATATAGCCCAAAAGTTCGCAAGCAGATTCCATTCTATCTACACATAAGTTTGTGTTGCTACCAAAAAAAGACGATAAATACCTGGTTCGGTATTCATAGTGCACCAGTTGGTTCCCTTTTCACAACTTTACGTATTTTTATAAAAAGCTAAGTTTGGGATTAGTACTCATCTTCTAATCTGTTTTGTTGGTTTTAATACTAAAGGTTTCATGAAGGTTTCTTAAATGCCAAATATAAAGAGCTACCTTAAACATAATACTTAAACATAAATCTAACACTTTATCAGTGGCATGGAGTCTTTCTTCATATTAATATAACATAACAAATATAACATAACAAACATACATAACATAACATAACACAACATAACATAACATAACACAACATAACATAACATAATATAACATAACATAACATAACATAACATAACATAACATAACATAACATAACATAACATAACATAACATAACATAACATAACATAACATAACAACATAACATAACATAACATAACATAACATAACATAACATAACATAACATAACATAACATAACATAACATAACATAACATAACATAACATAATATAACAAACTGTAGTTGCCTAATAGTCGAAAATGATTCTTTTCATCCAACCTTTGAAACAAGGATTTTCAAGCAGCTGCTTAAGCTTGATGGTGATCAGGACAATGCTTTCTTATTTCTACCGGTCATATTAGGGTTTAGTTTCTTCAAAAAAAGCATGTATCAAAAATTAACAGATAAGATAGCATGCTTCTAAAGGACAACATTATACCAGTAAAGCGCATCCACTGAATCAAATCATACACTGATGAAATTTTTAGAGGCACTGGAAAAGCCCGTATCAAAGCCCCGTCTATATAAGAATAGGTGTCTGTGTTTATGCAGCCTATAAAAAGAAGACTTCATATTTCTTTATTATTTTGCAAAAAAGGATAAAAAGGTTATATAGGCTCGGGCCTTGGCTTCATTACTTGTATCAAGGGATCTGGAGCTCAGGCTATACCTCTGCTCCAGTGGTGCCGTGGAGGGGGCTCAGGAGGGGTGCTCAGGGGGCTTAGCCTTTCCTTTCTACTCAATTGCCTTTCCTGAAAAACAAACGTGTTGATTAGTAAAATTTGTTGAATTTTATTACATATAATTTTTATACTTGAATATCATCCCATAAAGTTCTCTGGACAAACAATCTGAAGTGAAAATTTTCCATTTTCATGATAATGCCTCTTCTAAACTCAATTCCCTTAGATATAAGGTCCTGCAGCTAAGTCATTTCAACCTTGAATTTTCAATAGCTTTCCGTCTTTTCAAAGATTTTCCTAAAATCAACAATTCCAAAAATATTCAGCACCATTTCAAGAAGTTAGAGGGTTTTCTATAGAGAGAAACTATTAAGGGAGACTTTCATGGTGTTTTATATGAGCATCAGTCTATTTGCATCAGGACCCAAGTATTCAATTACTATCACAACAAAGTATATCCTCTTTAGCATTGATCATTTTTATCTTAGGTGCATTTCTAGTTCCTTTTGTGATATGTCTCCTTCTTGCCGGGGTTCCACTTTTCTTTTTGGAGCTGAGTGTTGGCCAGTTTACCCAGTCTGGTCCGGTTAAAGCTTGGAAGAAAATTTGTCCGCTTTTTTCAGGTTGGATTTATTTTTGTATAGTATCTAGTTATATTAAGGGGTGATTGTAATAAGGGGAATAGAACAAAAGGTTCCCGCCTTTAATCGATTTTTGTGATTGAACAAAATACTCTCCTGTAACCCCTCTGTCATTGCTACATTGTATGAATGCTTTGATATAGGAATACCAAAGCTTTGGCTTCCTTTAATGCTACGATGTGAAATTTTGACGGGCATATTAACATGAGCTTAATTGGAAAAGAGCTCTTTATGCCCATTATCTGTTTAATGATTCCATAGCTGACTGATTGTGTAATTTCCACAGTTTTCACCTTAAGGGCTGGATGTTTACGTCATAAGTTTTATTGACTTAGACTGGTACAACAATGGCCTTCATCGGGCACAATTTTGTGAATATTATGTCTTTTTTGAAGAAGCCATGCAAAGACCTTCCTAAGTTAGCAAACATTTAAAGATATGGAGTCTAAATCACTTTTCATGATGAAGAACGAGCTTTTTCCAGTCATTTTGTTGAAAGGCTATGTTGTAGAAACAGAATTTATGGATTGCTTCATAGACGACTTATCTAACTTTATCATTTTCTCATTCATTTTTAGGAATTGGTATCTCAATGGTCCTTGTTTCATTCTTTTGTTCAATATATTATAATGTAATTCTGGCATGGAGTTGCTATTACTTCTTTAATTCGTTCAAATCTGATATACCCTGGGTTGGATGCAACCATAATTGGAACACAAAGTACTGCTTTGACCCTTTTTCGAAGGCAAATACAAGTGTAACATTCAATGAAAGTAGACCATCACCAAGCAGAGAGTTCTTTATGTAAGTACACCATTTTAGAATTGGTATTCATTAACTACCAGAATTTACAATAAACTCTCGATAACTCGAACTTCAAAGGGACTCACTGGCGAGTGTTTGAGTTATCGGTGGCATTCTTATATGAATGTATTGGGCAAGAGAAGTTGAATATCAGTTAAACTTATTATGCAAATTTTTCACTGTTCCTCGTCTCAAATCACAGGAGTGATGTGAATGGACTTTTGCTTTAGAAGCTGTTCTTCTTTGCAGTCGTTGTTGCTCTTAACTTGCCTGTAACTCACTTCAACAGACATGATGTGTTGCAGTTGAGTAAAGGAATCGACGCTGCTGGTGTTATCAACTGGAAGCTGGCCCTATGCCTTCTCCTTTCTTGGGTTATGGTTTACTTTTGCATTTGGAAAGGCATCCGAACAACAGGGAAGTTAAGTAAACTCATTTGCTGTTCTGAAATAAACATTTTATACAGATTTACAAAGGCGTCATATTAATTGTTTAGCTTTAAGGCTCTGGTCAACACTTCTATTCTTCAAGCATCAAGCGTATCGATTTACTTTGGATAAATACCATACAGTAGTTTTAAAAGTCTTGATGTTGATTGATTCTTCCACCAACCTCATTATCTCTTTTCCGTTTAATCTACTTTATAGTTTCACAGACAAATTTCAGATATACATGTCTTCTGCAACGAAAACAAATTCCCAGTTTTGGCTGATGCTATCGCCGAGTGTTACCTAATTGACCTACATGCATGAATTTTTATAGCTTATACTTTTTACAAACAGCAAGGGGGCTATTGCAATTGCTACAGCCCTCGCTCCCCTCCTTCCATTCCCTTTCTTGCCTCCTTCTCCTTGCTTCTTTTCCCTCACTCCTATCACCTTATTTCTCTCTATTTCTCCCTTCTTCTCACTCCCTTCTCCTTGCTCTCTTTTCTTTGTTTTGCCCCTTTTTCTCCTTCCTTGCCCCTTCTCAACCCACCTCACCTTTGTAACTCTGCCCCAAACATCACTTTGTATTTCATATTTTCAACAGGTCGTGTATGTGACGGCTACGCTCCCCTATTTGATGCTTCTGGTGTTCTTTGTCAAGGGTTTGACTCTGCCCGGTTCTTTAGATGGTGTTAGGTACTATATAACACCAAAATGGCACAAACTTCTGGAAGCTGAAGTAAGAATACACTTTTTATTTACAAAGAATTTTCTTATTACTTTTTACTAACTATTTTATGACAGAAAGCAAACATCAACCAACTTATCTCTCCTATGCATAACAGTGACTCTTGTTGTAACTGAAATAGATTCTTTAGGTTTTTTCATTGCAGTTAATACCCGAGTAAAAATTCGATAGCCTTATGAAGTAGGGACGTCTAACAAACCAGGGGGTACAGTGAACAGACAACTTTTATACTCTCATAGGAAATAGAAAGGTAATAATAAGATCGATTCTATGATGATTTGAAATTTGAGTGTCAACATTATGTAATCAGGTTGTTCTTTGCAGGTATGGATAGATGCAGCGTCTCAAGTATTTTTCTCCATTACAATAGGTTTTGGAGTGATGCTAACATTTGCCAGCTACAATCCCAAAAGAAACAATGTTTGCAGGTAAAAGATTTATTTCATTAGATAAGCTAGTTTCTCTTGAATCGTTGATCCATCGGACGAAAGGTTTAAAGTAACAGTTTTTACCCTTGTGCGCCAGGGTGTAAGTTCCATTTTTTTCTTTTGTAGAGGGGAGAGGGGATTGTCACTCTGCAAAATTTGATACCGACCTGTCTTAATTGAAATCTATAAATAATGATAAATTCATAAAAACTTACCATTAAAAGGGCCATTTTCAAGAAAGCTGAGAGGAAGGGAAGATTGTAGCCTTGCCTTCGGGGACATTTTGAAAATTTTGGGGCAAAACAATCTAAAGCCCTAGCAACGACTTTTTGAATTATAATTACTTCCCTAAAGATAGAATTGAAAAATGATGTTACCGATGAAGACATTCATTGTTAAAGTACCAAAATTTGCTTACCAGAGGCCCAAAAAATATCAATTTAGATGAGTAAAGCGTTTTTGGCAGCAAAAAATTAAAATCACTTATGGCTGGTTGAACTTGGCAACTAATACAGATAATGAAAGTTTAAGGTGGCTTCAAACGAACTGTTTTGCAAAACAAAAGACAAAATCAATACACTTATACTGGATGGAATGAAATTTGCCTGACTAGGAGAAAGGAGAAAGGTTGCTACATGTTAGTCTTAAAATTATCCAAAGCTGTGATCAGACATGAATACGAACAAACATGAATTTAGAACGTTAATAAAAGAAAACCAGGCCTAATACAACGGCTAAAACAACTCGAAACTAAAACAGCATGGTAAGCAAATTATCTAAGTTTCCATTGTCCAATAAGCTTTAATACAACATAACACGTGACTACAGCAAGCCTAAGATAATAATATAAATCATATATTCTAATAGTTAGGATATGAAAATAAAGATAAAGATTTGCACCTTCCACTCACTCTGAAGACGCAGAAGATGTACTGTGACTCTTTCATGAAAAATTAGCTGAGATATTCATTCTTCTTTGCTTTTATTGAGAAGGGGTCAATTGTTTTTTTGGGGGAAAATCTATGGACCACAACGTTTGAGACTTACGTTAATAAAAATTGTTAATATAATAACTTTCTTTTTTCGGATGTATAGAAATTGAGTTCTATCAAATGTATTATATTTAATTTCAGAGATGCATTGATAATTTCCATTGCTGACGCACTCACGAGCATCTTCTCCGGTTTTGTGGTATTCCTGATTCTTGGCTACATGGCAGAGATCCAGGGCAAAGATATCACCGATCCAAGCGTAGCCACTGATGGTAAGGCACATGAATGCTCAACCCTGTCTACATTAAATGCATTTTCAAAAGAAAACGTAAAGGCAATCATTTCTTCACATTTTTACATAACAACTTCAAACGGAAGAAAATAACGAAATCATAAGTGCATGCTAAGGGAGGGTGACGGAATCAATTTCCCATTCGTTAATGTTTGATTGAAATGTTAGATCACTAGTTGGAGTATAACTGGGGGTGGAGGTAGGGGAGTCGGGCATTTTTATATAAAGCTTTGCATTTTTGTGGATTTTGCTTTAGAGTAGAATTATAGACATATTTTGCTGCCAATGTGTGCAAATACTCGGCCCCAAGAAAAGTGCACCATCATTATACACAAACGTTTACAAGCTTTAGATGTCACTGTTGCAGGCAATAATTTATAGTAGCACCAGGAGTCTGAAGACGGCAATGAAGTCTTTTGTGGGGGGGGGGCAAGAAAAAATTCAACATCCATAAAAAAATTTGAAAAAGCACTATTCTCTTGCAAAAAAGTGGGGGCATACCCGGCGGGAATACCTGGAACGAGAAAAGATCATTTTTTAAATCTAAAAGCTTTGTTCTTTTCTCAAACTGTCGCAAATTTTACTTTAAAAATGCACGTGTGAAAATGGTTTTGTCATAAAAAAAGTTATTAGACACCATTACATGTAAAATTGTCTTCTTTACACACAACAACATTATCGCCTTTCATATACCAACTCTTTTAAAAAATTGGAAAATCAAAATTCCATACCTGGTCAAATGTAGCTTTGTAACCCCTTTTTAAGAAGTGACTCCCATTTTTTGAAGACGGAATTAGATCGCCGAGCAAAAATAAGCGCTATTTAGCCCGTTTCAGATTTCACCCTATAGCCTTTCCAACTCAATCTTCGTGATATTAACAGTATTGAATTGCAAGTTATTTTTTGCACTTTACTCAGGTCCTGGGTTAGTGTTCATAGTTTATCCAGCTGCATTGGCTACACTTCCCCAGCCTCAAGTTTGGGCTGTTGTGTTCTTTCTCATGTTGATCACTTTGGGATTAGACAGCCAGGTATCAAAACGTCTTTAACTTAGTATTCACACTCATTTCTGACGCAGCAAAACACCTTTATATCCTGTGGAAAATAGTCTTACATTTTACATACTGCAAGAATTGACTGTGTCTGTGTTTTCTAGAAAACTCATCTTTAGATTGTTCACAACAGTGAAATGAGACTAAAGTTCCGTTTGTTATTCTTGGCAAGAGGTGATATGTCCTGAACATAATTGTTGGGTAGCGGGTCCGTTATGTTTTTTCAAAAATTAGTCTGTAAATAAGGCAAAATTCAGTGCCAAAAAAGTAGAAATTGATAGTGAGACAATGAAGTATGACAATAAAACATTCATATGATAGGAGAGAGATTTTCTGTGAAATTTGTATTTGCTTACATATTAAATACATTTTTTTGACAATGATTGCTAGAGATTTTTAATACAAAACTCAGGTTTAATGACAATGAAAAATACACTTGTTAGCAATATTTTTCAGTTTGGACAAGTTGAGCTGATATGTGCCAGCATTATTGAAGAATATCCGAATCGTTTTAAAAAGTACAAAGAGCTTGTCGTCCTTGTCGCTTGCCTCGTCATGTTTCTTCTTGGTCTTAGCTGCGTAACTGAGGTGAGAATATCGAGGCACTTCAACTGCCATATCAAAAAAGCAATGTTCACATATTGACAATAGTGGTGCCACAGATGGGGGCGACTGTGGGGACACGAATTTTGCATTTTGTCTAATTTCGATGAGAAAATGCTGAGGGAGGGGTAACACTTTGGCAATGTACTTTTTGGGATGAAATACAATGATTTTTGAAACTGCCTTTACGCAACCAAAGGTTAGTCATGGGCGTTCACTTCAAGAAAAATTCGTGTTACTTGTTGGTAACAGGGCATTTCTGCCGGTATAAAAGGCGTGGCCTAAAATGTTGGTTTTTCTCACCCTCCCCCCTCCCTCATTTAGTGTTTCGTGCCAACACTGCAAATCGAATTTTCATAACTTTGATGAAGATAACTTGAGAAATTTAGTTGAATCCCTATAAGTCCTATCCCGAAAAGCTTAGACGTACACTAAGTCAGACCGACTTTTATTTTCCTTTAGATTAGTTCTTTTTCAATTCTTTTAAAGCTTTATATGTAATAAAACTGTGCACAGATGTTGAAGGTGAAGGTTACATAGGCTAGGGTATGACAGTGACATGAGATGTGTTTCGATATTTTTATTTCCTTTCTCCTAGGGTGGAATGTACGTGTTCAATTTGCTTGATTCTTATGCAGCTGGAGCAACTATACTATTTCTTGGCATTACTGAAGTGGTTGTTGTTGCCTGGATTTACGGTGAGGTGTTGCCTGTTTGTTTTACAAATTGGATTTACCCCATAAGCCAGTGTGGTGAATAAAACTGATCATAAAATTGCCAAATATCCTCACGTGCTAGCTTTGATGTTTTGCAAAAAGGGGTGTATAATTAATGAAACAGTCAAGTTACCAAACATGTAATTTAGGCCTAAAACAAATCCGTCAAACCAGTGATATAACAAATATTTCCAACAGTAACTTCTTGGAAATATTTCTTTAGGGCGATGAAAGATTAAAAGTTATTTTCTTTTTCTCTCTGTATCTTTTATTTTCACATTTGCTTTCTGCGTTTATGTCTTTACAAGTAAACATCGTTTTGTAGAATTGCTCTCTTTGGTATCGTCCTTTTCATGTTAGTAGAATAGTTCGTAGTTATTGTCTTTAGTAATCTCGTTCATGTAAATTTTCATATTCAATGCAAAAAATGTATAGTTGTAAACGTCATCAGTATTAATGTATTGATACACATATCCCGCAATAATAAAACATATCAATTTTGCAGTACATTTAAGTCTACAAAACTCTATTTAACTCTATAAAACTTTTTACCTTGTGTTTTACCTGTAGCATATTTCGTATTCAACAATATAAGCTATGACTATATAAATTCATTCTAACAACTTCTTTTAAAGAGTGATCTAATCGCGAAACAGGCTTGTGAAGATAAAAAGGGTAGATTGATTTTCTGAATCTCTCAAGAAAAATTCACTTTATATATTTAACAATAAATGTAGCAGCGATATGCTATCAGAGAGTGACTGATCTAAAACAAGATAAAAACATTATATATGACACATTTTTTATCTTTTTCATCATCTGATCTATTCATTTAGGTGCTGATCGGTTCAGAAAAGACATTTCGGCGATGTCGCAGAGGCCAGTTTCTGTTCTTTGGGTATATCTTTGGAAATATGTGACACCAATCATGACTGCTGTAAGGGCATTATAGTCGAATTCGAATTCAGAACTTAAAATGTCTTTAGAAATGTTAAAGTCTTTCAAAACTTGAAAACCTGAAGATAACAATTTTCAGAGAGAGTCAGGGAAAGCAAAATGGTTGATCGTGCTAGGCTCGTTAACTTTCAAATCATTCCTATTGTGACTCTGCGATAAGACTCATAAAGCAAGCTATAACCGAATTGTTCCTTAATCTTACTTCAAGCTTCTTATTTGCCATATGCCAACCAATTTGTACCAGCACTATTTTATTTTGAATCTTATTTTATTAGAAGTTTTTATTTTGTTCTTCAAGGTTAAACAATCGAAATTTTCCAAACAATTGATAAAATATACTGTTTCGTCATCATTATACAGCTATATTGTGGCATTTTGTGTTACCAGCTATTATATTTGTGTCATTTTTCTATAAGATATTTTGTGGCCCCTCGACGGAACCAAAGTTACTGACAACCTGGACTTTAGTACATAGAAATTTGTAGTGTTGCTTCATTTAGATTGATTGTAGAATCGAGACTTTATTTTCAGGACAGGTCACCTGACAAAGCTCATTTTTTAACAAATCCGTAGATACTCAAATCAATAGCTTTGACAATATTTTCCTTATAATTTCATCATCTTGTTAGTTTTTTCACTCTTAAATCACGAATATCATATTACTTGTCACTGCAAATAATGCTCTACAATATCTTCTTGTAACATGTATTTTATCTGCAGGGTATATTCATTGCATATCTGATTCAATACAAGCCACTGACATACGAAACAACCTACGTGTATCCCGTGTGGGCTGATGCATGTGGCTGGCTTATTGTAGCTTCGATTATATTGTGTGTTCCAGTCTTCGCAATTAAACGCTGTATGAACTCATATGGCACACCTCTTATGGTAAGTCTTTAAGTACTACAAATACTATCAAAAGGTTTATGCCAAATTTCATCTATCCATAAGCTTTAATAATCAACAGCACCCCTCTCTCCCTACCCCCTCTACCCCCATTTCCTTCCGTACGTTTACCCACATCTATCCCCCCTCTAACTTCTGCCTCTATTCCCATCTAAACGCCTTCCCCATCCCTCTACCCCTGCTACCCCCCTCTACCCCCTCTGACTCCCCTCTAATTTTGAAAAGTTTGATGAATCTCGTTTAGATAGTTTTCTGCCATTTGTAAGGTAATAAGGAGTCCATGCTGGATTTTTATACGTGAACGTGTGAGTATCATGGCTGTGGTAGAAGCCAATCGCGATGTTTTAGTAACATTCAATTGAAAATTTAAATATAAATACGCCTTCATGACTCTGTCAATGCTACGAACCCAAGTACAACAGTCAAACCTACGGATTAAAGGACATGTTAATATCTAGAAAATATTTTGGATTAAAAGCAAGCTGATAGCTTGCTTTAATACACATACATACGTTCATGCGTAAATTGCTTGCTTCAAATGTAGTCCAATTGCTGAATCTGTGGAGGAAAATTATGTTTATGTGACCTATTTACTCAGAATGATTCAAATCTAATATCTATTTGTAGAGATGTAAAGAATCAGTTTATCCAGATGACACGCTGCTATATGATGATGCAGTCGAACTTAAAGGAGTTAAGACGAAATAGAAATAGTAGAGAGATCAACAAAAGGAAGGCACGAATAAGAAAGAAGAAAACTTTTTTATCAATAATTTTTGTAACAGACATTTTTCTCTATCAGAACCGAAGCTATATTTTTGTAAAATCATTTACAGTAGTTGATCGCAAATAATGTTTGGTTGATGAAATGATTCTGTAAATCACAATCAGATTGTATTAGATTCCATATCTCTTCCGAAGAAGTTAATGTTGTTTTTTATCGTTTTCAATAATTTGCCTCATCTTTTTTAAATGAATATTAATAGATCAAAGAAAAAACTTAGTAACAGAGGTTTTATTTGTTCCGTTCGTGACTTTCTCGTGGTGTCGTCGAAGATTGAATCAAGCTGTTATGAATCAAACTACCAAAGCAAGATAACTATGTAAGGTGTCTTGTGCAACGAACATCCTTGAGGTCATCAGCAGTGTGATAGACAATCACTAAGTTAAAACCTTTGTAGTGCTATACCTAATAGAGGACTGGGTACAAGTGTCCCAGTCTAAAAACAGCTTTTGAGACATTTTTGAAGCTTGATATGTATTTTATCTTACTCAGCATATCTGATTGTGTACTTGTACCAAACTTCACGCTATTATTATAACATGCACAATTTTACTGCTCTGCGTCTGTACTATCAAGAAACTTCAGAAAGCAAGTTGTTTGACAAAACGAAAAGTTTCAACAGCCATAACATTTTGCTTATGGGTCAGATCACATTGTTCTTTTTATACCTTTTGCTCAGTTTTGCAATCTCTTTCTGATGGTATCATTAATTTTGAAAATTTTGAAATTCAAAATTTTGCTGACCGTGCATATTTCATGCTTCCGGAAACGCAACTCTGGTCATTTGTGAGAATATTTTGAAGGCTTGAAATTATCATTGGCTTTTACTCTTATGATTTAAACTTTAAAAACTTAGGTTAGGCAGGTTGCTAGATGGTTATGCAAAATTCCCTATCTATTTCGCTTTTCATGGTGGCACCACGCAGACTTTAAAGTGCAAAGCGACTCTTATCTTATCATATGAATTTCGAAAGTCCGTGCAGTTTCTGCTGAAGTCTACATCTGTCTCGTTGTCCCACCTGTAGTTTTGATTTATACAGAGCAGCAAGGGGGTATAATACTCGTTGATAAAACTCCCCCATCTCTCTCTCTCGCCTTAAGTGCAAAGCGACTCTTATCTCTTCACATGAATTTCGAAGGTCCGTGCAGTTTTAATTACAGTTTACATCTCGTTGTAGTTGTACAACCTGTAGTTTCATACAGAACAGCAAGGAGGTAAGATACTCATGGATAAGACTAAACAGGCTTTAAGTGCAAAACGACTCTTATCTCTTCATATGAACTACGAAAGTGCATGCAGTTTTTGTTAAAGTTTACATCTGGTTGTCCCACCTGTAGTTTCTTACACATGAAGTCCCATCTTGATTTTGTCCAAAAAAGTCTGAGTAGTAGAATGAAAGTAGGGTCGAAATTGCCTCTTTGAATATATTCAATTGCAAGCAATTCAAATATTAATAAAATTGTTGTCTCTTTCTTAACCCTAAGTTCTGAGAAACTATGCTATGCAATATTAGAAATCGACAGACAATGATTGTAGTTTCAGAGTTTGATACCGCTTAAAAAACTTCTTGTTGGTTAACATTTTTTCCTGGGTCCTTGTTTTCCGGTATGCCGCAAGAATGTCAGAAAGTCGTGCTTAGAGGAGGTCTTTTTATTTCATTTTAATAACCCATGAAAGAAATTAATTGTAAGAGTTTACAATTCACAATATTTTCGATCGGCAATCGCAACAAGGGGATTAGCAATTATGATCGATTGTGCGTTAAATATTGAGGCGTCCAAATTGAAACGGCTTTTTTTTATCACAATGAAACCAATACAAAAAGAATTGATCACTGTTGAGATGGAGGCAAAAAACATAACGTCATCGAGTTGCCTCCACACCCAACATTACAAATATTCCAAAACTTAACGCTATAAATACACTATAAATCCACAATACAGCACAACGGCTGGGACGTTTCAAAGAAACACAGTATTCTCTCCAATTTACGGACACTCTAAAAGGCGGACACCTCTGATCAGCGGACAAATTTTTTCCCCGATCGTTTTCTGGTCAAAGTCTCATAAAAAAACTCTCTAAAAAGCGGACACTTAACTAGCGGACACTCTAATTAACGGACAATATTTTTTGCACAAAATAGTCAATTTGGCTTTTTTTTCTTTCCGATTAGCGGACAGTACAAAAAATCTAGGAGCCAGGGAACAAAAAAAGAGGCGAATGAATATTTGTTCAAATATTTAATTCAAACACTTTGACACTTGACAATCTAGTTAGCTTTTTACAGCTTCGAGCTTCTTTACAGCCCAGTTTACTAACTTTTTTGTCCATGAAAGTGTTGTGTTACGCTCGATTTTGTCATTTTTCTTTTCTAAGTTCAACCCGATAGCCCCTAATCACCCAGATCACACCCATTACTCAGATCATTTGCTTCGACAATAACCTAAAATTTCATACGATGGGAGGGGGCTAGGTGCTTCCGACGGAGGGGCTGTAGCTCCCCCTAGCCCGAAGTGAAGATGAGCTGAATATCTAATTTGTTGATGATGAAGGAAAACCAGAAACAGAAAATTGATATGTATTGGATGTAGGGCCGTCGAATGCCACCTCGGGCTCACGAGTATTTCACAAAACTGGGCCGCCCTGAGAAAAATTTCTGTGACTATGCCCTTCAGTTTTCCGGAGAACTAATAAAAGACCCTCTTTAGGTACAACTGTTGCAAACGTTTTGAAGGGCTCATAACATAACTGTGCAAAAACATTGTATTCATGAGTCAATGACACGTGAACATCGTTAGAATCAATGCCCTTTCTCTATGATAAACTTACGGGCATTGATTATTATGAATAGCTAAAAATACGTTTCCTGCACAGTAAATAGACCTTGTAAAAATCTGATAGCAACATTGTGTAAGATTATTTTTGGCCCCATCGGAGCACAGGCCTAAAACTCTTTGCCCCTCCTAGCCCCCTCACTCTCGACGCTCCTGATTGGATTTAAAGTAAAACTCAAACAATATCAAGGAAAAAGTTTTTGCTATTTTGAAAGTCCATCGGTGTAAAGCAAAATTTTGTTAGCAATTTAAAATTTCTTAAAGAAAAAAATGTGGGTTCAAAAACATTCGGCGGGATTAATTTTCGGTTGCCCTGCTTCACCGAAAAAAAATGCCATCAAAATTTTTGATACCTAATGTTCTATGAATGAAAAGTATTTTGAACGGAAAAAACTTGAATTTTCTAACAAACATAGGTGGGTAGGGCAAAACGTGTTTTTTCATATAAATGGCACCATAGTCAATAGAAAAACTCTGGTCTAGAAGTCCTTTGTTTTATCCTTTTGTTTCGCGCGCCGACTTGAAGCCAGCCATAGGTCACGTGATCACAACGAGTGAACAAACAAATTCTGATATGGCGGATGCTGATGTTTTAGTGCCCAGACAAACCTTAAACTCAGGTTCAAAAGCACGTTAATCACATTACACTGAAAAGTCAAAAGTAAAATATTTTGTATTCATACAATTATAAGAAAGCTTTTTAAAGACGATATATCGTAAATTTGTTAGCTGAAGGATACATGGAAAAATTCAAAAAGAGCTGTCGAGGCCATTTATCCTACTAAAGTGTTTTAGATTTAGAAGCTACTAAGATTTCGATTATAAATTTAACAGCAAGAAATGGCAAATTTGAAGAAAATCAAAACAAAAACAATACAGAAGTAATAAAATAAAGTAATAAAGTAATTCCGACTGATAAATCTACTGCTTTCGGACCCAAGACAGGCTCTAGTCTAGTGTCCCAGCTTTTGACGCGCAATAAGCATTTACAACATCAGCTGGCAGTGTGCACAGCGAATAGCTTAGATTTTATATCTTTTGTTGAAGAAAAGCTAGACGAACTGTTAAACGACGAGACTTGTTCTGCCTTGGATGGTGTAGTTTCAGAGACTATAATCTGGTGAACTCAGTTGTGCAATTTGCAAAAAGCACTACAACAAGAAAAGTGGCCTAAAACGACAAACGAAGAAGGGGCACAACATCGGTGTTGCCAGTGCAGCTGGTCTATCCGCCTATTGAATATGTCAGATATTATGAGATTAGCAAAATCTTCGCAAACTTATTTCCAACATAATAGCTGCTAATATTGGGTCTGCGCACAGTCCACCGCTATCCAGAAGCCCTACCTGAAGCGATTTAGAAGCGAATCAATTTCATTTTAACGGACCCTTTTAAAAACGAATAAATGTAATGCTATGCAGTCTTATCAGACAGTAGTGATGACGAGTAGTTTTTTCTGTTTTTTTTTACGGTACGGTTGTGCAGTTTGCAAATGTTCTTAAACCAAGTTTTGCAGCCAGCTCTATAAACTTCTTTTTGTTTAAAAATTTCGGAGACAAAATGTTCAGCTTCTTCAGGAGACCACAACCGTGGCGCTAGAAAGACCATTGCCGGTGAGCTTTAAAACTTTCGATTGCTTACAATACTTGTCTGGCTAGATTGAACACGAGTTTTTGAAAAGCAAGAAACAGCCCAAATGAAATTAACCAGACTATAATTGGGTTGCTGGAGAACGGCCTGTGTCCCAAAGGCTGATAAAACCAAGAGTAGAGGAGGTATGATAACAGCTAAAAATTAGATTGAGAAAATCTTAACTCAAGCAAAGACAGGATGTCTTTCGCAGATAATCACTTTGACAACACATCCAAGATATTCTTTCGCCGTTTCGAATAAAACGTCTGCCTGGTTTGGAACTGTAAATATTGCTATCGACAAAAAACTTCTCCTCTTTTTACTCCACATTCATGGAACGTACAATTAGCTCCAGGCATGTTAATAATATAGCAAGAGCTATTTCTAGTAATATAGCATACTTGATAACTTGATGATAAGTTGAAGATATCATGTTAAACGATGCACAAATTAACTCTACCGCGCGAAAGCTGTGCACTCATTTTGATCACATGGCATCATTAAAATTAAACAGAAAGTTAGAACTATGGGCTTCCTCTCCAGGGATTTTTCTATTGACTATGATGGCACTGTTGGAAGAAATGACATTCAAGATATTGCTATGCCTCTGCAGCAACATCAATTGAGACTGGCTGGTCGCATTGTCTAATGCTTTTGTACTGTTAATCGCATTAAGGATTTTTATGAAACCAATGAATTAAAACTTCTCGCTCAGAGACCCCATTACGTGAAGAAACAATGCGATTGATTAACAATACAATTCATGGTACAGGGTTATGTAGAAACATTTCAATTCTCTTTTATTTTAATTTGACATTAATGATACAGCGGGAGGTGCCTGGTTGAAGCAAGGCGCAATACAGCAGCGAAAGTTTTCTTCAATTCAGCAATGCTCAACAAAGATGAAATGGCTGATCGGGAAGAAAGTGTCAGACTTGAGGCTGATAGCACAGTTTCCAAAGCTGATTCTCGAGAGAAATGGGATCGAAAAATTGAATTTATATTTTCTTGCATTGGTTTTGCTGTGGGATATGGAAACTTTTGGAGATTTCCTTTCAAGTGTTTCAAAAATGGTGGAGGTGAGAAAATATCACAGCTATCCACTTTGTGTACAATATATTAGGTATAATAAAGTTAAATTGTTATAGGTATAGTCTAGTTCTTAGTGTTTGCAGAAAAATTTGGAGGTCAGTGAGTGGCTTTTCACGTTTTTCCTAATTGTAAATCAGCTCACGAGAATTCAAAGGAATGTAGGGCTAGCATGGAAGGTGCATCACTGATGACTGCAGCGACCAGCCCAAAATGTTCTATCCTCCTCCATATCACTTTGATAAAAAAATCCAACGCAGTTAGTGGAGAGGCAAAAAATGGACATTTGCTGAAAAATTGCCCATAAAGTGCATGAACTTTTTTCGACGCATATATCATTTTTCTTTTCCTTCATTATCTAATACAGGGCTACCTTGAAGAAGCTTACGTCTATGTAACAGTTTTATTCAATACAGTATTCTCTCAAATTAGCGGACACCGTCGGACAAGAGCAAGGTGTCCGCTGATTGGAAGTGTCCGCCTTTTTGAAAGTTTTGCAATGTAGGTCCCAAATTTGTATTTGTATTTTAAAGGTGTAATCTATGGCGGCGTCAGGGGAGGGCTAGGGGGCTAAAGCGCCTCCGTCGGAAGCATCTAGAAAATTTTAGGTTATTGTCGGAGCAAATTGACTATTTTGTGCAAAAAATATTGTCCGTTAATCAGAGTGTCCGCTAATTAAGTGTCCGCTTTTTAGAAAGTTTTTTATGAGACTTTGACCAGAATCCGATCGGGGAAAAAAGTTGTAAGCTAATCAGAGGTGTCCGCCTTTTAGAGTGTCCGTTTATTGGAGAGAATACTGTATGCGATTTTGAACTGTAACAGTTTTATTAAAAATCATATTTGAAAAATTTATTTGAAACAGTTTTATTGAAAAATTACTTTGTTAAAGTTAAGCATACAGACATTTGACATGCTTAAGTACAGCGAATCCAAAAACAACTTAGGCCTAATCAATCAGAACATGCACGCCTGAAAGGGCTCTCTTGCTGAATAGAACTAAGTGATATAATGGCTGCTTGAAGATTTCCAATGAACAATATAGATGAAACGACCGATTTATTTATAGCCTTTGGAGGGGAGGAGCCAGTTTGCAGAAAGTCGGAAACTGTTTACATTACTTTATGCTTTTTTCTGTGCGCAGCAACCATGTAGCTGTAGGTGTCAGCTAGGGGGGGGGGGGGGAAACTCGAGCAAGAATCATACCTCAGGGGGACAGGCGTTAAAACATGAAAACAGATATATAACAAACAGATATATTTGGACAAAATCAAGGTCATGGAATTATAAATATGCCAAATTTTCGACATATCATTTGGAAAAACTGTAGCCGGAGGGGGAAAGCTGTTGTCAAAATTTTCATTGGGGGGGGGGGGCACAGCCATTTGTGGTGCAGTGGCTGTGCACCTCTTTTAGTTATGTCAAACGTCTTTAAGATCAATAATAAACTAGCGAATTAGATCAATCTTCACAGTACAGGTTAGTTGCCACGCATAAATAATCTAATATTTCTTTTTAATGTTTCACATTCTCACGAATAATTCTAGCGATTTTCCCAGGATTCACGCTTATTTTTACTACAAATCGTTGCTCTGAAACGTCCCTACATCGGGATATTGTTCGTGACATATTTGCGTTATTTGTGGTTTCATATCATCAAGTCTTCGGTCACAGTATAAGAAGAGTGAATTTTTCTTTGCCAACACTTAACCCAATCATTGCGCTTTCTGTTAATAAAAGAAGCGGAGAGGACTAATAAACCCACTTTCATTTCCACTGCATTGACCACCAAGTGTATTGTAAAATGCAAAATTGAGTTGACCCCTGCCTAGTGTCACAATGGCGCAAATTGGCTAATTTAGAAATGGCGGACGGCAATGATGAGAATTTGTAGTGGTGAACGAGCTTTTCAAGGCAGGCATTTTCCCTTTCGTTCGTCTATATTTCAATGAATGCCATGACTTCGTTGTCGCCTCACAGTTCACAGTTCCCCTCTTTCGATCTTTGCTTTATCATTTACAAAATATTTGCTGGAGAAAGAGCTGACTTGATCAATCTCATTGGGCTTGATTTGTTGGCGAACAACGACAAATATCTTAGAACAGGCAGATCTATATCCACGAAATGCTTTTACAAGTAAATCGTATTCTTCAAACTAATCCGAGAACCTTTCACAAGCATTCTTATTAAACGAACTGAACTAAATACATAATCGTGCAACATAATGGAATGGCTCCAGGGACAAATAAATGATACGCGAAGGTCTATTTAAAATCTCCGAGGTTAATAGGATTAAAAGATATATTGCCGATAAAATACAAATGTGTTACTGAATTGATAAAAAACATGAACGTCGAAGAATAAGCAAAATGAGCTTCAAAATATATTTCCTGTGTAACTTTGTTTATAGCGACCATTAAACTAAAATGCTGAGCAACACAAGCATAGAACACAAGTAAGACGTGGCGGTGCGGTCGCTGCGAGGCATGACGTGTGCTGCGGGGCAAAGCACAAAAGCGGTATTACAGAATCGTTCACCTGGATCCAACCGGGTTTGCCTTTAGACTGCATTACGACAACTTCAACCTGGGGTCAACCTAGGACCAACCCACCTCCAGAGTAGGGTAGGGTTAACCTAGGTTCAAACCGAGCTAACTACGTTTACACTACAAACAGAGGCGCAAATGCAAATTTTCAGGGCTAGATCGGGACCGACTTTATCGCTATCAAATTTCAACTGGGACTGGGTGGTGAAATTATTGGGGGATGAGACACCCCCAAACCCCCTCATTTGCGCCCCTGACTATAATATTTTTCAGGTGCAATCCAGGTTAATAGTTGTAGTATAAACAGGGCTTTGGGGACGGTCGGTGAAAAACAAAGAACCAATTGAACCCACTCTTCTTTTTCTCTCGTTGCTTTTGATCCGCATCTGAATAAAACTTCTCTGCTTACCTTTGAGCATTTTCCGACGTTTCTCTTTTGAAAAGCGCGCCAAAAAGTCGCGAACGAAAGGTGCCTCAGTGATAAGTCAGTATGATTTGTTTTACGCTTTTGCGTGTTATTTTCAAATTAAATTTGTATTTCAAATATAATGAATCGTTCCTGACGCTAGGAGTGCTGGAGAGGGGGTGCGGGGGGTCAACCGTCCCTAATGCCTTTTGAAAGGAATGGCAAAGGTGTCCAAGCTGCCCTTTTCACATAAGCATCCCTGATTCAAATTGAATTCTGACTGTACTGCCTTATTCATGACGACATTTCTCAAAACTTCTAAAGAAAAATTTCTTATGCAAAAAGTTAGCCGATTTTCAAAATCCAAACAAAATGAAGAAAGAGTTTTTGGTAGCGGGGAACCATTTTCAAACACCCTTTTTCTCAAACCCGCCGCCTTGCCCCTTGGCCCATCCGGTGCCTCTGCCTGACGCCTATTTCATACGAGATCGTGGAAATTAAAATTTATTTATCGACAATATTTGGTCTTGCTCTGCTTTCAGATTTGGAGATTTACTGTTAAAGGTAGGCCTTCGAATTTTTGCAGATCTTGTTTTTGAATTTTATGTTATTTGGAAAATTAAATAAGCGACGATCATTCTCTTTCATCTAGCATGTTGTTTAATTCTGATTAACAAGTAATACTCTGTTATAATGAATGATGAATTTTTGATAAAATGCGAATATTAATTAATTTTTCCCGCACTCACTTTTAAGACGTTTGATGAACCTTTTCAGTGACTGCGGGGTGGAGGTGTAGAAAAATCAAGATAGTTTCCACTGAGCACGTGACAACGTGCATAGTGAGTTTAAGACTCTACTATGTTAACCATTTCAGAGCAAGCGGGCCCCCACGCACCCCTCTTTTCCATTTGTAGCCTTCTCACTCTAAAAAATGTCTTCTAGGTGAGTGTAGGCCAGACGCTTGATTTCTCGATAAATAGAAACATGTAGACTTTGGTGAGAATGCTTAATTTGCCTGAATCTTCCTTCTCCTTGTTTTGAAATAAAAAATTTATTGCTAACCTGCATTCATAAATGTATTTCTTGTCATGTCATAGTGAACTGGTGATGGAAAGGTCAGTTTTCTGACCTTTATCGTGACTTATCTAGAAGTTTAAATCGATGATAACACAATGAACTTTTCAACTGACTTTAACGACTAAAGAGGTATATTAAGAATGGACTCGTAGATTACTTTCTTCGCTTACGATACGTCAAATCGCTACCTTCTATGTTTTGTAATAAATTATTCATTGATACTTGTCTTCGATGATAAGAGAGTTTTAACCTTATTAATGCATGTGGACAGCAAATTTGGACGGGGTGTGCACTCGGTTTTTTTCAGAAGTAATGATTAGTCTGAATTTACTATTTGAATAACAATCAAATTGAGGGTACTATTGGAAAATTATGAAGAGAAATCTGCCCTCCCCCCTAGGCACCCCTTGGCACCCTGGTGTGATGAGTGAAACAGAGAAAAATGGAACAAATAACATTTTCACTTACAACAGTAATGTGGAAAGGCTAGTCGGCTGGAACCAGTGCATGTTGTAAATGTAGAGGTTGCCAGTTTGCGGCTACATTGCAAATTGAAGTTTAAACGAAGGAGTCCTTGTCTTTTTCCAGAATTATATCTTTTTTTCGGTTTTATTGTGATATGTATGGATTGGTTTCTTTTACATGTTTCAAATGTCTAAAATATCTTAGACACCTTGAAATGGAAATGTTAGGCGGTGAATATTCTCTAGCACTTCCGGGGGCGTCGCCAAAAAGGGGTTTGAGGACGATTTACCTTCTCAATGCTTGTTCTATCGGTACATATTTCTTCACTTTATGGTGTAATTGTAACCTTTTTGTAACAATTGTAACGCATTGATATTTCTGTAGTAGCTGGTCCTTTAAAGTACGTAGCTAAAGTACTTGAAATTGAATTTTGAATATTTTATATAGAAACATATGAAAGCAGCATATAAAATTAAAGGTCTTATTGCCACACCCTATATGAATGAGACACGCCCTTTTGTCGTCAAAATTATAAATAGCTGTAGCGATCTATTTCCCTTCTCAGCTCTTCCCAGCCATGTCCTCAAATCTCAGTTCCTAAATATCGCTAGTTATATTTATTACCAAAGACCCAAACCCTGCTGTCATGAGGTGGTTGAGACATAGTATGTATTGTAGAGATGTCTACAATCCTGGCCAAAACTCGTGAGACTGCTTCCCAAATGCAATTGGGTTCTTATTCAACGTGACCCCCTACCCCCTATATCAATGTTGGGGTGTTTGTATGGGCTAAAATCGAATGCTGGGACATTTAGCTCTCAAACGACATTGATGTGTCCTAATTTTTCTTGGGAGCAATTGAGAATTTTCAATTCAGTGTCAAGGAGTTTTGGCCACGATTGTAGTTTACCTATTTGTGTTTATAACATTTAAAGACTCATTGCTAACAATGGGCCTTTGCGAGCGTGGGGACCATCCAAACAATGGCAGTAAACTTTTACGGACTAACCAAAATTGATTTCAGACTGTCTAAAAATGCATTTTGGGATGCTTGCGTAGCGCAATGGCTCACTGTTAGCGATGAGTCTTTAATGAAGATGTAGCATATTACTCTAGCTGCAGTTATAGTCTCCCTCTAATGGCCATTCAAAATTCTCATCTGTAATAATTAATTCGTGTCTAGTAATAATTCCTTTTCTCCAATTTTAGGGGCATTTCTGATCCCATTCATTGTGTGTCTTGTCCTTGCTGGCATACCAACATTTTTCATGGAATTGAGTGTAGGACAATATACCCAATCAGGACCTGTAAATGCATGGAAAAAGATTTGTCCTCTTGCATCGGGTATATTTTTTCAAATGAAATATCTTTGCACTACATCCTATTTTAATATGTTTACTCTTTAGTGTTTTGTAACGACAATTATTCGAAACGCTTATTTGCACCCCCGATAAATGGAACATTTGCTAAGTCGAAATGATATTGCATTGCCATTGCCTAATACATTGATATAAAAATGCTCCGGTTAACCTGAACATTCGAGCCATTTCACTGGTACCTTAGACGTTTGAGCTATCGGGAGTTTACTGTATCAATAATGGATAAGAGAATTATTTTCATTGTGAATCTGCTTGCCTTTAATGAATACATAGACTCCGCCTATAGTCACACGAAATGTTGCGTGAAAACTTTTAACAGTACACGGGCAGTACAAGGGGTGCTACTACCGTAAACTGGGCTAAATTGAATAGCTCTGAGTTGTCGTGTCTAAATTTTATGCGACTGTAAATAGTAGTGTGACTTTAAGTCGACTGACTATAAGCTTAATCGACTATAAATGTTTCTTCTTTGATAACAGAAGTTGAAACTGACACCCGCATACTAATAAATTGAATACTTGAATGTTTATTTTTCCATCTTTACAAATTTTTTCAGGGATTGGTTACTCAATGGCCATCATTTCCTTTTTCTGCTCTGTCTACTACAATGTCATTCTGGCCTGGAGCTGCTACTATTTTTTCAACTCATTCATTCCTGATATTCCATGGGTTGGTTGTGCACATGCTTGGAATAGTAAGGACTGCTATGATCCATTAAGAAAAGGAAGCAATGGCAACATGACCATCATGAATGGCAGTAGACCATCACCAAGCCGTGAATTCTTTATGTAAGATTATATATATATACACATAAATAAATTCATCCTCTAGTCAGGGCCTTTAAGTCTCAGAAGCACTGAGTTAAAGCTAAAGATGATGCCCCCTCATGCAAAGCGAGCAGGAAGCTTTTATGACCACATCCTTTAGATAGCCTAAATTACATTTCATGCAGTCGTTTCCTTGCAATCATTGAAAACATTTTCCTGTCTTTAGGCATACTTGTTCTTGAAATGGAGTCCATCCCAAGACATTAAATCTCTGGGGAAATTATTCAAACATAAACTTTCCATCTTGATAATGCACTTTCATTGTTGATTTGGATAGCACCCCCATCCCTTCCCCAATCCTTATTCTTTCTCCATGTTGGTATTAAGATTGGCCTTAATTCTTCTTTCGTACACACATCAAAGCAGCCTCTATCAGGGGTGGCGCCCAGAAGTTCAATGCATTACGATATGCTATACGCATGATTTTATGGGCACTCGTTATTGTAGTGAGACAATGGCAAGGCCGCTGAGAGGTTTGGTTAGCTTTAAGGCGAAATGAAAAACGGCAGGAAGGTTTTGGGACCATGCCCTATTGATAAGCTTAAAATAAGTTTCAGAATTTTTTTTGCAACCATTTTCTAGCAGTCTTTTATTTTGACATATTTTTGTTACGTTTGATTACTTATATTCTAAAAATTCGTCACCAAATGATGCCCTCTAGACTTCAAGTTCTTGTGGAAATTTCCCCAATTCCTCTAGGTGCCAAGATATGTTGGCGATCAAGAAGTGGCTCGAGTGCTTGAAATGATGTTTGTGACGGTTCTTAATCAAAACAATTAATAAAAAAATGAATGCAAATGTAGCAATATTATTTCATATCTGTCGATCCACGTAACTATAAATATATATATACATGAAGTCTTGTTAGAAAAATAAACCTAATTGAATTAAAAAAACCCATTTCCTTTGAAGTTAAGTCAAAAAAGGATTTATCGAGCTATTATTTCCTTGTATTTCTTCTCTTTTATTCATTTTGATATTTTGTTAAAAACTTATTTCTTGGCAGAAAAGTGGGGAGGGCTGAAGCTTTTATCCATCAACCCCTCAGCCCCAACCCCTCAGCCCCAATCCTCAGCCCCAACCCTCAGCCCCAACCTCCAGCCCTTTTTTGGCACTACCAATGTCTAGGTGTCTTTGATAGCCTAATTACATATTCTGTTAATATTGTTTTTTCAAATGATGCTAAATTTGAATTCCTATTGATAAACTTTCCAAACCATATTTATCCAATTTCTTTATCTGACAGAAACAATGTTCTGCAACTAAGCAATGGGATTGATGAAGGAGGATCAATGAACTGGATGCTTGCCCTATGTCTTTTATTTGCTTGGGTAATGGTATATTTTTGCATCTGGAAAGGCATCCGAACAACAGGCAAGGTAGGCAGTATGAAATTGTTTTAATTGTCTTGCTTCACATCGTAAATTTTAGCTTTTCACTAAATTTCCATTGAAGAAAAATTGCCACAAGGTTTTATAGCTTATTTTTGATAGTCAAACTATCTTGGAATTATCAAGATAAAATGATAAGCCAAGATTTCCCAAGAGTAGCATACACCGTTGGTTACAGCCTCAAAATAGATTCCGTTTTCTGTATAGATCTACTCATTTATGTCTCTGATTATTTATGAGAAAACATTATAGCTTCTGATAAAGGATAACGATAAATTTTGAAGTCACATGGTGTTAGTGATGTTAGAGGCGCTGACTACAGACCCAAGGGTCCGTGGTTCGAGTCCTTGGCATGACCAAGCTTTCACCCAGAGTGAGGAGAGCCACCAGCTCTCTGTAATTCCAGGCATAGGAATCACGAGGTATGGTCACATCGAGAGGAAGGGCCAGGACACTGCTCGATAAGCATAAGCTTCTCAGTGTCCTAAAATCTACCTTCGGACGCTAGGTAGAAACAAATTCAAATTAAGTAAGGACCAGCACCATGGAAGCCTGCACTCGAAGAAGACAATGAAGGCAAAGCTTCAAGACAAGGGCAAAGCAATAGTATGAGCGAAAAAATGCTCAATTTTGCGAGAGCAAGAAAAGAGGGTTAAATTCCCTCCCCCCCCTCCCCCCCTCTGGCACAGGCATCCTCGCCCAGCACACTTGTCAGTAAGCGAGACTGCAGCCCGACAACGACAGTGTCTAAAAATACATCTGGATGGCAAGTTTAGGTGATAAGAATGATGGCGACAATAGAGTCAGTTTGTCACAGAAGCATAATACACAAAATTATTTTCAAGGATTGAAACTCTGATACTTTTTATTTGTTATTCTTATAGGTGGTATATGTCACTGCAACGCTTCCATACGTGATGTTGCTGGTTTTTTTCATAAATGGGTTGCTGCTTGAAGGATCGATGGACGGAATTAGATATTATATAACCCCACAATGGGACAAACTATTAGAGCCAGGGGTAAGAAATAACAATATTTATTTAAAAGTAGCCAAAGGTTTTCGAAGACAAAATAAATTCAGCATTTTACTACTTCCCCCTTCCCTTCCAAGTAAAGTCAAGGAAAATTGAAATAGCAAAAAAATTCCGTAATGCCAATACAGAACGTTGCAAGACAAGAAGCAAATTAAAGAATTTGCTTACAGAGAAAATCCGTTGACGCCTCTCCATTGCAGTAGGCGACATTTAGGCCATTATAAATTTATAATCAATGAAGTTGTGCGTGTTGTACGTCGAAAATGAACAAAAATTCATACAATAAAAAACGACTTTGTACAAGAAATGAATATTTGTATTGACGTTTCCCCTGATGAAGAGTTATGCTCGAAACGTCGTACCAAATATTCATTTCTTGTACAAAGTCGACATTTAGGCCACTCCATTCTATGAATAATAGCATCAGCGAAATTTTCCGCAGGTCAATTCCTCGGCCCCAGCTCACCTCACCATTGTTCTCCGTATAATTGTCCAATTTAAGGTTACGGTAAACGTTTTCTGGATGAAAACATCATTTTTTCGATTTTTTCACATTCAAGTAGCCGAACTTTCAAGGCACACAATGATACCAAATTTGAAACAAACAGAAATTTTGAAAGTGGAAAAAATCCCATGTGAACGAAGGTTTCCATAATTTCTTTATCAAAACTTTTAGTTGAGGCCTGAAAATCTCTTGACCTTTTTAGCCGATTATCGTTGCTTTGCGGTTGTAGTCGCATGTCTCATTTACAATATCGCATGGCACATTCATATACCCAATGTACGGCCGTGTTTATTTAAACAGGCTTATTGATCTTAAATCTTCAAGTGACTTGACCCGGATTACACTGTGGTTTACGAGTGTATCTTGCAAGTGCGATTAGTAAAATCCCGTTTTCTCCGGACTCGAAATTCCTCTACATGCAGGTACGAAAAAGCTATTATGTACCCAAGGGACCAATCGAATGGCTCGAAAATTTGCACACGGCCAGGGCAGACGTTGGGCAAACAAAGTGTGTCTCAAAATTTTTTTATTTTCTCTGGTCCGTCTTTTATACCCAAATACAGCTGCGGGAGGGTGGAAAAATTATTTGCCAATTTTTGACAGGGTATAGTTTAAAGAAGAGGAGGAATTTAAAAAATCTGAGACATACTTTGGTAGCTTAGGACCGGCACTTCCTGCTGGTCTAAGTCAGATTTTGTTACCTCAAACGCAAGGGTACATAATAGCTTTTGAAGGTGGTACACTTTTTGACAAGTAAATTCGCATGGAAAATAACATTTAACATTATTTGCCAATAATTTTTATCTGGCTAGATACGCCATAATCTTGTGCATCGAATGATATATAGTTTATCCAGATTCCTTAAGCCGTTTGGCCTTTAGGAAGGAAAAACCAATTTTCGTGTTCAAAACGTTTACCGTAACCTTAACTAAACAACATAGAACGAAAGCAATTTAAGGCCAATGAACGATTAAAAAGTTTATGGAAATGAAGCTGGAAAGAAAATCAGGAATTTTCTATAACATTACAATCTAAAAACATAATAATCTGTATCACACTTATCCTCGGGATATTTCAAACAAATTTCAGCTCATCATAACCCTGAAATACTTTTTTATCCAAAAAAGACCCTAGAAAAACTTTCACCGACGAATATTGTAGTAATTAGAGCAAAGAGACTTTCTGAAAAACTCTTTATCGTAATGCCTCGAATAAGCACCACCCTCAAATAAGCGCCCCCTCAAAAAAACGCCCACCCTAGAGGTGAAATTATTGAATAAGCGCCCACTTGAATAAACGCCCACCCCTTGAATAAACGCCAACCTCTCGAATAAACGCCCAACCTTCAGAAACGTGTGCTAATTTGAATTATCATTATCATTATTAGCAAGAAAGAAAGAAAGTGCTTCAATTAAACCATATTCATTTTTTTAATTACTTCCAAATCTATTTTTAAATAAGCGCCCCCCTTTCGATTAAGCGCCTCCCTCGATTAAGCGCCTCCCTCGATTAAGCGCCTCCCTCGATTAAGCGCCTCCCTCGATTAAGCACCAACCCTGGAGCCCCAAAAATTAAATAAGCACCCAGGCACTAATTCGAGGCATAACGGTATTTAAGCTTTATTTTTTATTATTCGCACACTTATACCGGCAGGTCTGGATTGATGCTGCTGCGCAGGTCTATTTCTCGATAGCTATTGGTCTCGGCGTCATGCTTACGTTTGCCAGTTACAACCCAATACGCAATAACGTATACAGGTAAACACGAACCATTTCTAGTATCTAAACAAAATACCATACCATCAATAGTTCACTGGCTATTACGTTAGGTTTTAAAAAATGTTAGCTGTCCAATCTATTATAAGATAGACTGTACTAGCTAAATTTATCATCTATTGGCGTATGCATGTATTTTAGGGGCCCTTTTGGGTATGTGTCCTACTCCAATATAAATTAGGAACAGTGATGTGCCTAGACAATTCCATTTGGGGGTGGGTACGTTCAAAAAAAATAACCAAAAATATTTTTTGACCAAGTATTTTGACTTCCCCTTTTCGGGTGCTCTATTTTAGAGAAGGTTACTGCTGGTACCAACTTAATAGCAAATTATCAAGTTGAAATTCAGTTAGGAATGTTTAAAGAACAAGCTTTTCCTCCTAAGAATCATGAAACGTAAAGCATTTGTGTATTAGAATTACATCGAAATGCATAGCTGAACTTTCTACATTTTGCAGAGATGCACTACTGATAGCAACATCTGATGCGCTCACAAGCATTTTCTCAGGATTTGTAGTATTTTCCATCTTGGGATATATGGCCGCAATTCAAGGAAAGAGCATTAAAGATCCCACAATAGCAACTGATGGTAAATATTCATGTCGAATGCTTTGCAAAGTAGCCCGTATTCCTGCTTAAACCTTTCTTCATCCCCATTTGAACTGCGCTTGTTAAGTTTTTAATCTGATTATGACCAAGTTTTGTAAGTGATCAAGGAGCTTTTAAAATTTTATCATAACGTTAGATTGATGCAGCATTTGCATCTGTTGTACAGGTAACAGGCATAAATGTTTCGAAATAAAGGTATATTGTTTTTAAATGAAATAGCGACAGTTTATTGCAATGGGGCACGTATTTTACGTATTTGTAGCTATAGGTAGAATACTTTCCACTTTCCACCTACTTTTTCCTAAAATACTTAGCCTAAATTCTTTTGAAATTCTGTGTTAATTTTCTATGGGAAAGGGGTAGCTGGACAATTATTCAAGGATCAGATTCTTTTAAACGGATAGTGAAAGTTTTACATTTTTCGTGCTAGTTAAATAATTAAAACCATAGTAAGGAAATATTCTAAAATCTAAACCTATATCTTTTAAAAGGTTTCTTTAATCTTTCCAGGCCCTGGATTAGTGTTTATCGTGTATCCAGCCGCGCTTTCAACTCTTCCGCAGCCTCACATCTGGGCAGTGATATTCTTCCTCATGTTAATTACTCTTGGTCTCGATAGCCAGGTTTGTCATTAAAGAGGCTGACATTTTTATTCCTATTGCTTAATTTATTTGAATTCATGGCCATTAAGCTTGCTCTGACAAAATCATTAGAATTTTATTAAATCACTATGCAAAAGTTTAACAATTTTACGACTTATAAGCAATGTGAAATAAAAGCTTTAGAAAACTTCATTTGACTTTTTCAAAAAACATAAATATTTTCAACTTATGCAAGTGGGTTGTATTCAATTCATATGAAATCTGATAAAACATGATAGAAAGCTTATCAAAATATCTTTTTGTCCTGATCACATGGAGCTTTGAATATTTTTTATGTTCATTTTGAACTAATAGATCAAGGTTCAGACACCAATGACTTAACAGTACTAAATTGGTGTCTTATATTCAACAGGTTTCTAATCCTAGACATTCTATTGAATTCTAATGTTTTGTATTTTAGTTTGGTCAAGTTGAGCTGGTATGTGCTTGCATAATCGAAGCATACCCTAAGAAACTGCGACAGTACAAAGAACTGATTGCCTTGGCCGCCTGCGCCTTTATGTTTCTTCTTGGTCTGTCATGTGTCTCTCAAGTAAGTAAACATAATGTTGAAGAGTTAAGTTATTTTGCATATCTAGAGGGAATTCTATAACCTTTTACAAATTTTTGTCAATTACTTTCGAAGAGGCTGTGTTGAGACAAAACGCATTAGGTATATGATTTTTTCCTTTTTGCTATTTTCTTTGCATTTAGGTGTCTAACATCTCACTGTTAATGTAGCTGGACAAACCAAGCCATGATTTTCTTTTTCTGATAGTAACCTGGTACCGGGCAGCCAGATTTTCAGTTGCCAAAGGACAATGGTGTGACTTGATAGCATGATAGGCCAGGGTGCATTCCATGTTAGACCCACGCCAGAGAAATTTCAACCTATTCTAGTTGCTACGCCAAGTGTAAAACATACAAGCTTTCGATTAATCTATAGTTTGCATTGCTTTTACTGTCCATATCAATATAATCAGGCTGTCCACGTATTGTGTACAAGTACCGTTTTTGCTACGCCGATCGCGAAAATTTATTACGTACGCCAATGCGCCAAGGCTCGCAAATAGCAAAGTTCACGCCGCTACGCCGAGGAAAAAGCCAAGTCCACGCCGGAGATCTCCGGCGTAAACTACATGGAATGCACCCTGGATGATGGGCTAAATCTTAACTGTCTTGACCAAACTTTGCATTCGTAATATTTCCTAAATAGGGTATACCTTTGGATATGCAAGTTACAGTGGAATGTCAATGCTGTAACATATAAATTGGGCTAGCAAGATTATAATTTGGATTAAGTGGGCTAGACACCTCTACGATGCCTTTAGCCACTCCAATGTTGTGTTACAAGGTCCCTATTTGCTGCCAGGTGGACTGGAAAGCGTCCAAATCATATGTAATGTCAAGACTGGAATTCGCAACATTTTGTTTAGTGACACAAGTGAACTAGCCTCCATCTCCCTCCTCCCCCAAAGAAGTTATTTTGAAATATAGCTTTTTTTTAAAACTTATTTTCTTTCTTTGTTTTGTAGGGAGGAATGTATGTCTTTCATTTATTTGATTCGTATGCTGCCGGGACTTCAATCCTCTTTTTGGGAATCGTTGAAGTGATAGCAATAGCCTGGCTATACGGTAAGTACAAAGCCTGGTAAAAGTCTTGAAAAACCAACAGCAATTTTTATTCAGATTAGTCGCTTTCTTACTTCCTTTTCAAAAAATGTTGGATTATTCTCCATAGAAGTACACTATTTGAATATGATTTTGTTTTGGGGTAAGCGGATAACTTCTATAGGCGTGAATTAAGTACATCGAGAATTGACTAAAATATCTTTGGTGATCCAAGAGCTTTAAAAAAACATTGTAGCTCTATCTAGCTGCTGTCCCACCTATTGAATAAACATCGACCAATCAATTGAGCCGTGTATGTATCAGTGGAACAATCACAAGTACCCAGACAGCAAAACTTTCTGGGGATGATATGATCTTTTCTACGCGTGGTTGTACAATTGACAACGCTTTCTTCTCTTTGCATAAAGTATTAGGTGTAAGAATTCAAACAAGAGTCAATCACAACTAGCGACCGCTATTTTAATAGAATTTTATTCTTTAATTGACGAAGAGCTGTTTCATTTTTATTTCTTCTACCTTTTATTTAGTTCTTTTTCTCTCGTTTCTGCAGGTGCTGATTTATTCAAGAGCAACATTGAAGCAATGATAGGGCGCACGATATCACCAATCTGGCCGTTTCTATGGAAATATGTCACTCCAGTTTTATCATCAGTAAATGCCTTTCTTTTCAGCTTCCTACAGCATTTCATTTATCTACGTAGCTTGCTATAGCCAGTCCCCGCTTATGATGTCTTCTATCGTTTTCTAAATATCACAATTCGTCCTTTGTTGTATCATATTTTTCTGTAACTCTTCAGACTGTATTGCGATGTGGGAAGGTGAAATGCTACCCTGGGTACGAATGCTTCAAATAACCGGGGATAAAGTATTGTCGTCTTCTGCGGTGGAAAACAATATTTCTGTGACTAATTTTGAACCATAATTTTGAAAATAAGTCAGAGAGACTCTGATACCCAGGGTAGTGAATGCTTAACCTGCACACAATCGTCAATCGTGTACACCGATTTCTAGACTTTATATAAAAAGAAAAAATGATCTGCGAAAAAATCCTGAACTAATTTACGTCCCAGAAGAAAATAGCCGCGAAGTCTGATTTTCCGTGAAATAGCGACCGCATTTTTAAATTTCATTTTATTTTATAAATGTGTTCTTTTATTCGGAGTTGGCATATCGTTTTATTTCATGATTAATCTATTAATATATGGGTTACAAGACTAATGTTAAGCTTAGTCAGTGAGTGGTTATGCAATCTAATTTTTTTCTATCAAGCCTTTCGTAAAATCCTTCGTATAATTTTCTACTATCAAGCATCTTTACCAAACGACCGGTAACTTTAAGCTTTTTTCTAGGGCATCTTTGTGGCCAGTTTCATCCAGTATAGTCCATTAACCTACGAAAAGACCTACGTATACCCTGTCTGGGCTGATGTCATCGGATGGCTCATGGTTGTTTCAGCAATGTTGTTTGTGCCTGTGCTTGCAATTGGTGTTCTTTACCGTGGGAAAGGTGACATGAGAACGGTAAGATTTGTTTGTAAGAACTCTCCTTTGTGAAAAGCCTAAAGAGCTTTGTTCTTCACGGGGAGATGGCAGGGGGGCACAATTTTTCCAAGACTGGCAGGGAATGAGATGTAGTGCCAATGAGGGAACTTAGGGCACAAAAATCTCAGATTCCTTGGATTGCGGGCAAGTGGAAAAACGCTCGGATCATTCGAATTTTCGAAAAGGGACTGCCCGTTAGCTTTGATAGCGGATACAGTTTTCAACGAGCTTGATCACTTTTGGGTCGTCTCGTTAGGAAAGAGGGCAAAAGTACAATTTCAGTGTCAGTTTTCTTTGCTTCGTCTTTAATCTATGTAGCATGGAAAAACAAGAAATCGTCAGATTTGCAATAGGATTCTATGCGTGGGATTCTCTAAATTTGCAAACTGCAGATATTGCGATTCGATCTCCATCCACGCTATTGGAGACGAATTTCATTTTGAAATGGTTTGCCCCCTTTACTCTGAAGAAAGGAATAAACTGTTGGTGAAAATTGACGAGAGGTATCCCTATATAAGAAATCTTAGTCACGAGAACAGGTTTATTTGGATGGTGAGTCAAGAAGATACTGATTTGATCCAAATTCTTGCGATAATATCAAGGCGAGCATTCAAAAGCGTGAAATTTATCTGACCTTTTGAAAAAAATGTGCTGATCAGTTTGCTGACATTGTATTTTTAAGCTGTTATAATTTTTGTAGCCATTTGTAGTAATATTTTAGATGTAGCAATTCTAATTAACCATTTAGATTTACGACATTTTGTTTTGTTGTAGTAGATTGAGAGCCATTACGGCCTAAACATCTGTCATTATATATATAGCAATCTCTGCCTTTCCTGCCGAAAAATAATTAAGTTAATGTCGATTGCAAAACGGATGCAAGAAAATTGCTGAAGAGGCTTAGAACTTTTATGTTAAGATTAGTATCGTGTAAAGCTCAGTTCAGGAATCTTGAAAAGGAAAGCGAGATTTACCGCTTCAGTTTATGAAAATGGTATCGCTTACAATGTTTTGTCTACATCTGTAATTACTTTTTTTTGCAGAGATTCATGCAGTCCATACGGCCAAGCAGAAAACAACAACAAATGGTTAATGATTTATTGCTACCTAAAGAGAAAAATGACAGTATCCATTTAGAAGATCAAGTATAACTCATTTATCGAAGAAAATTGTTATCGATTTACTAATGCTTCTATTAACAATAAAATATAATCCAAATAACTCGATAACTCGATAACCAGAACCCTCGATAACTCGATTCCTCGATAATTCAAGCCAATCAATGAATCAATCAAAAACTTTATTAATGTGTCAAAAAATCTTTAGCTTACAAGCTAATTGGGGACACAACGAAAAAAGTATATAAAGTTAAATTAGAGCATAAAATATGAAATTAACTCTAATCATCTAGCCATCAATAAGTTAAACACAATCTCTCGATATTCCTCAATGAATCGTGTCCTCGATAATTCAAGCCTTCGGTAACTCAACTCTTTGATAACTCCAACCATCGATAACTTGAAGTCTTGGTAATTCAAAAAATTGATAACTGAAACAGCCGATAACTCAAGGTCTCGATGACTCAACCCCTTGATTCCCCGAACAGTTTTCACTGTACCCTTAGGAGTTAAAGCTATCAAGATTACACTGCTTTTTACTTTTCGCTAAAAATTGCCATTTGTATCCAAAATTTATGCAGGGACATTGTCACAGTTGACTGCGAAGCAGTGATTAAGAAGTGCAAGGTTTTTCCAAAAAATTTTCAAGAGAAACAATTAAGGTATGGTGAAAGAAATCTTTGAATTAGATTGGAGAATCAGCTTGCAATACTTTTTGCCATTGAAAATCATTTTTTGCCATTTAGGAGCATTTGATCGGCAAATTTCAAAACTTGTCGACAAACAAAGGCAATTGACCCCTTTTGTCGGCAACAAGTGGTGTTAAACATATAGCTTGAAGATCTGTGGCATCTTCCTACAAAATAATTAGATTTCCTTAAGGCTGCTTTCGTGTGTTAAGCATAAAGTAGCTTGATATTATGCTCATTTTTATCTATTGGTTGCCTAGTATCTTAAGGGGAATATTTTTTTCATAGCTTAAATTAAGACTTAAGACGGATAATTTGCGTAATTTTTCTGAGATACATTGTTAGAATTTCTATAACGAATAAGGGATGTAATTTTTCACACATAAACATTTCAATATCAGATAAGGTTTTACGTGTCTAATATAGAGTAATTTGCATAATTTTCTCATAATTTTGCTTTATATGAGAACAAGCTCTATCAATTTATTAGAATAAACCCTGTGTGCCACAGCCTTGGAACAGCTGTACTCTGTCGTAAAATGGAGTTTGGAATAGAGAATCAAGACCAGAATGCCCCTTCTTACTTCGCCTTAGGTTTTTACTTTACTTTTTATGAGTACCCAATGTTGTTGGCTAAAGTGACTGTAAGTAGAAATTATTAGTTCTTGTTTCAATTGTGCATGAACCTATGCTGACCTTTATACTGAGCAAATCTTATTTTCTCTGAAAAATGCATTGTGTTGAAATAACCATTACTATAAAGTGGGAAAGGGATGCACTGATGACCCGAAGAATGAGCACAGCTTTGAAGAAAGGAACTGAAGTAAAAGCAAGCATTAATTGTAGGCCATGGCCAAACCTCAATTACAGGGACCCGAAAGAAGTCTGAGATTTATTTTTATTTAACGAGCTTTGATTTAAAGAATCTCTTTTTTCTGTGATGTTATTTTTCACATTTAGAGTTTGGTTTGATAATATGAATGATTTATTTTCTGCAAAACCTAGAATCCAATTTCAGACTGAAATTTTGATGCCACTAAACCGACTATTATTTTAATCATGTTGAATTTTGCAGCTGCCTTCATTTCTAAGGATTACATGAAAGGATCGCTACTTCTCAACCACATTATTTCAACCGCTCTTTACATTACTTAAAATGCTCTTAAAAGCTCTCAATTTCCAGAAACTCAGTCACGAAGCATTAGAAGTTCAACTTAGGCCTCTTATAGGCTAGCTGTTACTAAATACACCATCATAACAATCATCCAACCAAATTTAAAAAAAGGCACTGATGCTGTTACGACTATAGGTAACAATTTCATTGTTTGTGCCCTTAAGTAACACCGTTCTAACTATTTGTAATTTGACGTTTTTTGCTCGGATGACAGATACGTAGACCTTTATAAATTGATACTCTGGAATAAGAAGATACATAAGTTCAATTAACTAGCTAATATGAGTTAACAACCCATCATCATGCGAGCTTTAAGTTTTTTATTTCTGTCCAAATCCCTGCAAAAAGTCTTACACTAAGCACTCTGTTATAAATATTTGCACAATTTTTGCACTTGCCTCTTCCGAATAATATTGTTTAAAGCCTAGGTATTGTCCGATTGGTTTTTGTCAAGTTATTGGGATATTCGGGTCTACAAGCAGCATTATTTTGGGGTTCTTGTTTACAATCAATCAAACTGACACTTCGGCAACAGAGCGTTCAAGCTTCTAAAAGCGCAGCATTGTGGGATTGCTGAGGGATTGAATGAAATTTCCTACGCCATTTTCCAAAGAAAATGGCTGTTGTATTCTTCTAGGCAGCAATGTAGACAATTGTTTGAGACTCTGTCCTTTATATTCACAGACAAAAGCCTCTGTTTTCTAATTTTTTGAATAACTGGTGAATACCTGTTGATAACGAAAGACATTGCTCAACTTTCTTTCATAGAGACTAGGTCAATAATTTTCAATTCGACGTTTATGGCAAAACACCTGCCTCGCTCAAGTACACGTCATTTGACCGTATACAGCACCTGATTATCACTGGCTTGTTTTAAGAAATTCCATCAGCATTGTATTGTCTCCTCTCTGCTCTTTGCATGGCTTATCGTTTAAATCAGACGTAGAAGAAAAATTCTGCAGGGTCATATAGCTTTAGATAGGATAAGAGCCTGTGAAAGAATGCAAGGTTTCTCAAAGTTTATGCTTGAAGGAATTTTTCGAGTGCAATTTGATTATATACTGTTTGTTTATCAAAAATCTTTTTGCTTTCGTAGAAGGTTCAGTTTTGAAAAAAATTTTTGTGCAACGCCAATATTTTGGTGTCATCTTTTTGTGTACAAAATTTTTCAAATGAGAAGAATTTTCTTAACCTTCTACCCAAAAGAACAACTTTTCCTTTCAATGTTTCAAATATAAAAATCTGGAGTGTTTTCCAAAATATTTTTAACAAGACTTTGCAACCATTTATTCAAAGGGAAGACAAACGAAGATCAAATCTAAAGATGCAAAATTTCAACACATGAAGGGGAAAGGTTTAGCATTTGGAATAAATGCGATGAATGAATTCTTGAATGGGTGAGAGATCCAAAGAGTAAATAATAAATGTATGCATGAATAAATCATGCGTGAAAAAAAAATCTTGTTTGAGGCATTAAGGGCAGCAAGCTTTATTTTATACAATCTATGAATTATTCAAATCTCCCACAACTTACGCTTCACTGCTGGGAATGCTGGACTAAATAATGCAGTGTTTAACATCCGATTTGCTATCAAAACACAAAACTCGAGCATCTTTCGAAATTCCTTCGTTTCTGTAGAAGCAGTCATTTGAGTAGTCAAAACATCGAGGAAAAAAAATTAACCATTGTTTTAAGGTTTTAATGAATAATTTTTCACCAGACAATGTATCATATGAAGATGTCTTGAAAATTCCATTGACCCAAAGGAAGAGAAGAGCATTAGATTATACTGCCCTTGAAATTTTTTTCACCTTCAATGGCATTGACAATGACCTTCCAAGTTAAGGAAAAGACAAATGAATAACAACAGTTCACCTCAAACCTATATCTAAAAAACTACAAATTAATGCTTAAAGTAAATAAATGTATATACGAAATTTACATTCAACGGATTCATAAGTGCTAAATTCCATTTAAGGCCCAGCCTATACTATTGTTTGTACCCAATGTAAAGATCTACAAAGTTTTAATAGCTACAAAATTAAACTTTTCATTCATGTCTAAATGATAAGAAAATCAACTTATTCATAAAAATTCACATTCATACACTATTAAAACGAGATGCTGGTCAAACAAAGTAAAAAAATGCAAACTGTATTAAGTTTTTATTTACAAACATAACAATTAGACTTGTCCTCCGAGGTTGTCCAAACTTAAAAGATAAATTTACTTTCTTTCCCATCAATTGCCTGTGATATTACAGGAACTAACTGAAAGATACTCATTTCGCAGTCAAAGTTGTTTAGGCGGGTTAGCGAGTCATTTCGATATACCGTGTGATAGATCGTTCTGAAGTTAGCAATGTTGGTTTGATTCAGAAGTTATTTTCATCTACAGCTGTTTCGAAAAGCCTGTTGCCATATTTGATCATGCATGTAGCTATATTGACTTGAAGACGAACTCGTAGGCATGCTTGAACTAGTGCTATCAGGTGTGCCTCTGTAGCTATTTGGTAGCGATTGCGATGACGAACAGACTCTCTGAGATCGTACAGCTTTTCTTGTTTTGATCTCAATCGGTTGCGATGTTGAAGCAGGAGAGCCCTGCGTATTGCCTTCCAAAGACGGTCTTGCACTTCGGTTTCCTGACAGCACCGGCGTATTTGGCTCACTGCTCGATTTGTTCTCCTTGAGGCGCTTCTTGCCAGAGGAGCCACGAAAGGACCATCCACTGAATAATGTGAAGATCAAACACAATTTGTTGATGAAATTCTCCATGCCTTCTGGAATTGTGACGATCTGTTTGGCAAAGATCTAGTAACTCTTACACTACCTGTTGTGATGTTTTTATTGGACTCTGGACATTTCAGACTTACTACGCGTAGTCGGTCACGTGATCTTTCATTGACCACTCAATGTTCTTTGAGAATTCTCATCATCAATAATTAATCAAAGAAACCATAAACACTCAACTTTCGCAATTGTGCCTGAATCTGCCTGATTCATTCATATCTATTCGTCGTGATTAACATTCTTTCTTCTCTATTCTTCGAAGTTGTATATCCGTTCTTTGTAAGGATGCAAATGTCTTTCGCTAAAATGGCTATAAATCTTTTTCATTTTGGTCACTAACATATGTCACTTTCATAGACAATCTTCTTTCCTTTTGTTTACAGCAGAAAACAGTATCGTATCCAGGGTGGTAAAGACAAAGGCGAGTTTAGCAAGGGGAAATTGTGGGCTCACACCAATTTTAATGGAAGAAAAGGCCTTTTTATCACAGAAATTTCAGCACAGCACAGGCAATCGTCTTTATTTATAAAGATATTCACAAAATTGCAATATTCCACTAGAAAGTTACGATCATAACATACAACCTGCTACTGGGACTGATATACCGCAAAGCAAAATGGTGTGACTTCACGCTTTTTTATAAGGAACCAATTTATAGAACGCCTACATGTTGAAAGCAGGAAAAATTAAAAAACCTTCATTTTTGAATATTTTATCATTGCAAACAGTCAAAAACTAGGAAGCCGGCTCCATTCATTAGAAGTCAAAAATCACATAAATTGTGTGTTACGAAGGTAGCTATCGAGTGTTTCTTTGTGTAATTTCAAATGTTCCTTATCCCTCTTGATTGAATTTTCATTTTTGTGTATATCACACGTTTTCTAGTCTTCTTTTTTGTTTTTCACCTTGTTTTCTAGCTATTGTTAGGAATCTAGCGACAACATTTTAATGGCACAAAATTTCATGGCATCAAATTAAGGAACTATTAAAGAACCTTTAATACTACAACTCGATCGAAAGAGGTCCAAAAATAAGGAACTTCAAGAACTATGCCTCGAGCTAGGTTTCTTTAAAATAAAAAGAATGTACTCCGAGGCCGCAATATGTAAAGGGAAATGCTACTTAGTCGGTCTCTTAGACCCTGTTTTCAGAAGAGAACTGAACCGAAATGGAACCGTTCTAAAATTGGCCCAAATAGGCTTTGCGTTTACGCGAGAACTGTCGCGTTTACAGTTTCAGTTTAGACCAAATCATTTTCAGGTTTATTGTTTCTAGCTTCTGTTTCTGTGTATTCTTGTCGAAAATAAAAATCAACAATAAGATTTTGTGATTCAATGATTTTTGCGCCGAAAACTGCGCATGTTATTCCTCCCTTGTGACAAATATATGAAATATAGAAGCAAACAAATGTACGAATATTGAAATAATTATACTTGACCTTGCAAGTTTCCGATTCCGTGAATTACTGCAAAGATATGGCTCAAAAAAGCCAAAAATACCAAAATCTGGAAAGCAAGACCAATCTTAGAGGGTTTTTGAAGAAATAACTTCAGAGATCTGAAAAAACCATGTAAAAGAGTTTCCTTTCAATAACTTTTTGCTCACATATTAAGACATCGCTCTATGTTGCTAATTTTCTTATTAACCCAATCCACATACTGTAAAGAATTAGCTTTTGCTATTTATACTTCATTCATTTAAGATTTTTCCCAATTAGGACATGCTATTTGCACTATAGTGGCAGTTTCCATATTTGGCACGCCTATTGTGCCAATCCCAGCAAAGTACCACGCCCAGTTTTTATGAAAAATGTGGATCAGTAAAAATTTCATTTTTTAGGCCCTGCTTAGATGAATCGCAACAAAATTAGCTGAAAAATGTTTTCCTCGTCAACACGCCATTATGAAATAGAGCCACGTGTCTTTTCATAAAAAGTTTCTTAATTATAACCACCAAAATCTAATTGACCATTACAACGTAAAAATGATAAATTAAACGACATAAAGTTTTTAGTAAGTAATTTTGCTTCCTAATTTATTAAGTAATTTAATAAGTAATGAGTAATATAAAAGCATATCGATGGAGGTAACTAATTAAAATTCAATTATAAATAAACAAAAAGGATAGTCTAATCAAACTCTCAGTAAAATTGTATGTATTTTTCAAGAGACATTACAACATCCTGGGTGAAATTTCGCCAGTTTCTTTTTTCAATCCAAACTTGCTTTTTGTAAACCACGTGTTTGATATCCATTAATTCAAATATTTTGACAGCCCTTGAATAAAATGTCTAGCTCCACAGGAATATAAGGAATGACTGACTTCGAGATATTGTGACTTCAAATGATTGGATAATACTTGAATAGAGCTCTGAAACATTCTGTGCCTAAAACGGCAACCGTTGAAATAAAAACAACAACTGCAACATGTAGTGCGTAGTTTATGTTCTCCATGGTAACTGTTGCCCTTGCTTAGGACAGTCTTCTTGGGTTTAACTTTAGCAGACTCGATGTGAAATTGAACCGGCAATACTCGTTGTCATCAGCCTTCTCCCATTACATTGCCGTTGCCAACATCCTGAACAAAAATGTCAGTAGCTAACCAAGAAGAACCCACAAAATTATCGCGTTTCTTTGAGCAAAAGATACTATAATAGAAACATTCCATCCAACTCCAGTCTTCTTAGATTTCAATGTCAGATTTTATCCGCATAAGAATTATTCCAGTCACAAAATTTTCTTTAGTACTCCATCCAACTGTAGCTAAATCAGAATAAGCCTTGAGGCGTTTTGTAGTCTGAAAACGTGTTGTGTGTTGATGTTAAATCAAAAGAGAGAGCAAAATCTTGTTTATGAATTGTGCTCACCCTGACAATCTTGTTTTAGTTAAATCAATCAACCTGCCCTGAAACCAACCGCAAAGAGAAAAACAATATATTTACCAGCGGCGGGCCTAAACTGTATTGAGGTGTTTCTCGTGGTCTTCTGTTATGCAGTTTCGTAAGCTGGATCGAAACTGTGAGTAATCACAGAGATTCTGTTACATAAGAAACGCTTGGTCCATTTGGCTATTTGCTGGTCTGTTTTATAGTGCTCGATGCTGTAGTGAGAGATAGAGGCACAGGGCCGCCGAGTGCGAGGCCTGGCCCTGGGGCAACCAATATGTGTGGGCCCCTTGACTGACAAAGAATATAAAGTAGATTCGAGATTATGACACTTTTTATAGATTGAATTATTATGAGCCCAAGGATGAGCCCGGGCCCAGAGCCCCGGTTACCCTCGCCTTACAGCGGTCCTGGTAATAGAGATAGGGTTGTTTATGCATTGAAGTGTGAGGTTGCAACATCGAGTTCCACGCTTAATGCGAACAACTGGCACCTCTTCAGCAAAACAAAGAACAATTATATTATCTATACTCTATACTATGTAGCTTAATTTGGAACAACATTATGCTTTTTGGTGAATATTCAAACTTGTCAGCAAATGAAGGTTGCCTCACTCACTTTGATGGCAAATAAGAGTCAACACCTCCCTGGAGCGAAAAAGCTAGCAATCGCACTGCTTACACTCTATTAATTTAAGAACAAATTAAGAACAATCCAGCTTCAAATTTTCGAAAAATTAAGAACAGTCAGCCTGAACTTAAATTTACTGGTTCTTATAAAAGAGTGTACGTGCTTCTAATAAGTAGCTCCTAATACTCTTGTAATGAAAGTATGTATACTTAGACAAAAGACCAGTTAACCTTTCAATTTTTAGGTTTTTGTGCGTCTTATCGCTTCTCATTGCTTTCTGACATTCCTGCCTACTGTTTATTGATGTCATCATCATTACGAGATTTAAAGAATCCATCAGACGGGCCATCTAGTACCTCCCTTCCCTGCCATGTATATGTTCAAACATCTTGTATATATGCCAGAGGTAAATGATAGAAACAGACAAATAAGCCAAGCCAAGGCTATACCACCAATTGCAAAATGTAACAATATTTACCAAAATTATATACGGTAGATTTCAAATAATAAGAAGCGCGTGAACGTACAACATATTGGCTAAGTGATAAAACGTGGTGATGACGTCATAAAAATAGAGTTAGAATATTTCCATTTGGAGCATATATCCTAAAAAGACAATTCTGAGCCAAATCTTACAATCGTAACCCATTTGCAAAATTAGGTTATTCACTGGCCATATCTCAGCCAATTTAGAACAGAAGTTATTGGTTTAAAAAACTTATTTCGTAGTGTTCTTTCAGGTTATGTAGCAAAATTAAAGAATTATAATTGCATGACCTCTTCAAATGGCCACTTTAATCTTCGTCAAACAAATCATGATACCTTCTAATGACATGAGAACAAATGTTAGCAGCTACAGGTGAAAAGCTCTCAAGGTCCACAGTTTTGACAATAATAGGCCATCGTGATTTTTAGGGGATCAAATTGAACAAATGGACATTAAGATAGCAAAGTAAACGTTCTGTCAGTCAGGTGAATCTTTACTTATAAACAACAAGTATTTTCATTGCCATCCCTTCGATTTCTTTTCATGTTGACATTATCATTTTCTTCAAAACTCTGATCTGCAATCATCGTCAAAGCTTAGCAAATTGCTCAAAGCTCTGATCTTGCCTCTCGTATGATTAAGGAATGAATCACTTTAACCACTCACCAACAAGCGCGTCAATCATCTATTGATATAAATGGAAATATATATTTTAAAGACATTACTTCAAAAACAAAAAGCAGCTAAATTTTCATTAACAGGTTTAAGAAAAATAATGTGAAGGGGCTTCAAATGATCTCTACACTCTTTCCTTTTTATAAGCCGAGATGACCACTGATAATCAGTATCTACATAACAAATGTATATTTGAATAAAAAGGACGGAAAAGCGGGAACACAGCATACTTGATGACCAAAAAAGGAAAGAAGAATCTCAGCACAAACCCCCCACCCCACCAAAAATCCTCTCTCCCCTTAACAAGTCTGGTTCAATGAATTCTGTGTTGACGACCTTTTATCTTTAGACTTTCCACGAATGAGCAATTCTCTATCAGTCTATTTAAGTTGGTGAATAGTTTGTACACAGCAGAAGAGAATCTTTTACACAAATGCAAGTCTATTTGGTGTTGTCATGGGTGTGGCTTCTAGACGTTGCCTACAGCACCGCCCCCCCCCCCTAACTCACTAGGACGGCATCCCTGTATCTTAGCTAACTTTCAGTTCAAGCATAGTCAATAGAAGAAGGACTTTTCTATTGACAATGGTTCAATGGATACAATTTCAGTTTGTTTCTACTATAATCATAGAAAATCTACTTGTTACATTTTTGGTTTTCTTCTTATGACCCCTTTGACCCTTGTGTAAAAAAAGGAATTTTTCTAAACTAATAAGATAACGAAACTAGAATAGAATGATACATATTTGTATTGCTTCGAAAAAGAACAGAACTGCCATATGAAGCACTGTCATTCAGTAGCTGTATTGAAAAACTACGATCAATGGCCGTAGTCAAACATTTTCTGGAAGCCTCTTTTTCAGGCAAAATCAGTCGCATTTTCAATCGCTAGCAAATAGTCTCAGTCCTGACCGTTCACTTTGTGGAAATTTAAGTAGCAATATTATATGAGAAGGAACTAAAAAGTTACGCTTTTGCAGTGAGACCAAAGAAAAACAGAACCACTCTCAAACTAGCAAGGAACCAGAGTTGCAAGTTTGGACGCAATGCTTGCCGTTTATTTTTTCGGACAAAGATCGGTTCTTTTTGCCCCATTGTGAGCCTGGTCTAACGACCAGTACAAATCCAGTATTCTCTATAGCTTTATTTACTATTCTCAACTAGCAAACTTACCTTTCTCCCACTCTTCAATGACAATGGATCATTTGGCTCTGAGGGGTTCATATTAGCGCAATGTGCCACTCCTTTCATGTATACCGCAACTTCTCCGACAGTTTGATTTTTCAAGATGCTCAGTGCATGCCAAGGGTCTATTGATCCTGTAAAAATAAAATGCTTAAAATAAGCATCATCTTTTGTTTCGCAAGCAAAATACGAAGCAAAAGACGAAAACATTGGTAGAAATGAAAGATCCAACCATTAGATCACATTGTCACAACATAAACAGATGCATTCCTTCCTAATCACTATCTCACTTTGCAGTGTTTTGCCTACATACATCCTAACTACCATGTTCAGAATAACGTAAAATACAAATTAATTATAGTGAGGAATATTTAATCAATCGAAAAATAACTGCGATGTGACAGAACAATTAATATCAATGGTATTCCTTTATTACTCTGTCACTGCCTATAAAAATGCATCGAAAGCATTGTATAGTAGAACCGATATAAAAGCACGAGCACAAGATTTTTCCTTAACTTTCACCTGTGTTCTTGAATTATTTCTTTGTCTTATAAAAAAACTAGCTTGATGAATGAAAAAATTTATTTTTTCCAACCCAATTGACAATATCAAACCCAATCAAAATATCAAACCCATTGAAAATCTCACCATTTGGAAAAACAATGCGACTGACTCCGAGAGACTTTCCACCATAGTATTTATTAGTACTGGTCACGCTTTGGTAAACCTGTGTAGATGTTATGTTGTACACTGCTTGGCAAATGTTTATCATAGAATTCATTGTAATTCGTGAGGAGAATACACAACTTGTTCCTTCCTCGCAACTCTGATCTATAGTTATGACATCAAGAAAGAGATAAAATGTTATTTTCAAAAGGCTACAGAATCTACCGCCGGGATTCAAAGACCCTAAGGGCCTAAGCAATCCAAAAAAGGAAAAGGAAAGGACATGAAAAGGGGGAATAAAGCCTCCCCCTCACCCATCTTCCCTCTCCCATCTTCCCTCTCCCCTCCCCTCGCTCCTTTCTTTAGCCCTCTTTGCCAATTGTTCTCTTCGCACATGGAGGAAGGCTGTATACGCAGAAATTTATTTCATTAGGGAGAGCCGGTCAAAACCACTTTGTACTCAAAAATATCATCTTGAAACTAAGCAAAGAAGTAAAACAAAAGCTGTCACCCCAGACTATTTATCAACAAACTGTTAGCAAAATACATTTAATATTGCGATATCAGTGGGAAAAACCTGAATGTGTTGTCCATGCATCCAACATGGTCAAACAAACTTATGTTCACTCCATGACAATTATGCATCATTTTTTGCTCATAACCTGAAATATCAGATATTTTATCAATCTGATCTCTAAACCGTTAGATTGATTCTCGGGCCTTCACTTTTTCATTTTTTTCCTTTACTTCATAAAGGGTCTTTTATATAGCAGCAGAGTAGCAGAACGTTATTCTCTTACGTAGCGGAACATAGCTTACATGTCTCTATTCAGCCTAAAATGTTGATCTATCTAAGATAAAAATTTTCTGGTTATGGTTCCGTAATTAAATAGTCTTAAATATTTGATATGATTTTAGAAGATGAAAGGTTAAACTTTAAAGCTAATCAGTCAAATAGGAGGATTAAAAAATACCGTCAGATTGAGCGATAATCATAGGAACTTTCAACGGGCCAAAAAATGTTAGAAATCTACTCACAATATCCGAACTCGGTACATGTTTGATAATACCACTGCCTTGCATTTGCGTACCCGGACGGATCAACTTGGTCCCACTTCAGGCTATTGATGTAGCCTTGATATGAGTTCCCAACGCACTTTATTTGTACTTGATCCATGTATGCCTTGATGTAAATGATAATAATTTAGCTTGTATGCTTAATAAAGTTGCAAATACTATTGGCGCCAGCAGGGGTGCTACTTGGGGGTTTAGTGTTTGGGGTGTACGATACCCCAAAAGTTAGGAATTAGCAATTTAATCGATACTTTGACATTACTTATTGCTAACTTGGTGGTCAAAAAAGAATTTTTTAGGACCTTTCTTAGGATCAAGATCGATAGAGGAGCAGGAAGCACAAGGTCAGAACTGGTAGGAACATACCTATCTGTTAACAACATTGTGAGGAAACGATAGCTGGATTATGTCATGAGCAATCGCAACAAAGAAAAAAGTAAAATATTAAAACAAGGGGTAGACCTGTAGCTTTATACCCAGTGAATTCTCTCAATTAACAATAGACGTAAATTTTTGCAATGCTAAAGAGATCCCCATTTCCTTCAAAGATTCCAAATAGCCAGGCCCACTAGTGTGCATTCACGTGCCAGATCTCATAAGAATCAGTCAGAGGTTTGCACGCCCCTACAGTAACCGACCAAACTGTCTTATCCTGACTCGGATGTACCATATTGTCACAAATAACGAAACACACTATAACCTCTTCTCCTAAATACAAGTCTGAATGCAGGTTTGAACCATAAGTTAAAAAATATATGTAGTACATCATCACCTTGTTTACATCCATAAGACGTTCATAGGGTGTCTTGTACGTGTCAGTCATGAATCCACAAATTTTTCTGATATCCATCCAAGGGGTCTCGTCGTTATACTGTACTACATTTGTAAATACCCCTGAAAGATCTACCACGAACTGAGCTGTGTCGTTTGGGCTTGAAATATCATTACAGGAAGAAAAGTCATTCTTGAGTTTGGAGAACTGCTTGCTCTTTATGAGCGTTTCGATCGTCTCGAAGCCTTTCTTGACAGAGTCTCGACACTAAAAGCAACATAGACATAGCAAGCAATGATGAACATAGCAAAAACAGTATGCGGTTCGTTGAATGTCATATTTGCAAAGGAGTTTCTTATAGTCCAAGGTTACTGGTGATTCGCTTATACCATCCTTGCAACTTAGTGTCACATATGACAAATTTGAATTCGATAGACATCATGAAAAGCGATTTGATGAGACTCAATATACATGAAGATGAAATCATAAAAAATTAGATCTAAGCAGACAATGGATCATAAGCCTGAGTTCAATTATTAGATTCAGTTGCAAAGTGATGACGTCACTATAATCTTTTTCAGGAATTTCTGAATTTTGACTACATACCCCGATGATAAACAATTAAAAAACATAAATGTACAAGACCAGCTTAATCTAAAACATATCCCTGACATATGGCAAGATACGTACAGCCCCTCCCCCCTTCCATTAAAATACTGTAATTTGGCCCTGCTTCTAAAGCTTTTGTAAGAGATTCACCTTATTTTTTAAGTTTAAATGTATCTCACCATGTGCTTAGACGTACATTGCTCATGTTGTTAAAACTGAAAATTTTCAAAATTTTTATGAAGGCAACTCTAAAGTTTAGGTAAAGGCTATTAGATGTGGAGCTAAACATACAAGGTCTGATCCTCCAACTTCAGGAGCTGCAAGACTTGCTGCAACAACCTAAAAACAGTAAGCAATTAGTTACAGTTCTTCATTTGTACTTACAAAATGATTTACTATAAATATTTTGTTACTGGTATAGTAACTTTATGTTATTTAGTAATTTTCGTTAGTTTTTCATTTAGTTATATAAACTTACTTGTCAATATCTAATTAAATTTCAAAATCATTTTCCAGAATAGTTTTGTTACCGGTCACGAGCAGAAACAAATATAAAGTAAATTAAAATCAGAAGACCAATAATAGTATGATTATGTCTTTTAAGATCTGAATGAAATTCAAAATCTGAAAATAACCGTTTACCGGTCTGGCATAAAGTGCATGATGCCGTTTAGGCAGATTTACGCTAATTGGTGTATAGAACAGGACGGTTCTAAGTTGCTACTCCGAGCTTCATCAGGAACAGTTGCTTATACACCAAGAAGCGTGATTATGTCATTTGAACAAAAATATTATTTTCCTTTTGGCGACAAGCCTATAAATAGAATAGGGATGTCTCAACCCCTCCCCAAACCCTTTTGATGATTCTCGATCTCCCTTTTTACTTTTTTCACAATAAAAAAATGAGTCTCTTGCATTCATAAGCAGAAATCTACTTATGCCTTACCTCCATATATTCTGGAAAATCTACTTGAGCAACCAAAGGTGCAGACGATGCCACAGAGCCATGGATTATGTCTGAAAGCTAATGACAGGGGACAAATTATGCTGATAGTCATGGTCTTTTTTTGAACTTAATCATTTTAGAACAATATTCCTTCTTTTGTATAAAAGCTGGATGGGAAAGTAAGATTCCTCCAAAAAGTGTTTTATACATGCAATGACGTAGAAAGGAAAATTCATCGAAAGGTTGAGAAATTTAGACTTTCAGACAGAAGTCTAATGAACAATTTCATTTTTTCATACATCTGAGCATAGGTTAATTACATTAGAGCTGAAATAGAACACAAACTCTTATCATTTATTTAAATACAAGTGTCAAAGAACAACTTGAGGTCTTTTCTGGTCTTCTCTCTAGAAAAGACACTTTCAAGTGCCAAATCTTTTTTAAAAAGATTCCCATTCTAAATCAGAACAACAGAATAAATCTTTATATTCAGCTTTAAATCGTCCCTCTAAAAATGTAACACCACGTTATATCTCTAACAAGATAAGTACTTTTCCGACAAGATAGCAGTTTAGCTTTACAGGGAGGTTTTGTCCCTCTGACCTCCCTCTATCTACGTCCCTGCAGATATGCAAACCAGCTGCAAACAGAATGTTGCTTTATGCACGGTAGAATATCTTACAAACATGTTCAAATAACTAGAGCTTCATGATCTGTGACGGACGGACAAACGATACTTTCATTAGGTCTAAAAAATTAACGGATGATTCCATAACTGTCTCCTTTTGTGTCAAAAAAGAACCCACATTGAGGTGTAAATGAGTTGAAGCAAACACTTTTGGGATAAACACGTCGCCTCAGAAGGATAAAAACGTCTGCCGTGACGGACGGATTGGATAGAAAGAATTGAAAATACTAATTTCACTCCTTCAAATATTCTTTCTAAACCAACATAGTTGAGATAAATTTGAAATATTTTTACCAATTGAATATCAGTTTGAAACATAATCAAACATTTTGAACAATTATATTTCACAACATTTGGAAATTTCGATGCTGAAAGTACCGATGGATCATCGTGACGGACGGACGTGACGACAGACTGAAAATGTCGTTTGAGATTAAAATTGTTAAAAAGCACGTTCTTCGTCATCAACATTTAGTAGAGGTGAATAATGGTCGATGTCAATTGTTTATTTGGTAGGTCAAACCCCATGTGCGCAGTTATTGGACAAGTTTCGAATTGTCCGTCCGTCATAAAATTTTTAGAAATTTTTTCCTCTCTAGTAATAGCGACAAAATATTGCTCTTTTGCACGATGATATAGTACTTCTATCACTGTTTGAAACTACCACTACCAGTAATTTGAAAAAAATTATTTTTCCGTCCATCACAATTATTTTCATACTCAGCTTTTAAATCTACTATAGAAAGAGATATATGCGCTAAAATTGAGAAATATTTGTATTTTCCATCAATTTAGTGATCAAACTCTAGGATAAGATAAATTTTCCATACTAAAGTTCTCGAATTTTTCTAAAAACGCAACGCCCCTCAACTAAAAACGGTGATATCCCCGCAGGTTTATAAAGGAATTTTTCTTCCCAATCCAGCCTTCTTATAGACGGAGAAGTGAGTTTATAGATTATATCAATGCAAATTAAAATGTACCTTTGATCTACCCCATGCAGCAAGAGCACCTGGGTATGAGCCGCCCTGTAAAATCCATCTGTTATAGCTGGTGAGTCGATACTGTCGAGTGATGTAGTTATGAAAATTTCTTAGATCCTGCAAACTGGAAAAATACCAAGCAACCATAACCGTGATGGTATTCATTTATTTACTTCTATTTTCGTTAAAATAAATAAGAGAAAATTCAGATAATCTCTATACTTTAACAGCTATAAAAATATTTCTCCACCACAGAAAATGAGCTATAAAGCGCACATGAAGCAACGAAACCTCAGACTACTTGTAGAGTGAATATTCGTGACCAGGGAAGTACAATGCCTGCCAAAAGTTCTTGGAACGCCCAGCAATTTGCCGGTTAAAATTTTTTTTCCGAAAAGAATTACTACTTTCGCTCCCTTCCCACTAGAACAGTGTTGATAATTTAGAGAAATATCATAAAAGAAGCGCAATATCAGGAACAACGTGCTTCCTGATATCCTAACCCGTTTCGTAGTAAACCAACATATTGTTCCGTGGGGGAGAGGGGGATGATTGATTTTGACCTTGGAAAATGACGTCAGTGTTCGAGGACTTTTGGTAGGCATTGTAGTTAGCGGGGGGTGTAGGGGGTGTAACATCCTCCCCCAAAATCACAATTAAAATCTTTAGTTTGTAGGTAAAATTCCCTATCGGTAAGTAGACGCATAATTTTTTCTTTAGTTTAATTTTCTTCATCTGTAAATACTATTTTTCATGACCCCTTAATTGAAGGTCAAGCTACGCCGCTGTTCGTGGGAGTTACCTTACTGTGGGGAAATACCAGGTGTGGTAAGGGTATTGTCTTTTAGGCAGACTGGGGTAATTGCACTATGTTTTACAAAATGAAACTTACGCTTGTCGGCTGCTAAGGTACTTTATGTTCTCAAGTTTCATTCCATCAGTTGGCATGCTCTTTCCGTAGTACCGATGCTCCAAACCCAGCAATAATGCCTTGTATTTTTGGGCTAGCTCCACTATTTCACCTGAAATTACAAAAAGTTTAATCATCACGGCCCCACGGCCAATGGCCGGAGGAAGGTTGTAGAAACAAAGAGAAATGGAGGAAGGTAGCCAAAAATTTGGAAACTTGAGTAAGTTAGATAATTTTTAAAGCCTTTTGATTTTCAAAATACAGTCATGAAAAAAGCCAGAATAAAATTCAAAAACCTCCTGTCTTTTGGTATGAATATGTTTGCAGAACTACTTTACACTGAAATTTAGGCACTAACTTTTTATAATTTAATTATTTGAATTATACGATTTTTTTTCACCGATATAAGCATATTACTTAACATCGGTTTCTAAAAATATCTATAATTGAAAACAAGCTACAAATTTCTAGTAAAGTTTTGACAAAAAACAAAGTTACCAGGAGAGGAGATCAAGACTGGTTGTGTTCCCCATTTTCTGACCACGCCCATTTTAAACTCATCAAAATGAGGAAGGTTTTATAGTAAGATTTTCTTGGCTGGAGGAAGGTTGGAAACTTTTCTAGACTCTGGTTGACCATCGGATTCAGGAGCACAGACTTGACAGACAATATCAATGAAAAAACTTCAATTTTGGCACTTTAATCAGGCTTTTAGGAGGGGTCATTTAAAAGATGGGGCATTTTAATCAAAGTAGTACGGTATTTGTTTCGTTTCACACAAGCTTGATTGTCTCTCTGTATGCTGGCCTGAACGGATAGCAAATGATAACAAAATCATAATCTAAAGATTTTCTTTTTATCAAAGTAAAAGTGAAAAACTTAATCAATTTATATAAAAAAGGAGATGGGGGCATTTTTCATTTCTTGCATATTGACTAAAAATAAATACGCCCTTTCCAGGCACAATTTTTGAAAAAGGTTTTCAAGGATCTTTTGCAAGATTGTGCAAGGACATTACATTGATAAGTCAAAGACGTGGACTTCGGTAGGCGTTGATTTCATAAAAGTAGCTGAAAGTAGCAGCATTTGCGTTGTAAATAATTTTTCCCCTCCTCGATGCTCCCGCTAAGTAGCACTGTTTCCATCGATTTGAAGGAAACCCAGTGCAGTGCAAGGGGGTTTGGGGGCTATTGCCCCACTTTTTATCAAAAGCGTAAATAATTAAGAAATTCAGTCCATCCTTAACAATTTTTTTTAGAAAGAAGCTTGAGTAGAAGGTGCTGCTTGCTAAATTGTTACAAGGAATTCATTTATTTGAACGACAAACTAGCGAATGCTCTTACCACCAGCAAGATAGCCTGGAACAAGTTCATCTTCTCCTCCAACATAGACAAAAACTGGGCCAGTCGACGGATCCCAATACAAAGTAGAAACATAATACCTCTGGTAAAAGTATTGTGGGTTTGCTGGATTGAAATTGTCAAGCTTTTGCTGTACCCAGCCCGTCTGCACTGAACTGAGAAGTTTTGAGGCTTCTGGGTTTTCCAATATCTTTTCCATCATTTTCTTCATCCTCCGAAACTTAACAAGTTTTTCAAGAGACCAGTGCGTCGTTGATGTAAGGAGTCCATTTGCTTCAAAAGCAAGAAAGCCAGGCCTAGGAAAAGCAGCACTCTATTAGCACGCATTTTGCCACTTCTATCGATCTCTTCCGTGTTTGAAAAGCGAAACTTATAGAAGCCAGCCATGTGTTTTTTTTGTAAACATCACGTGGTTAAATTCTCGAGAAAGTCACGAGGTCACATGACCGATCGCATGGTCAAGAAATGCTATTCAAAATAAAAGCCTGGTTTGTCGTTTTGTTTACTTTCATTATGAAAAATTCTTGAATACCAGATTTCTAAACAAAGCTTTTGCATACAAACATGTGACTTATAACCGTAGTTCCACCAAAGATGAATAATTTTTGTCACTACACGCAAAAATGAACAATTTTATACGAACCCCAACCCTTAAAATTGGTCAAAAGTTAAGGGCAAATTACGAACATAATTTGTTCTTATGATGTAAAATGGAATTTTTGACAATGTTTTATCTTAAAAACGAGGATTTGTAAACATGTGTGGGATCCAAATTTGTCAGCAAATTAAGGTTTTCTCCTTCACTTTGTTGGCAAATGAGGCCTCCCTAAAGCGAATAAGCAATCGCACTGCTTACACCCTATTAGATTAAGAGCAAATATAAAATCCAGGCTCAGATTTTCGAAAAAAATAGAACTGTCAGCTATGAACTTAAAGTTACTGGTTCTTATAAAAAGAAAAAAGTGAATAAATATGATAGTAAATGACATTCGAGCTATCTGCCAAAACACTAGAGATTTCAAGAGATTTGCCGATGGAACAATAGGATTTCCACCATAGGAGTACGAGGTTTCCATGCCTTACGGCCAAAAATTGCTAACCATATCCTTAATATTGTTCCTTGCTGCTCGGAAAGATTCTTGTAAATGTAAAGACGTGATGGCAATGGCTTATTTGGACGATAAGGCGGATAAGCTACTAGTCCTGGTTCAATTGATAAAGAAACTCCTTGCGGCAGATTAGATGTTCTGCTTGAGTGGTCTGATAGATGTTTTGCCTTTGAAAGCTTTTACGCTGTTCCCGTAATATTTGAAAATTGTTTGTTATTTTTCTACCTAAAAAGTAGCTCTTCAGCGTTTTGGAACTAAAAAACCCTTTAAGAAACATTTAAAATTTAAATCAACAAAACTGTAAGAATTGACTAATCGTCAGCTTAGTTTTTAAAGATTTTAAACGATTTCAGGAAAATTACTGTAAGAAAGGTTCTGAAATGCATTTTAAGCAAATCTGAAGGACATTTTAGGCTAATAAAAAAGGTTTATGTTGTTGATTTTCCATTACAAAAGTTCTATGACAAAACTGAAAATTGCAAATTTCACTTACAAAATTACATCTTGCAAAACAAGCAATTTGAACAGATGAAAACACAACAAAATGATCGGGGTAGACGAATAAAAATTCAGAAAAATACTTTAAACATTGAATTATACAAAATTTTCTTTCACAATATTATCACTTTAAAACCCTAAATGTCTGACTTCCTTTGACAACATAACTCAAACCAGATAAAACTGTAGTGGCACCAACGAAGTACCTGTGAATAGAAATTGTCACTATTAAATTATTTGTCTGTTGGGAATCAAAAAGAGGCCAGGAAACACGCAAAGAAGGCCAATGAAGACATAGGAGACTGTAGTAACACACCCAACCCTCATCTTGTTTTCTGAGAAAAGTTTCATAGCTGAAAGGTATTTCTGGAAGGAGAACGAGCACCTTCAGGACACAGTCTGCAGGCTTACTGAAATACCTAGCAAGGACAGAATACATAGGAAGAAGTAAATTCTGAAAGACAATAAAATAAATGACTTGTTCTTTGAAAGTCTTGTTCCTATTCCAAAAGTGCACACTACTACCTGGTTAATATCAGTCAACTCCAACTACTCAATAAAAAGAAGATTGTGAAGCTCCCCCATTTTCAATATGGGAATGCCCATCAACGCATTTATGTCATAATTGAAAGACGGAGAAGTTATGTGTTCCTTCCACATACTGGGCCTACTTTGGAAGAAAATGAACACAGTCCACTATATCATCTACAGTCTGGTTGTATTATTTTAATAAAAAATAATGAGTTATTCTAAAGAATAACCAAAGAATAATGAATTTGGTCTTAAAACTTTACTGTGCAATTAAAGCTCCCCCTTCAAATAAGCCCCCATTCTAGAACTACAAATTGTCAATAAGCCCCCCTCTAATTAGCCCCCACTGCTACTGTAAATCCTCAAATTGCAAAAACCCCCGACCCCCAATTTGTTGATTTTTACCCTCTGAGGTTGCCTTTGGTGTTTCATTGAATTACTACCAAAAATTGATTATTACTTTTGGTAAGAATTAATTAAATGTTCATAAATAAATTTCTACTAGAATACACAAGGTCTTTTAATAATGTCTTTGCAATATCTACTATCACTTTATAAGCCCCAAGGGGCTAATTAAAGGATTTACGGTATGTCAGAACAAAATTTGAATTATAGATCCTTGTTACGTTGCTCTGTAGATCATTATTAAGTCATTCTTAACAGTAAAATATTCAAGCATTATGTTGAAATAGAATTTAAACAAGATGTCTCTTTTTGCTCCCATGCTGGTTATCAATTACCATTTACTGTTATTAACTACCATTTATTTTTTTATAGAAATGTGCTTATGTCAATAATTAGTTAACTTTAGTTTAGTCATTCTTTATGTAATGGCCCTGGGTTAGACATGATCACTTGCTTTCCAAGATATTTTTCTTGTAGTGTGGTAAAGTAAATGTATATTCATATCTCTTTAGTGCAAGATTTTATTGATATATAAAAGAAAAAAACTACAATTTATGTCATCTTGCCATTAATAAGTTCAAATTTATGCTATCTTGCCATTAATAAGTTTATTTTTAGTAAAATCCATTCCTGATAAAAATACCCCAGCTCACGTTTTTTTTCGTTTATTTAAGGCTCAAACTCTTATCACAACTTGTGATTTATAATCCTAGAGGTATTGACAAACAAACAAATAATAAATGACAAATGACAAACAAATAACAAATGACAAACAAATAAACAAAGTTAAATGATACTAAAAAGGTAATGACTAACTTATATTTACTCACAAATATGCATGAAGCCAAGAGCTTTCTGTGAATCCAAAAACAGGGGCAGACATACATAAGCCAACAAGACCCAACTGCAAAGCAGTATTTACCTAAAAGCATAAAGGTCAGAGTATGCTTTGAAAAAACCAAGACTGTGAGAAAGCTAATAGCAACAGTAATTTGATGAGACTGATGTTTTGCATGCACTCACAATTGCATATGAATGTATTTGTTTAACTGCATTAGCTGGTAAACTGTTCTATATTGCTACACACAGTAAACAAATAAAGTCTTCATAGTGTTGCAAATTTAAATGTAATTTTTATAGAGTCAGTTTTCATGAATTGATAGATTAAGGTTCATTAACTAAAAAAAGGTTCCTTGTGACAAAATATCAGACAAATATTTTGATGGAATTTTCTTCGATTAAATTCAAAATTGGACAAAATTTGGTTACAATGAAATTTTTTGCATTTAAGACTTTTGATAATTCGCATAGAAAATCCATTATATGAAGTCTGAAATCAACTTTATGTATCCTTTCAATCTATTAAATGCCAACTTTGTCATTATTCTTATTCACATCGTCTCATAATTATCTTTATATCATCAGCATCATCATCATCATCATCGCCTGTTCTTGAACTAGCTTCATTTTTACCACCGTTCAATAAATATAGTTCTAGCTCCTCTTTGCTGCCGATCTCTAAGTTATTCAAATCTGTTTATTCATACTCAACTGTACTCTATTTCCTTCATTCGTTCAAGGTATTTACACTTGTCAACCCAAATTTTGAACATTACAGAAGGCAAAATTTTCAGACCATCTTTTCTTATTAGAGACAGTCTTATGTTTTCCAAATCTATTTCTTTTATTTATACATATACTTTTGATAGGACGCTTTTCATAAACTTTCATACCTTATTGATAAAGAGTAGAAACTCTTTGGGTAATAAAAGCATCTCTTTGGTCTGCTTTTGCATAAACTGAGAAATATATTACTACTTTTGCTTTGATTTTCCTGAAATGTTGCTCTGTGTTAAAAAGCTGCCTAGGAGGAAAAGCCCAATTCCAAGCCCTTAAGTCTGCACAGAGTAGCTACCTATGGGACTGAATATTAAGCAAACTTTTGTTTCCCTCTTATGATACTGATTATATCTGTGTTAAAAATCCATGACAAAATTTTGACACAACAAAATTTTGAAAAATTGCCCAAAAAATTTTTTTGACAAAGTTTATCTGACAAAAATTTATCTGACAAATTTCTTGTTGTTAATTTAGGCTTTACTGGTGCCTCAATAAGAAAGGGGTGCTACAACAACCTAGCCTCTGCTGTTATCAGAATAATGAGCTCTAAATGACAAAAAGAATCTTTTTTACCTTGCTGATAAAAGTTGGTTTCATTTGTACCGTTGGAAGGTTCACATCAAAAAACTTTGGAAGTGTTAGCTAGCAAAGGATAGAAAATAAATAAATACCAGTTTCAAAGAAAATGTTCTAAACAAAAAAAGTTATTAACATTTCAAAGAAATAAGAAGATTCATATGAAAAAATTACATAGAGCGCCAAATAGATAAATGCTAATGAAATAAGAATATTAAATAACTTACTGGTTTTGGTACAGTGGTATACCTCAAGTATGCAACAGCTGACATAATTCCAATATCGCGTCCCACAATTAAAGCACACAAGGAAACTGTACAAATAAAGCATGCAATGAATCTCCAAGATTACATGATGTATGTAAGAATTAGCAAAAATTGAACAGATATAATGAAACTACATATTTGATTAAACAGGGAAAAATAAGTTTTGATACTTTTCAATATGATACCTTCAATGTCACTCCAATCAAGTTGTGATTAGTAAAGCATCTATAGATACAACACATATAGGCATAATAAATTTTTATTAAAGAGCTAAGGAATAGAGCATCAGCGGTTGTTTTTTAAAGGCCTGTGGGCCGAGAAGCCAGAGTTGAACCAATAATTCCAGAATTTCAATGGAAAACAATAAGTCATCTTTTTCTCAGCTTTATTATGATAAGCCACCACCCAAAAGTTTTTGCCACCCACCACTCTATTTTTGATAGGCTCTGTTGTACCAGGCCTTTTACTGAGCAAAACAAAGGTGCTCCATTCGTGGTATAAACTCCTATATAAATCTTAAAAACCAAAATATTTTGGTTAATTGAGAAAATTGTTTAAGTTTCACCAGCATTAATTTCAAACAATATTTTGCTGCAGGGCAATATTGTTTTACATTTTCAGGCGTTCATTAAATCACTCTCCATGGCTTTTTTTAGGTACACTTTAGGTGCTCATGTTGGACCGAGTGCCTTTCCAGACAAGGCCTGGTTGTACCTATGGCTGAAATGTATACACTTGAAGGGTATACCAGAAAGAGGCCATACAACCTTCCTCCTAGCCAGAATTTCAAAATTTAAGGAAGGAAGCTTCTTCTTCTCTGAAAGGTTTTGCCATTTTAAGAAAAGATGAATTGGTCTTCTTCGGCAAATAAATAAATTTACTGACATTTGGCATGATTATCAACAACAAAATTTGCCACACAAACACAATCTCTCACTGATTTCTTTACTGAATATATGATACTTCATCAGGGTCTTTTTCAATAAACCAAGTATCAGAGCAATTTCCGCTCTGCCTAATACATAGATATATATATATATATTGGTTCAAGATGGAGCCAATAATTATCTTCAATTAACATAGACTTGCTTTCCAATCGTTGCCCCATGTCTTCTATCTATACAAAATAGAAAAAATACCTGGGAGGAGGTTGACCCACGCAAGACTGATAGTTGCAATTGTCATAAGAATTTTGTCAGCAGCAGGATCAAGCATGGATCCAAATACTGAGCTTTGATGTTTGAATTTTCGTGCAATGAACCCATCAAGCTATGAGAAATTAAAAACTGAGTATTGAATTTCATGACAGGATGAGAAAATAACTTTGCATAAAAATCAGGTACACAACTTTTGGGGTTGTCCAATGTGATACTCTAAACTTGTGGGGAATAGCAATTAAAAGGCACACTATGAAAAACATGCAAAAAGTGCCTCTTGAGTAAATATTATGCTTTTTTAATGCTGTTCTATTAGCCTTTTTATGCCTTTAATTTTTAATGGCCATTTTTACATAACCCAACTATTAGGTTATTCAACAAAAACATTTCTGACTAATTTTGAATTATCATCTGAAGAACCTTCTGATGGAAGAAAATAATTTAGTTAAATGATCAGGTGCATCATGATTCATCATTATTAAGTCATCACTTACCAAATCAGTAATTCCTGCCACACCTAATAAAATAAGTGCTGTCAAATTCTCAGAGTTCAACAGAAGGTAAGAAATTGCTGGAGCAAGTGATATTCTGACCAAGCAAAGCATGTTTGGCACTGTGAAGATATTTTCCCTCTAAAACAAATAAAAATGAAAATTGCAGTCATATGTATGTGAAATTATTTGCATATGGCAAATAAACTGCTTTGGAAATTAAAAATAACAAAAGCTCCTATTATACATTGTCATTTAATACATGTCCTAAACATATCAATCTAAATATATGACTTGCAGGTTTTGTAAAAATCAGCCAAATTTTAAATAAACGACATTCCATTATTCTTTGTAAATAAATAAAATATTTTTATTGACAAAACATGAAGAAAGGAAAGATTTATTACAAAATATGTCATGTATTCTTGTATTTAATTTGAAACAGATATTTTTAGGCACTTGTGAGAAAGTCAACAGCATCTGTTTCATCACATTATATTTTCTAGCTTTCTATTTACACCTCTCCAAAGACCCCTGCAGGTTGGAAAACAAATTATATGATTTTGGCCAAGTAAGGTACAACCAACAGCACACCACCATCTAGCAAGCAATGGTATTTTAGCTTCAAGCAACCGCCCATAACTTTACAAAATAATAATATATTGACTTTATTGATATTGTGGATCAGGTGTAAGTGTCTAGCATAGCGGCAAACTCCAGCCTTGCATATCCATGTCTATAAAAACCAAGTGCAGTAATTACAACTGGGGCAGCACCCTTGTGGAAAAACACTGATCAAGGCAAAATTACATACTGTAATTCCTTTCAGATTTTTCGAAAAGTTGGCAGCACCTTCTTACTTTATAAAATGATTCAAGCTTTGTAACACACCTTTTAGACCCCTGACCTTTTTGTGTACTAGTTTGCAAAACACAAAATGCAAAACATTTGACCCAGTCAAAGCAATGCTCCGCTTCAGTATGATGTGTGCCAAAAAAAATATCAACCAATTTCCAAGTATGCAGAGCAAGTATGATGATGGCACACCCAAGATACATGGTATCCTTAAGGGCAAACCTAACAACTAGCTTTATTCAAATTAAATCCAGAAAAATTGATAGTTCTGGTGCACCTGGAACATTTGGGTAATTGGGTAATATGACCGTTTTTGACAAGAACTTGGTTGTACCAGCAGCTCCGCACCTTAAGGTTTTACTCATTCATTTCAGCCATGTTTTGGGTGTGTACAAACCAATGTTTACCAGTCATACAAAAAGTATTTCAGTGAAAAAAACACCAGCACTATTTAAAAATTATGTGTGAAGTTCAAAAAATTTGATGTTAAGAATGACACTGACCCAAAAATGGAAACTGAGCACAACTCAGTAAGCATAGCTATTTAGCTAGGAATGACCCTGTACTGCTGTATGCCAACTGCAATATTTTGGCATGTGAGGGAATGCATTTCCAATGCAACTTAGAAAAATCAGCACAGCTGCAGGAGGAATGTGGATCTTCCCCACTGTGTGAAGACAAGCCACAATTATCAACAAAATCATAGAATTGAAATTGATGATAAAGTTATCAGTTATTCATCCTGCAGCTTTTTACTTTTTACTTTTCAAGGCGACTTGTTCCTGTGAAAGAATTAGCAGCAGAGAAACATTTACTGCACACAAAAAAAACACTCTGCAGTCTGGCCTGTATGTAAATCTACCATACCTGCATGCAGACTGGTTAGAAAGGATACTAATTCCATACTGCAGGCCAGTGTGAAGCAAAATCATACCTTTTTGGTGTCTGTTGAAAAAACTCTTTTATTCCGTAAATAATCAATGATATGCGTGGATTTCCTGACAAGAATACCACTTTCTGGAGGTAAATAGTTTTTCTCAAATGACAGTTTATTAACTGGAACACATTGACTTGCATTTTTCCATAGTTTAATCATAGGTTTACTCGGACTAAGTTTGTTATGATAAAGTCGAAAACACGTTCTTTGGGATCTTTGTTGACCAAACTGTTGATGGTTCATAGAAATTAATCTAACATTCCTTAATTTGCTGCATGATTCGAACAAATTTTCCCTTGATAAACAGTTAATGCATGGTATCGATATCTTCAGTTTCGCTAGGCTCATTGTGTTGTTGTGATCAGAAGAAGTCTAATGACTCTTGTCTAAAACAACTTCTTCTTTCGGCAGCTCCTTTTAACCAGGAAAGCAATTTGATTTCTGAAAACAGCAGTTTTCATCCGCTTTCAACTGCTGTAGATCCCACTTGCACACTTTTTGAGCTCTTCTCCTCAACAACAACACTCCACGTGATCTCTTTTTAGTGAAGACAAGATCTCGTTTTAAAGAAAAGGCATGTAACACGAGGCTGAAATACAGAGATAGGCCCGCAGTCGAGCAAATTCTAACTCAATTTTCATTCATAAAAACGATGATAAGATAAAGATGATACTACAAAGGTTTTCAAATTTGCAGCATGTGCTACGGACGATGAGAAATATTAGTAGTTCTCTATTTAGGTCTCGGAGCGTTTCCGCCTCCTCTATTTTAGGTATGCATATAATTGAAATGTCTGCCTAATCGAATGTCGTACGCTAAATAGCGGAACATTTATGATCCAGTTGATTTAGTGCTGTTCAGTGCTTTATTATTTGCCTGTTGATGATATTTTATATTATCATCGATTTAAGATTAGAAGTAACAATCTATTACTCAGGTCTTGTTGTATATATTTGACGAGGGGTACCATTTGCACGAAAGCGATGTCTCTGGCCCATCATTGCTCACTTAGATCGCAAGATGACTTTCTAAATTTGTTTTCAAGATAGATTGAATAAAGTACGTAATCGAGTAACCCTCTTGAGAGCTGGACTGCCAAGATATTTTTCAGCCCTAAGGCAAAATTGAAAGGAGCTTGATCTCAGGAGCTTGTGCATTTCAGAGATAATTAAATTGAGGCTGTGTTTGCAGGGTATGAATGAATTTGGGTGCAGCAAAAGCCCCCATATCAGGTGCAGGTGTGCCAGAGTGCAAGGTATATTTTGTGTGCAGGGAATAGTTTTCTGTCACTTAAGCTTGCGCATGAACTAATTATGTTGCAAAATTGCAGGTTAAAATCTGTAGGATTTTTTTTTCAAATAGCATTCGTAAGCAGTGAGATTGTGCATGGGATTAACTCAAAAGACGGTGCTGCATCTTTTTGGATTATTCTAAATTTGCAAAAATTTGTGGACAGGATTTGAGAATAAACCTATTATTGCCTGGGAAATGGATTCCCTGTGCATACTCAAACTTTGCAGGCTGGTAATCTTTGCAGTTGAGGTATACACTGTAACCATGCAAAATGCTAGGTTGAAATCTTGTTTTAATTGGTAATATTCTGCAAACAAGCAAACACACTGGAAGTCTAGCAATGTGCGTAAAATTCAATGAAGTGGTGTTTTTGAAACATTTGTGAATGTATGACAAAAACTTGTGCTCAGAATTTATTGCAAAGGCTTTTGATGATATCTTATGTTCTTTTATTTTTCCTGCACTTAGATGTCAGATGTTTAATCAGTGGAATTTTCGCGTGGAACATGACCAGATAAATCATGTGTCACAATGAAAGATTCTGAATAATGTGTGGGTGGACTAAAGAAAAAAGTTGTTGCGCTGGGAAGGTGTTCCCCACACAGACCAAACTTTACAGCCTTGGTTGTAACTATTCATTCAAAGTTTTATGTAATATTTGATAGTAGAATTTTATTTTTTTAGCCATCAAAGCTTCAGAGCTTACAAAAGAGAACCTACCAACCAGGATGTCAAATGGATGTCCTATTTGTAGCAGAGGAATCACATTCTCATATAAGGTGAATCAAAATTGATCTGTTTTTATCTGGACTTCTTCCACATTAGCAACTCATATGGGATTTACTCTTTAACACATGTTTACTAATCTATTTTTGTAATTTGCTACATTTTTGCCTATTTTAATTGACAGAAAGGATTCTGGATTTCGAGGAAATTTATGCTGAAAGAGAAATTTATGCCTTGATAATCATACAAATTTTTTTCATTAAAAACCCATTGAGTGAACCTTGAAAATTGAAGTTCAGAACTTCCTAACATGGACGTATCATAAAGACCTCAAGGTTAGTTTATAGTTCAAGGAACCTACGACGATACCAAAAATTTTTTCAGTGTTTCCTTTGAAGGAGAACAGTTCTTGTTTCCACTGTGATTTTTATGCAAGCAGGAACAGCATGGTGCTAGGTAAATGTGCATTTATAGTCAGATCAGGTTGAGGGACAATGATTTCTAATAATAGTGCGGTTGCAAATGAATCTACAGTAGTATCATTTAAATGTTTGTGTAATATGAAGTTAAGCAGAACAGTATGCATTAAAAAATTTGCACCTTCTGTGCAACTCTATCAAGTTTATCATTTTTCATTTAATATTTAATATCAAGCCATTGGTTTTTCTAAATTGAAGCTGCATTCTTCTTTGCATCAAATGTGGCATAAGTCCTGCCATTTTCCAAAAAGCTTCCCAAAAAACCAATTTTACAAAGCAAGAACATTAGGAGACTTTTAAATGAAAGGCTTTTTAATTATTGCTGGTGTTTGCAAACGTTTTTACTATAAAATTGTTACTCATTCTGTTTTTGACCAATCAATACCTAATTGCTTGGTCTTATGAAGGCTTACAAACTTCTGAAGTTCCACAGTGAAATGTGTTATGGCGTTTTTCTTATAGCGAATATAAACTTGGAATTGCTTTTACTACCATTTTCCTAGATATCACCAGCATAAGTTCAAACATCAAAATTTTATCTTCAACCATCAACATTGATAATTATCAAATGCCTTATCAGCAAATTAATTTGCTTTTTAGGATGTTTTATTTCTCAGCCAATTTATGACACCAGATGGAAAAATGCTCAATAGGCGTGTATCAGGTTAGTTTGTAAAATGTTTCACTAATAGAGGATTTGAATAGAAGAGTAAATTCTCATAGAATAACAGAATTAATGAACCTTCCAACACATGCCAGCATGAAAACAAACGTAAAACTGAATTTGATGATGAATTGACAAACTAAATCATAGGATTTTACCATGCAAAACTTTAAATGTAAAGGCCCATTTTTAGTCGGAAATCTTCTCATGACAAGACTTATTGTCTTGTCAGGCCAGCTATATATCTGTTTGTATGTATAGATTATAAAAAAATTGGATAGTGAGGGTCTGTTGCAATTGAAATATTATTGATTTCTTGATGCCAATTGTCAGAGTCTTTTTTAATAAGGGAGACTTATAAGGAACTTCAATTCCTGTAAAAACCTGTATAAGTCATTTATGCAATATATATTCCAACTTCATTTTCCTATGTTTTTTGTGTACCATTTCTGTTTATTCAATAGGTGTTTGTAAAAGGCAGCAGAGAGTACTTCAAAATAAGATAAATGTTGCCAGGAGATTAGGTAACTGAATTTCCATTATTTCATTGATTCAGAAGCTAAGTTATGCTGCAAAACAATATGAGGTATTCAATGAGCAAAATAAACTGCAACTATGCGTTATCTATAGCACCAATAGCAAATCATTTACTGAGAGTTTTTCTGAAACTTTTACTGGAGTAGGTCTCGATACTCTAATTAGCAATCCTCTTATTTTTCCAACTTCTATTGTGTATATTTAAGCTAATTGTGTGGAATTTATAATTTCTGTGAATTGGGAATTGATGCAAGAAGGAAAAGCAACATCAAATAAAGAGAGGAACATTATATCACAAAATACTTTGTCCAAGCATACTTTAGGTTGTTTTTTATGTAATCTTTGTATAAAACTACCCTTCATAGCCAATATAATTTCAAATTAGAAATTTGAAAAAATTCTTAAATTTATGTTGTGTTTCTCCATTTCATTATCAGGTATTATACCAAATTACACAAAAATAAAAGATGAAATTGGTTTGGATTCATAGGTCAAGCAGTGTGTTGTGAGGTCCTTCTAGCTTCGCAAAGTAAGACTGTTTTAGGTCGATTGTGGACATTACCTGTAAAATGTAAATAGCTTACTTTTCAGTCTTTGATAAAACATCATGTATGCATTGGAAATGCTTGTCATTTCAGCAAAATGTTAAGCACTTGTCTTTCTGTTTGGTATTTCAAATTTTATTCTCTTTTTCAACTCATAACAATATGCAATATCTATCATGAAAAAGGCTTTTCAGATCCGGGCTCATTATATGGCCCAGGAACTTGGACTTTAAACTTTGTCATTTTACAGCTAAGGCAATGATTTTCTTTACTTAGCAATCTTCAGTTTAAAAACACACTACATCCTTATATTTTTGCTTGATGCTTACCACAAGTATGAAATCTTGCTAACGGGGAAGAGTTGACAACAGAGCTCTATAGTGGTGACGTCACAAAAATATAATTTTAAAATTTTTCAATTTGATCCCTTGACCTGATTGAGTACCATTAAATACCTTTAAATTTGCAAAATCAGTTAAATTTAATACGAATTGTTTGAAATTTTGTGATATGAGCACAGGCTCTTTATTTATCGAACCTCTGTGATTTGGTCTCTGTTCATAACTTTATTAACAGACCTAAAATAGCAGCAGTCCGTTAGCAAACTTCAAATCTTTCATTATCCATATCTCTCCCGATTTTCTACATGCCAACTGATCTTGCATATTTCTGGTGTTTTTCCAGCCATGCAGTCAAATTCTAAAACTATAAAAAATACATCTTTTATGACGTCACATTTAAGAACTCTATGCCTACAATCCTTGCCAAAACTGCTTGAAAAAGGCAAAAGAGTGCTCTTTCTACTTCTCTGGACAACTCTACTTCCTACACCGTAACCCGCCCTCTCACCCCCTAAACATTGTTGGTTAGAAAATTTTTGTTCTTATTTGATTGCAGGAAAACGTCTCATATCAAAAGCATGTCTATAAAGCATATACATAGAAATATTCAACATTGTTTCAGAGAAAGAGGGGATGCGTGAAAAGTTTCGGGAAGGTTTTCAAGTGTTTTGGCAAGGATTGTAGTCCAAAAAATATAGGTCTAGATTACTGTCACGGTTATCGGTAGAAAAAATAATTGTGGAGGTAAGAATGAAGAAATTGTGTCCCCATTTACTCTTGGGGGACTGGAAGCAAATCACTCATGAATACTTGACAAAATATTCTTCCCCCAGGATAATTTCAATGAAACAAGAATTTGAATAATGTTTTGGCGGTCCAAAATTTGAAAATGGCTTTGAATAAATCAAAAATTTTACAACATACTAAAAGCTTTTTCGTCCGACACTTTTCGTCCGACACTTTTTCGTCAGAACAAGAAGGGTCCACAAGAACAAGATTTAGATGTATACGTACCCAAATGTGGATCGAAAAAGGCCAATCAGAAAAACACGATCACATGACCAATATAGTTGCTTAATCAGTACAGCTAGCCTATAGATAATTGCCACTGGAATCCACGAGGGGAAACGCCACAAAATCTTTTAATATGTTGCAAAATTTTTGCTTTTTCAGAAGCAATAATTATATAAAAGACCATACTTTGGCTTTTATAGACATGTAAAACTTCTTTTTTGTCGGTAGACGTCCATAATGGCAGTATTCATTTCTCCTGCACGTAAGGTTGTGCGTTCGAAGCCAGTTGTTACCCATCTGTGGTAGTAAAAGTAAAGTTCAACTACACTCACTCACTCCTAAGGACAAGATTTCACCTTAATGTGTAGCAGCCCTTGTTAGATGTGGAAGGGTGGGGTGCAGCATTCATGGCCCGAATTGTACAATTATCTAGAAGGTTCTTCAGGGCACACCGCAACGCGACGAGAATAAACAACAACAAACACAAAAATCAGTGATGGCTGATTTTTATGTTTGTTGTTGTTTATTCTCGTCGCGTTACGGTGTTCCTTATATACCACTTTTTTATCGATTTTTCGCCGCAAGATTTTTTCCGGGGTCCGTCGAGCAGCCTGCTATCGTGGCCTCTCCTTTATTCGCACACGTAAACAAATCTTGTTCTGTTCAATTTTAAAGCCAGTCTTGTCTTGAACTGGCTTAGATAACAGACTGAAGACACCTCTAAAAAACCATAACTTTGATCCGAACGTTAGGAATTTTGATCTATAAATTTATCCCTCCTACGGTATTGTGTACAAAGTATAAAGAAATGATCTGTTTTTTTCGTTTTATGCGATTAGGGAATCTTAATTCTTGGATATCTCTGAAAGTAGAGTTAGCTTAATATATAAGATCTAGCACTTAGATCAGGAATTTTTTATTTTCTGTAATATGCCATTGGAGATATTTCTGTTTGTGTATGGTTATCGATTTCAGAAACCAAAGCCTACCTAAGAACGTTATCCAATTTGATCTTTATGTAAGATATTTCGATATATATCGTAGTTTCATAAACAACTGATTCTGCATTTCATGCTGCAAAGATCGCTTTGAAATGTCACCGATAACAAATTATGTTATATCGTCTTCAAAAATTGGTTTTAACCGAGATCATGATACTAAAGGACCATTACTTGCAGATAAGATATCTAATCCATTGAAAAATATACGGCGATGAAAGTGATAAATGAAATTTCGCGCAGAATTTTCCAACGAAACGTTGTTATCGATGATTCCTACCACTTATCCCTATCAGGGATTTTACTAAGCCTTCTCTTGTATTTGCTAATGAATTTTCCATCTGGGCTTCATCTTTGAGGTTTTGTATCAAGGGTCCCAAACTTTGAGACTTGAGAGAGAATTAGAAAATTCGAAGCTAAATTTTTCTTCAGGCTTAAACATCTGTTTTGTCAAAAATATCATCGTCAAGTTGTGTATAATTTGTGTTGATTTGTTTATGTTTTCAGCTTAAGTTAGATAAATATAAATACGATGGTAGATAGATCGATAAACTGCATGTTTGTTTTGCAATATTTCCGCTGATCTTTAGCGCCTTTTACCGTCTTAAGAGATACGACCAGCATAGTAAATGTCTTAACAATATTATTTTCATTGCTATAACGAGACATGTTTTGCAGATTCTCCTTTTGTGTTTAAGGCAGGTTTTCGTAAATTTTCTCCGGGTTAATAAGCAACAATGGCTTAAGTCAATAAAAAATCAATGAACTTAAGGACCTGGTAAAGAAATTATAAACAGCTAGATAACTTAAGATTCTTTGTGTTTGTTTTTCTCGTAAGCATTTTTCTTGTCACATGCTTCTGATTTCCTACTACGGAGGCGCGAGTACTCGTATCTAGTGTCCGAACAGTTCGGAAACTTAAGCATGTTGTTGCTGAAATCTTGGAGATTTTAATCGTCTTTAAAGTCTGGCTTTGAGTCGAGTACTTAAAGAAAATAGTATTATTATTAAAATAAAGAAAGTTGAAGTGAGATTAGATGGAAACTAATACTGTTTTATTGCTAAAACCTTTTCGATAAGAAATGTTAGAAAAAATATTTTTGGAATTACTGATTTAAGGCCTATAAAGACCACCTACCTACTTCTAAATTGTCTCCCTATGGCCCTACTGTTATGATTACCTCATTTTTAAAAGAAAAATTCTTGAACTGAAAAAAGATATCACGTACTGTTCATTTTTTGTTTGCCCCTTGAAATGTTTGAACAGCAAAAGGGAGTAGACAGAGAGTATGTGACCTTTCACTATTGTTAAGCCATTTTCATTTCACCAAAATGTTATTGTTTATCCAAAAATGTGTTTTTTTAACTTTTATCTAATGCAGATTTTCTTGAGTCGTTTTTATTCAACAAAATTGAAAAGGATATAGTCGAGCATCTGTTTGTTGTAAAAGCAACGCTGCTGCTTTGAAATGATATTTTAACAACGCCGTAACATTAAGCCAGCAGCTTTATCCCAAGGCAAGAACTTTTACTTCGTCTAAGAGTCGCTAAGTCCTAATCTTTAACCTTATTAGTATGCTAAGACAAGGTCACCTATGGATATTTTACCTAAAGCTCTCAGATATTTTATAAACAAACACTGCAATAACGAAAGAAATATTGAAATGCAAAGTGTTGTAAAATGGAAATTTTTTTGACGGGGGAGAAACTTTCCTGAGTGTTGGTGCCTCCATCATGATTTAGTCTCAGAAAACTAGTCGCAGAAATATTTATTTCAACAAAGATTCTCATTATTGCTACCGCAACGGTCTTAATACCTTATCTCTAGTTTCTTGAGGCTCTTGTATCCTGGAAAGGGAGAAAAAAGGCCCGATAAAGGTGAAAGCGATTGGTACTACAGTGGTTGGCCTATTCCTTATATACACTCATTTTTTGCAACAAACAAAGAGTACTCCAGTTTCTTAATTTTCTGGAAATTTTAATACTCATTGTTTCTTAAGAGTTTCTTAATTATGATGCCATGAATGATGTTATGAAATGCTATTGACCCTTTTTATCGAGTCAAGAGATTCGCTTCTATTCTGATGCTGTATTTAGATGTGGGGAGCAAATTTTTATCCCTTGTGTCTTAAGTTCTAGGCCAACAGGGCAATCATGTAATTGGATTTTACAAAACTTCGCTGTTCTCAGTTTTATCACCCTTTAATAGTTTCTTAATTTTTTACTTCGAGTACTGAAGTTTCTAAATTTTTTTCTGACTGTCCAGTACTCGTTTCTTATAGCCAGTTTCTTATAAAAAGAGTGAGTGCAGGTCCAGATGAAAACAGACGATAAGTTTTCTAAATCTGGATAGGCTCATTATTAGGCCTTTTTGTGATGCTGCATCATGCCCTATTATGACTTGCTTCAGCACTGGGGAGAAATTGAAATAGCTTTAGAGACGTACAATTTGGACTTTATTTTTTTAGTTCCCGAATTTGCTTTTCGCCTCCCTTCATGGGAGACGATTTACCAAATTAAAGCTAATGAAAGTGTTTTACTGGATTTGCTTTGATGGAGAAAACGAAAAGCCTATTTCACACTACAGATAATTTTCCAAACGCTATGATTTCAACCTTGGCAATAAACAGCTCATTCCATATTCACTCTATACCAGCAGATCTTTTCCAAATGAACTTCCTCCTTAGTGGACAGAGTAATTTTTTACAATGTTGAACCACAAGTTAGAATCAACACTTTTCTTGTGGTTCAACCTTTTTTTAAAACTAACAATTTTTCAGCAAGCTTATTTGAGTAACCTATAAATGTCAAACAGGAAACCTATTTTTTATTCTGAAAAACTTGAAATTAAAGCTTGGCATGTCTTTGCGAAAAAGAAATCTTACGAAATAACTCCGCTTTTGATTCAATGGACTTTCACTTATCTTATATTTTAGCTATCAAACGACTACTTCAGAAATGTTCAGGTTTTATCTGAAAGGCCATCAACTACTGATAACAAATTCATATCACTGGTAACAAAGCTGTGTGAAGTTATCGAATAAGAAAGCTTTGAGAAGTTATCGCTAAGAAGGTAGAAATTCAAGTCACCTGTGTTTTTAATCTATAACCCAAGAACGTTCTTGAACCGACCTAAGGTAATTAGCTGTGGCAAGATGGCTTGTTCATTCCAAATAATGGATCTGTGTCGTCTCTTAGTCGCCATTGATATTACTCTTTAGTCAAACGAGATTAACTTTCGATTTTTTCTTTAAGCTGGACAAACAAGTTGAAATAAGAACAAGGAACAACGCCCAATCCAAGAACAAATTGTTTCATCTTCACTTCTGGGTTCAAATAAAAATGTAAACATTTCATCAATTTGTTTGAACGAATAAAAGAAGTGTTTGCCATCTTGGTGTCTCGGCAAAATTGGTGTAAATTTGCACACGACAGTGCGTTTCCAGTTAAAAGGATTACTGTTCTTCTTGTATGATAAGTTTTGACCAGTGTTGGATTTAATTTTATAGAAAATGCACAGAATTTTAGACAAACTTAACAAAAAAATGAATAATTTATTAAGTATGATATCAGGAGTCTGGAATAAAATTATATAAATCTTCTATCCAGACCTAAAATTGGGTTAAGGGATTAAATCTAAGTCAATATAATTTTTAGAAGACAAATAAATTTTTCTGGATATCATGTTTGGAGAAAGTAAGCAGCTTGGAGAAGGAGCATAGTTCTTTTTTATTGAATAAAATTATAAAATATTATAGATATATTTTATTTATAGGATATTCAAGAATATGTTCAAAATAATTATCACATTATGAGTAGATAAGCAAATAGGAACCATAGGACATCAAAGTTGCAAATGTGCCATTTTGATTTTTGAAGAAGGTCCTTTTGTTTTAAAATGCGTGTGCTGATGCTTTTAAGTTCTGATTTGCATTCAATTCAACGCTATAATGTCTCTTAGCAATTGTAAAGTACAAAAAGTATAAAGTATGGGATCCTAACTGAAAAGAGCAGGATAATTTAAAGAGGTTTAGGAGGGCAAAAAGGCCGGGGCCAATGCTCCGATGGGGCTTGGAATAATCTTACACCATGTTGCTACTAGATTGTTGCAAGATATATTTACAAAGCAGATAACATATTCTTTCAGGTCTACTTATATGGAATCAATGCCTGTAAGTTTATCACAGAGAAAAACGATGTCCACATGTCCTGAATGAAATCTTTTCAAGACTCCTTAAGAAAGATTTTTCAATAATTGTATCTAAACGATGTTTAGATATGTGACTCTAGATGTGACTCTAGGGCGTTGTAAATTTTCTAAGAGGGGCTTGGGGCCGGTTTTGTAAATCATACCTGGACCTGAGCTGGTAAGGACGGCTCTGACCTTAAAACCTTGACACTAAAACTCTTTCAATATCCGATCATAAACCTACATACCTTATTTCTGAGAAGCAAGTACATAAAATTCAAATAAATATATGAACCGTAATATGAAATGTATTTAAAAGATATGGACGCACGTTGAAACTGTTGTACAACCCCTTTATCTTATAAGGGAAGTTCTCTTACAGCAACATGATATAAATCTGCTTCTTGGTCAGAAGCCCTAATCTTGAAACATTCAAACCCAGAGTAATATGGTACAACAAAGCAGTAGTCATTGCGGCCTCCCTTGCACAAATAACTTGCGAAACCCCCGTCTTCATTCAAGCAATATAGCAACTTCTTATAGATAATGCTTGCAGATGTCTCGTAGCTTCAACAGTGAAGAAGACGGACGAGCCACGTTATATTTGATTGAAGCACGTGTTGAAGCGTCTGTGATTAGCAGGGTGCCTGCCCTCAACTACACTTAGAAAACGTTTGATATCTCGAAGCACTTTCAGTGGCGTGGAGCACCAAACTGGAGTTCTGAGGCAGATCTTGAACTGGTAAGTCTGTTTTTCATCTTCACGGCTTCAGTTACTGGAATAAGGTCCATTATAAAAGACAACCTTGAAAGCATGGAAAGACATTCATGCATTTTTGAATTTCATACTTAAGCAGCTAAATGCAGGCAAGGCAAATGGAAGGCATGTCGTGCCATTCTGCCAATCGGAGCATGTAGATTTCTTCGAATACTTTCTTTAGAGTTGTTTAGTTATAATTCAACCAGATTTATCTGTTTGCTTTAAAAACAAAACAATAATTTTAAGAAACGATTCGATTCATATCAAGATACTGATTTAATTAAGTAACTGCTTAGCATAACTGGTTATCTAAACTTGCCGATTTATCATTGTTTCTTTGCCTCGAATTATCATGTATATTGAATGCATCGTGTTTGCTTAATCAATAGAGAACAGAATGGCCGTTTGATCCGTCTCAACGGTCCAGAAAAACCTCCTATCAATATTCATACTATTTTGTTAATAGACGCACGCTTTGGTTTACAATCTATTTGTTAAAACCAGACGATAAAGAATTTAATAATAATTAATCTTGTGCAGCATAGACAATATCATGGGTACCTGTCGCTTTTCCTTTAAGACAAGACAACTAGACATTGTTAATTAAGGTATCTACTTTCCAGATGAATTTTTGCTGCTGTAGAGCAATCATTTTAATGATATTATAGATTGGAGAGAATCTCGTTTTATTATTGGTTAACAGCCTTCCCACCTTGTCTAGCAATGGCAGGAGGGCATGAGGCGTTTCCTCTTCAATAAATCGCGTTTGGTGTACTTTGCTCAGAATCACCTGGGTGTCAACCTATTTCAAAATAATAAGTGCTAGCTTTCGTCTCATCTGTTATTCCAGTGGCATCTACAGATATTCATTTCAGCTGCACTGGCGATGCAGGATGGTCGATGGTCTTAATATCTGTGTTTTTTAGATTTGCAACAATGCCAAGGCTTTCACAACACAACAAGATAATAATATTTGAGCCATTCAGCTACACATGTCTTAATAATAAATCGGAATCAAGGTATTTAGGGGATATTCCAGTGAGGGTCTGTACTATCAAAGTCGCTGGGAGACTCAACAAATCTTCATTTATCAGAATTAATCACAAGAAGAGCTTGAAAATCTACAAAAAAATTAACATAGCACCTTCGAGGAAGACATTTTCAAATCTATTCGATTTTCAGCTTAAACTTCAACCAAATGTAATGTAACTCGTTTACCTTGGACGTAACGAACAAGAGTTGATGTACCCTTATCCTTATAGGTCTAGACCCTAAACTAGCACATTTCGATTTTTTCACAACAAACCTTAGACCAATGAATCGTATTGTAATTGCAAGAGAAAATTAACAGCTCTAGCCTTAGCTATGCAGCTAGTGAGCTAAATGTATCAGACAATATATTATCAACTAAAATATTTTTAATTGTACACGATCCAATTGTTTGTGCTGTGATTTTTGCGAAATATAACGAAATGTCAATCATTTAGATTTATGTTGTCTAATTCCAGAAGGTATTTATGACTTTTCTTAATCACCCAACGCCCATATGCACGTGCATCGATTATAATTATGGCGTGAATAGGTCAGTCGTCTATTTCAACACGGAATAGCTCGAACCTTATACAAGACTTGGTAGAAAGATACTGATCTACCTCGTGGATAAATTAAGTATCAAGTTTTGTAGCTTTCTTTGCTTTACATTTGTAACTAATTTTACATGTTCTAGAACTTGAATTGTTCTCCTCTCTTGGTAGTGATTTTCTATTTACTAACGACATATGCTTAAGGTATTAGTCTGGGACTCATCTGAACCAGGTAAAGTAAAATTTGGAGATAATGCAGGGGATATTGAGAGTTAGCAAGCATTTCGTTTCCCGCAATCCAAGAAAATCTAGGATTAAAAACTATTTCAAGAATGTTGTTAGAGAATTCTTTATCTTTGATCTTTTCAACACAAAAATGTTATTCTTGGGCTTGAACTGTAGCATTGTGGGAATAAAGCTTATAACTGAAAACATAAACCAGAAGATGCCACGACATCTTGATATGACAGCAAAATTGGCCATGTTAGCCGTGAGGAAGAATCTCTCGAAATATAATATTCATCGTTAATATTTCTAAGCCATATTGATAACAAGGCGCAAAAGAACCTGCGATAAATATCAACATCCCGTTGAACGTTCGCTTTTTGGAACAGTTTCCTGAAGTTGCGTTGTAACCGTTGCACCGTAGTTGTTGGAACGTTGCTGTTGCGATGAAGCCGTTGCGTTGTAAACGTTGCGTTATAGCTGCAGCATTGCAGCCGTTGTATTGTGGACGTTGCGTTTAACCGTTGAGTTGCAGTCGTTGCGTCGAGACGTTGCCTTATAGCTGTTGCATTGTAGACCTTATAGCTGTTGCGTTGTAACCGTAGCGTTGTAGTCGTTGCATTATAGCCGTTGCATTGCAGCCGTTACATTGCGGCCGTTGCATCGTAGCTGTTGCGTTGTAGCAGCAATTAGTTTTAAATTTGGTACAATTAAAACGTTAATGGGAAAGAAAGGCCAGTCATAATGCCACACCCCTTTGTTTCTCGAAGCCCCAAATGGAATTGGATTTCTCACTTCTCCGTCATTTTTCCTATTTATGATATGGAATTATCCACATCACAATTGTCTTTCAGTCATAGTACTATCTGTACGTTGTACTGCAATGGTAACTTAAGGTTGTGAATTGGCTTTTGTTAAGTTGAAAAAATAGAAACAGGAATCTTTTACAGATGCAACCTCGAGGGGTTGTTTCCCTGGAATCACAACGTCTGATAGAATACGTTTCATTTAAAGGGCTCTCTCCCGCATTCTATTATGCATTCCGTCTTCATAGAGGACGTCTGTCTAAGCCTAAGAAAAATGCATTTCTCTTGGCGAGTTTTATTATTTATGTCAATAGTCGAGATAATATGGGCTATATCAAAAAGCACCGTATTGAAATCAAAAACAAAAGTCCCAAATAAAATTCTGGAATAAAGGAAATAAGCCAAAACAGCAAGGAAATAAACATTTGCAAGTGCTGAATAGCAAAATCCGTTTTAAATTACAAAGAGTTCAGACTGCTCTATGAATGCTCTTTCAATGAAATGTTGTTTTATTCTAGACGAAGAAACACTGAATAATGAATAAGCCCCATTGAAAGTTTTTTACATATACTGCAAGCAATCTGTGATAAATGCCTTTTATTTTTCGTAGTTTGCGATCCATGAAACAAGAAGTTTGAGGATATCCAGCCCAATTCATGGAAACAGTTCTAAAATGATGTATTCTTTGTAAAAAAATACAAAAAGCTCCTATCAGTCTTGCTTAATAGGAGTGGAAAATGCCAAGGACACGGCCTAAATCTTTCCCAAGCGAAGAGATTTTAAGCAGCGGCTCGTCAGATAGTGGCCTGGAATCGGATACGCTGACAGTAGTTTTAACAATTGAAGCAGATGTCGCAAAGAGCCTTAAAGCCACTCATCCAAATTTCCAGTTTGGAGCGGAGCAACCCCACAGGACTCGAATGAATAATTTACAAAATGCGTTGGATTGGGTAAAAACAGAGCTCGTTGAGATGAAATTGCAGGACAAACAATTGGCAAAAACTATGATTGACCTTAGATCAAAGATACAACAAACGAAAATAGACTTTGAAAGCACTGCAAATGACTATGGATACGACTCTGATGATGGTGATGATGCCGAATGCGACAATGCAAAGGCCAAAGTGAAAACACCTACCAGTATTTTGAGTTACCAGTTTATCGGAATTAATGGCGACGACTTTGATCAGAACAAACGGGCTACGTGGGCAATTTGATTTATTCAAAGCAACAGCTGAAGTGCTTTAAAGTACAATAAGGTCATAGTCATAGTTCGAGACTAGAAAAATATCATCAATAAAGGCGTAAACTTCTCCGGGCAAAAAGCGAGGGGAGTTGGGAGCTGCCGTTTCCTTTCTAAAAGTTTCTTACTTTATATTCTACATCACCTTTCAAAGCTACCATTTAATAAAAAATATCCCTTACAGACAGATTCACCTGACTTCATTCTTTAACAAAATGCAAAAGATATTTTTAGGTTCTCTCGCTAATAAACCCTTTTAATCACTTTTAAGATCGTTGTTTTACGCTCTCTCTTCAAAATCAATGTTTAAGTTCATAAATATTAAATATTATGGGCTAATATATAAGACAAAACTTTTTAGTTTTTGTGTGCTCCAGTATCAACATCTAAATTTTTCACGTTCAATATAGATCTCCTTTCTGTTTAGTTCTTTCTGCTTAAAAATTAAGCCATTTTAAATAAAAACAGTACTAGATCTCTTTTCTTCTAAAATTTGTCAGATCTATAACTTGATATGAATGTTAAACTTGCAATTTTAAGATCAATATTTTATGTGCCAAATGTTTAAAAAATATATCACTTAAAATCACGGAGCAATGCTCTACTTATGCCGAAGCAGGTCCAGTCAGGTTTTTTTTGTGGGGGGGGGGGGGTTGTTAACGGGGCTCTAGATCTATATTTTTTCATTACTTTCGGTTTCCTTTTATGAGGATCAAATTTCTGTAACTCATCATACTAATGGGCACGTTAACGTCTATGGGTCGTTGTATGACGTTATACTTCTTAAAAAATCATCATGGATGTATTCTGGATTTCCTTTAGCATTAACTAATTCGTTTAAAATGCTGCCCCGTGGCTCTTTACGTTTCAAGACTTTTAAGATCGTTTTCCTAATTGCTAGCTGTTTCGTTCTCAGAGTTAAAACTGATAATACAATGTTGGCGACGTCATTTTAGTCGAGGTTGCATTCATAGATCTTAAAAAAGGCATACATTCCTATTACAGACTCCTCTACCGTAGCAGCAAAATATTTCCAAAAAACAAATTTCTTCAGAAAATACTAAATGATTCCTTTTTGAGTTATCTTCAGGGCTTCTAAGAAATATTATCTGGGTTTATCCGGGCTGATCAGAAAACATTGACAAAACCCTTGTTGATAAAGGTTTATAACAAAACGAATACACCTTCTTCTCGACAAGTAATCCTCGTTCACCGATCTTCAACCACATCGTGTTCCTCGTCATATAACTAGGGCAAGCAGATGTCAATCTCTGGCGTCTTTTTGTACCAAATACCAAACATCATGCATATTTTATTAGCTTACATACATTATGGTGAAAAAAGTCTCTAGAAAACCCTTCTTGGATTAAGGAGCAATTTCGTGTTTGCAAACAAAGGAAACACAACTTTATACGCAGAAAACCCATCAGCAATCAGCTTTTCGCTGTATAATCTTCAATAAAGGATCATTTTTTCTACCATTTTAACCAAGACAATAAAAAATTATTTGCATGGTAGGAATGGAAACCTGAGAAAATCTTACGAAATCTACTAGCTCGTAGCATGACGAGAAATGACTAATCTGATTTTCGCTAAATCCAAAATAAGGCTTTCGTAAAATCATAAATTGATAAAATTGATTACGAAGGGCTTAACTGGCAAAAAACTATTTTGAAAGGAAGAAATGTGGCTTTTTAATCTAGCATTTATCTTCATATAATGCGGCACCCATAGTTCACCCATTGCATGGAAACGTTAAAATTCTAACAATAACATATGATGCTAAATTTAAGCCATTCTTCTGGAGAAATCCTGTCCAACGTAGGCATCAAGCCAATTACAAAACCCTCTTTCAGAGAAAGGTAATCTTGACAATTTCTTCTACTTTAAATATGAGGTATACAAAACAGGTTGAGAATCGTGTTACTCTTATAATCTAATTTATACCCCTGTTACGTATACAGCATCTATCAAAAAATCTAAGTGACCCGTCTCACTGGTCAACGTTTAATATCAAATGCAACATATAATTCACCATACGATAGCTTTTATTTAATATAGTTCAAATAAATTTTTGTCCCATCTTGCGATTTCTACCCCTATAGTTTGAATATTAGAGATTTATAATCTTGCCTTTATTCTAATGCATCCATTTTCCGGAGGCGATAACCAGACATTTGATAAGTCGCAAAAACCCGCTGGAAAAGATTAGAAAAATTGCACCCTTGCTAACTTTGAATAGACGTATTGGTAAAAAAGCAGTCAAGAAAATATTTACATGTAGCTTCTAGATCTAGCATTTAGATAGCAAAAACCAATGACCTTATTTCAGTTTTGTCTGAAAAAATTTCGGTTGAAGGATAATTAAAAACAATCAGGGATTTTTAAATAGGCTGCATAACCTGCAAATAGAAAATGGTTCAGGAATTGAATGCGGGATGAGAACCTTGAAACTAGAATGGCATTTAAGTGACACTTTTAGATTCATTCAAGACTGACCATATTCAGTTTATACTCTTTCCTTATAAATTCACTATTCCGTGATGAAGTGTGGAGATCAAGTTATCATAGGGCAAGTTACACAATGGGGTATTGTTTGATGTTTTAATCGGCACAGCGGTCTCTAGGTTATCAGTTCAAAATGTGCCAAGCCATGTCGTGAACAGTTCACTTACGGGACATTTTGCCTTTGACATTAATCTTTGATTAGACTTTAAAACAGATTTCTAATTCAATAACGAAAGAATACATCAAAAAATGCATAAACAAACTGAAAATCGATAGGAAAAAACTGCTTACCTAGAAATGAAATATATGTGTGTAGTTTTTCATGATTAATACCATTGACCCGCGTATTATGCCTCGAGCTGAAAGTAGAGTAAGAACATGATGTGTAATGTAGCAAGCAATTCACCCGATGAGAGCTATGGACCACACAAAGAAACAAGAATTGAGAAATAGTTCAAGGATTAAGGACGGGCATCTTGGTGCTTTTGCATTGTGCAAATGGCTGCTTGATTTGCGGACAGCAACCATAGTTAACATCACGTGGGTGCACTAGTCACGATAGAATTGAAAACCCTCCAGGTGTTTTCCTCTCAATCTAGGACCCCGTTTTAACTACAGAAAAAAGAACAGATTTCCCTGGTCCGCTCTTGTCGGGGCACGATACCCCTTTTTCATTGTATTTACGCTGAAGCAAAAGAAACGGAACCAAATTTGACCCCGTAAAAAGAACTGAACTTTGATGTAAAGCATGCGTAATGGTGCGACGGCAACGTCAGGCATTTTCTGAAAGCCTCACTCCAACTAAAGATTAAGCTGCATTATCCATCGCAATCAAAAAAGTCCGTTCCTGACCGTTTACTCTAGAGAAAAGAAGCACGATTTAGGAACGGAACCAAAGAGTTTCGCTTTTTAGCAAAACCAAAGAAGAATAAAACCATTTTCAAACTAACACGGAACCAAGACACCTAATGTGAGCGCAAGGCCTCTCGCCGCTTTTTCAGGAGATTTGAGGTCTAAGTTTCCAAAAATCATGTGCGGGGGTCTAGACACAAAAGCGAGATTGACAGAAAACAAAGTTAATTTTGAAATTGAAAAGAATTAAATTTGGTGTAAGATATATTTCATACAATAACATAGCAAGAAGGATTTTAAAATGCATTTGCTAATAACATAACGAGGGGTCATGATGTAAGTTGTCCAGACTTTCCATTTTACTACAAATTTCAGGCTAAGAATCATGACAAAAACTTAAGACACATTGCTGAGAAAAGCCAATACTGGTTGAAGTAGACTATTCATAAAGCTAGTCATATTTGTTATTCTGCAATTCATTACAAAGATGCATGGTCCTAATAGAGATACTGAAAATGAATACAAGAAGACAGTTCTTTAGATAATCTTATCAGTTCAATATTAATTAGTAGAAGAATTTACAGGGTTATGTCCACAATTGGTATATTCTGAAAATAATCAGTAGGCATATTGTAAAGCCAGTTCTTGCAATAAGTACGATAAACAGAGTCTATACTTGATTTCACTGGGACGGTTTCTCAAAGTTAACCCAGGCTCCTTTCTTCTATATGCAAGACATAAGCAATAATTTCTTTCTTACCATCATTACCATCCAACTACACAAAAACATTAAACACTTTCTTAATACTGGAATATCAATGATCAAATTATGAAAAGAACATAAGCCGTTTGCCTTATTTGAAAGTTCCTCAAGGCTCGCTTCAGGTTCCTTTCTTTTATTAATAACACAAAAACAACATTTTCATTTCTATCACCATTGCACTAAAAATACAGTATTCATAAACATCAATAAACTCATAGATAATTAGTAAACATAGTATTATATTCCAGGTACAAATCAGAACGAAAAGGATCTTAGCCATCTGCCTTTTTAGAGAGTTCCTCAAGGCTCATTCCAGGTTCCTTTTTTCTTTATACAACATAACCGATAAGCAAAATTTTCTTTCCCATCATCATTACCACAATATAATTACGTTATGTATGAGAAATACTGTCTCGGTTTGAGCTTATACATACATAAGTCAAAGTTATTTAAACTTTAAATACTTTTTTATGATTACGATAATATCGATATTTTAGCTGAATTAACAACCTTTATCTAATTTTCCTACAAGGAAAAAAGAAAGTTAGTGATATGAAGTTTCCGCATCTTTCGGATCACCAATTCTTTCATGTATAGTCTTCAAGGTGACGTCACTTCCAATAACAAAAAGAGGCGAAGCTAAAATGGATCTTTTCAACCCCATTGATCTGCCGAGTCTGCTCTTGCAAAATGTGTTCTTTAGGAAAGTTGAAAATGCCGGTCTCCCAAAGACGTACAAAAATGGATTCAACAGCGAGTTTAAGTAGGACAAATACTTGAGTAAAATTGAAACGTCATAAAAGTAAGATTTTCTTTCAATGACCTGGACATTGTCAGATGTTGAATACCAAAGGATCCACGATATGTATGGCAACCAACAGAGAACGAAGGCTAGGGTAAGCAGAGACAGACGAAAAGTTACTTTAATCTCTCTGCCATGGCTTAGAAATATGTTTTGATGCGGCAAATCATCGGCATTCCCAGCTGCGACAATAGCATTGTTTCTGTTGCGTTTCATCAACAGGATATGTGCCACGAGCAACCCATATGCCACCAACATCACTGAGCAAGGAAGTGAAATAACTACGACTTTATAGGCAATAACCCAAGATTCTCCTGGCTCAAATGCAGTAGAAGGACCAACGGAGACTAAGGCGTATACCCAAGACAACACGCAGACTGTCAACATAAATCTGTGTGAAAGTTTGACACGATGCATGAATGGACTAGTTATAGCAAAGTATCTTTCTAAAGACAGGAAAGCCAAATTGCAAACAGCCGCGTTAGTCAATAGAGCATCAAGAAATTGCCAACTTTTTGCATACATCTTGATGCTGCTAGCTGGAATGATGCCTTCGTGGGTCCGAGAAAATGTACGGCTGCGAATGTGCCAAAGGTTTAAGAGCCATAATGAAAAAGGGCCGATGCTCACCAATATATCACTAATGGCAAGATTGACGGCAAAGTAATTGCTCAGGTTCCTCTTTAAACGATCGTTGCTGAAAAAGGCGTACAAGACAGAGGCATTGGCGAGAATTGCAACAGCAGCAATAAGGCAGGTAAATGCGGTAAATGTACACAATCCTGAATACGTCAGCAAATTCGGGGTTGAATCCATCTCTAAAAGATATCTCCGAAAGATTATATGACGTTTTGCGATGCTAATGCGGAACTAGTGGGCGTGATAACTGCTGGTCTAAAAGTTAGAAATTCGTAATTTTGATGGAACCTAGCAAAGTAATTGTAATTTGCTGTTCGTATAAGATATTTCAACGGAGAAGCTTTCTGTATATCAAAGTCAAACCAAGCATAAATCCTGGGTTCAGCTCTTAAAACAAAAAAGTACATTCAGAGCCAGCGCAATTTTTTATACTTTCATCCCAACTTGTGTCACCAAAATTTGTCCAACCTTCCAGAGCTTTGATGTCAAATCTTCATCTTCGCGTGGATATCGATGACAGGTCACTGTTCAAACACAGGAAAGTAGTCTACACGTTGCTGCACATGAGGCAAGCAGTTTTATTAGCTTGAACAAAGAACTTGCAACTAATACAAGCATTGCTAGACCAACTGAGAATGCCAAGAAATTTCTCATTCTTTCATGGTAGAACGTTTGAAATTATGTCTGATACACAGAATTCGGACTTACACACTGATGCCTTCCAAATTTCAACCTCTCATCAGGAATGTATTATTGTTATAACTGAAACCAAGAATTGCTTTATGTAGATGATTCCTTCAAAAGCCTATAGATCTTTAGCAAACTAGTTTTGTACTGCCAAAGAAGTATTTCTGAACGAACAGTGCATCCAGATGCATCTTTGATTAAAGAGCTGAAACAATGCTAATGGATATTTTTAAAGTGAATCGTGAGATAAGAGCCTGGTGCGTTAAATAAACACAGCAAGCATTGTTGAAACACCATGTGAGGGTTTTGAATTCGTGACTCTGGAAGCCTTTGAATCACTTAATTTATCATGTTTTACTTTTTTAGTTTCGCAGTTTTAAATAGTTAGTAGCTGCAAATAATTCAGATAAACTGAGTGAAAAAATCTAAGGCGATAAATAGAAAAACCAAACAAAGAGATATTCTTTGACCAAGGTAGAAAAGTCCTGCATTTACAACCTTTTTTGAGAACTTATTTGTTATCTTAATAAACACCATGTCTTTGAAACATGAAGCAGGCTGTTTGTTATGAAATTAGTCTTATTTTAGAACGACGCCACCAGAATTAGAATAAAGATATATTTCATACACTTATGTACACAAGAAGAGAGTTTAAGAGAAAACAAGATGACTTTTCTACCAAAAAGTCAATAAGAAAATGGACAGAGGCCTATTCGAACAAATCTTAAGGATGTCAACTTTGCTTAGAAGAAAGACTTGCCATCATTGATTCTAGTAAAAAATCCATCCTAAATAAAATATCTGAGCCTATTTCTAAATGCCTGATCACCAGAGTTAAATACACGATTTCCCCTTTATTAACACCAACGAGTATTGAAATTACCAATTCATCCAGGAACAACAAAATACAATTACACACCCAAAGCAAGAGAGTAGCTTTAACAGTTGCATTAGGCGTAAAACCCGGAGTAGCAACTTAGAATCGATCTGTATACAGTATTGTTTATACGGCATCAAACTCTTTATGAAAGACCGGTAGACAATTATTTTCCATTAGGTACATAAAGTGATGGATGAATGAGTGGAAGATGAGTGGAGAATACATGCGTGTAAGAATGAATGCAAGATTTGAATAATTGAAAGGGTCGGCAGATTAACGCCTCAAATCACAAGAACATATTTCCCTTGGGATGAGAACGAAGAGCGAATACGTAACCCTAATGAACAATTCCAATTCTGTATCTAAATTGGTGCAAAGGTTCCGTTAACATTTATTTGTTCATTCCCTTTTTCTGCTTTAACCGAAACTGCCTCAATAGCTTACTTTCCAATAAGACAAATCTGGTTTGTAAAGTGAAACAAAATTTGATAGATTAATTGTAACACGTAGAAATGGTGATAAACAATGCAAATATTCACGGTGGTATTAGCAAATCACACTAGAACGAGCCGATAACAAGATTTGATAAGTGCGTTTGTGGGTGAATGTTTGCATGCTTCTTGAAAAAGTCCAGTTTTTTACCAGTTGAGCTAATAATCAAACAGAATATATGAACTGTTTATCTCGTAAAATTCAGGAATCGGTGCTAAAGAGATCGAAGATATAAAATTCACCAGTAACAGGTGGGCGGTAGAAAACAGAAATGGGAATGATACTATCCGTTTGGATAAACAGTTCAAAGTTAGTGCAGCTACAAAGTTCAAAGAGGGAAAGATGAAAAGTGGTGCTAACGGTATAATGAAAAGATAGCGATAGGAGAACACGGTATAATGAAAAGATAGCGACTTGATTTGGCTACGTGGCAGGTATTGAGTCAAGTACTATCAAAGATTTGTTGTCATTCGTTGTCATTGGAAAGATTCGAATGATCATTTTGACACAAAGTGAAGGCATCATCTTTGCTAAGTGTCGAAACCAACAATGGCCCTGATCGTAATTCTACAATTTTATTCTCATGTTGAGTATGTCCTCTAGTAGCAGTTTTTTAATAGACGATTCGCATAAGACGATGAGAAGAAATTAGAACTGGCATACTGAATGCCTGTTAGGGCAAGCATTTGCAATGAGCAATCAAAGCAACGTGACGGCTTTTACCACATGGGAGGTTTTAACAGCTGCTACTTCAGTCATCGGCATAGTTTCCCTTCTAGCAATATTCGCAAATTCTTGCGTTCTATATGCATTTGTTACAAGCAAAAAACTACAAAGGACACCTTGTAATTACTTTGCAGTCAATCTAGCCCTCAGCGAATATGCATCGTTCTTGGACCAATGTCTCTTTGGCTTGTCAATGTTTGGTACAACTACGAATTCTTTGTATTCAGCGGGGATAAAATCATTCCAGACTCGGCAGAGACTTACTACTCAGCATTTTGGAACCTTCTGGACGCCACGTTGATGTGTGTTTCTGTAAGCAACTTGGCGGTTCTTTCAGTGGAGAGGTACCTTGCACTAGAGATGCCAATTTGGCATCGGACGAAGGTAACACGACGGCGGACGCAACTAGCCTGCCTATTTCCGTGGATTTTCTCGATAATAGTAATGGCGCCTTCTCTTGCAAATGAAAATAACCGCATCAAAAGGTACATACACAAGGCAGCACCAGTTCTAATATCATGCTTTGTGGTAATCACGTCGTATGCTTTGTTACTGTATGCAGTTCACGCAAAAAGGCGCCAAAAGTCTACAAAAAGTAATAGAGAAAAGCTAAGAAGGAAACGAGAGATTTTGCTGACATTTCGTTTATCTCTCCTAACTGTTGTCTTTTTGATTTGCTGGGTTCCGGTAACAATATTTTTGGTATGGTCAGCTAGTGACGGGAACTCCCAGAGTCTAACAATCAAAACATATCTTATCCTGGCACCGACCTTAAAACTGTTGTCTTACTTAAACTCCCTTTTCAACCCCTTTTTATACATATTCGGTAGACCAGCGTTTGCAAGAATCTTAAAAAGTAAATTGTGCTGCAAACAAACAAACATAGCTGAGCAAGCATCATCAAGTGTTTCGCATATTTCGAGGCAAAAATCGAGAAGCGCTTGCAATCTGAACATAGCAACGGAAACAAGGTTGTAGCAAATACAAAATGGTGTAGGTCTAAGAAGATATGAGCTTTTAACGATGCTATGGTTCAAAACAAACTGAAGGGGAGAAAATGTAACGCGCGAATCAAGCTCTGCCTCAGTTTTATTAGGAGGCATGCTCAAGTGACAAAACATTATAACAGCAGCTATTCAAAAGGTGCATCTTTCAGGATAATATGTTATCTGTTAATGTATTCACAACTGCTTTCCTAAAGTATCTACAAGGTACACAGAGCCCAAGAACCTCGACGCAGGATTATGATGGATATCAAAAATTGGACAAACATATCTTTCACAGAATTGAAAAGAGGGAGTTTTCAAATTTTCCAGTGAATATAAGTGGTGGAGCATAAGCATCACCCTTCACCTTTGAGCAGTCCCCAGTAGAAATTCGATTAACTTGATGTTATATATGAAAGATGACAGTAAACAATAATCAGACACGTTAATTAACCAAAATGGAAAAAGTTAAGTATTAAACGCTCACCTATTGGCCATGATAAGGCACCCAGCGTCCATCAGACTCGTGATGGCATTTTTCAAAGTAAGCAACGACATTGCCTCGCATGACCTCAATATACCTGTCATTAAAATGTATTCAGTAGAAACTGGAGTTTGGTTATTCTAAAAAAACGGGCATCATTGTATTGCATACAAACATGGTTTATGCATATCTTGTTTCAATATCCATTTACCAACTGCTTATATATAAAAAATACAGGGAGTATATCATTTAGGGAAAAATTAGTGATTAAATAAAAATTATCAAGAATTTAGGGATATGACTTTTAGTGAATATTTTATGGTAGAAATTGTGATGACTATTCTTAAATGAAGATTTAAGAACAATGTTTTAAGAAGAATAAATGTTCTATTATGAAATAATAGGGGCAAATAGTTAAACAACATGGGGGTAGTTAGGATTTCAACATTGGGGTTAGGGTTTTGACAAACATATAGAAATTACTGTATTAATGATAACGTACAGAAGTAGCAAACAAGCATGTACAAACCAACACAGTCATGGTAGAGAAGGTTAAGAGGTAACATGAGCTCATTTTCGAAAACAGTACTTCTGCACACTGCAATTTACACACTACGGATATTGTTCCTCGATCTGCAAACGTTTTTATTTGGGGAACCTCTTGTATATTGGGGGCCCGGCCCTTTTATGCTCCCTCTATCAATCCCCCTGTTTAACAGTGGAAGAACAATGTGGTAGAGCTCAGTGTCATAGAATCAGTGTCACACAATCAGAACTGTGCAAACAGGATTGGCAATATTACGTGCAATCAAACAACTTAAAATTCGCTTATTACAAAACTCCAGTCTTTTGAATGAATAGGTCATAAAAACGAAAGCCATGACAAACCTAAGTGAAGAGATGAAGCCGCATACAGCTGAATTTCTGAAGCCAGAGTGGATATTTCACAAGGGTACTTTGCAGCTGTGAGCATGTATTGTCCAGCAAGCTAAAGAAATCGACGACAAGCTTTATAAATAAGGAACCTGGAACTTAGAAAGTTACTACACAACAGAAAAGGATTAGGAAACTCAAATATCCATAATTCTTTATCAAAACTAGCTTTTGCTTTGTGGCAAAAGAAAAATCTTACTCTGCACCTGCGTCGTGGCTCGAAAAATCAGTGATTTGTGATAATGCTGTCTCTTTGCATAAGTAGCATTGAAAATAGAACTGTTTTTTGGGATGGTTTTTAAGTTTATATGTTCTAACCAAATTACTGTGATTGATGTTGAAAGGACCTCTGCTCATGTAGCCACATCACAACCAACGTACAACAAATTTAACTGATTCTGCACATTAATTGGTATTTCATATAGTCCTTTTAGATTACATTGCAATGTATAATAAAAAATTATATTGATCTATTGATTACGTCATTATCAATCTGCGACAACGCTTAAGGATACTACTAGATTTGGAAGTTGCAAGAACTAATCGCCTTTTTGTTTATGCTACGTTGCTGTTAATATCTAAGAGTTCTTTCAGAAGACTATTTTTCTGTCAAACACAATATACATTATCCACATTCCAAATTTTAAATCTCGTATGACGTCATCGCTTGGTTACCCTATTGAACGGACTCAGATACTGTTCGCTAGAATAAACCACAGTTTCTCGCATAATCAGAACTTAGCCACATTGATTACCTCAACAGAAGCTTGTAAACAGCGTTTACCATTTGAACTCGAGTGTTAGCTGCAGCATTTTCTTAGCAACCTTTATTGTTATTAAGCTTTCTTCGGATATAAAGGTGGAGTTCTTACCCAGTAAGTTTCAATAAAAGGCTGCACCAATCCACCCAAAAATGTCAATAGAACCTTGTTACTTGAGCAACTCGTTACATACACCATTTCTTTTCCTATAACCGTCTCTACGCAAGAAACTCGTTTAAGAATATCTAGACTGTACTGAACCTCCTGCAAAGGAAAAAATGGAAAAACATTTTCAAGAAACAGTTTCCGTTCATTTTATCAAGATCAGCCATCTTTAAGAAAACCATAGAACTATATAAAACTTCCCCTCAACATACATCGATAAAGAGTGATTTGAATTTTTAAAAAATCTTGATAAATATCTTGTAGAGGCAGGCGCAAATTTCGATTTTCGAGTAACTGAAAAATGGAAGTAGCTATACAGTAGATCAAATCTGTAGCCCCAAAGTTACTTCAATACTTCAACAAGATCTGTATTACAGCTACTTCTGTAATATTAAACAATTCAAGCAGGAGAACCAGAAGATAAAGCTTAGAAATAATAGACTGAGTGATTAATATGTTATATCAAGTGTTAAAAATATGAATTCAATCTAACATGAATCTCGTGATAATATAATTAACACCTGATAACTATAAAATAAAGACGTACTGTTTCTTTTATTTATGATTTATGACTTATGATCTAGTGTCTCTCTTTTCTAACTTGTTCTGGATATTTTTACGATATAAGATAAGCCTTTTTATAAACAGACATACATTTAGTTCCTTGAGAAATATGCCTAAGATTTTAGCCAACAGAAGTGTTTCAATATTTTTCTAGACTATCTGCTTTCCAAATCTTCAAATTATCTCCAAGGAATAAAAATTAAACATAACAGAACAAATTTTACAAGCACTGAAGTCTATCAGTTCAAAAGTTCAAAAGCACTCACATTTTTGTCATTTGTAGTTGGATCACGCACAAATTCAGGACGGAGTATCTTTTGTAGCAATGAATAATTCTTGAGAAGTTTACCTGGAATGCAACTTGTGGATGAATAATAAAACCAAGAATAGCAAAAACAGAAAGGTCATGTTTGCTGCATTTTCAATAGCGAAGACGTACATCAATAAAGACGATAACCAAATTTGATTTCGATAACTACAAGCAGCAAATTCTGAGTCACTAATTTTTTTGCAATGAAGTTTTAAGAAAATCAATAATCATCATGAAAAGATAGATTTGATGAAGACAAAGATCAAATTAGGGTTATTATCACATATCATTTGCTGCAATTACAAGCACAACAAGTCTATCAAAAGAGCTTGTTAATGCAAAGGTTAAGATTAACATGATAGGGGCATTATAAGAAGAGAGGGTGACTTTGGTGGGAAGGAGGCACTGAAATTATAAACAGCAGATAATAGAAAGATGAGAGGACCAAAAAGACGACAAATGGAAGCTATCAAAGAGAATATGGCAATAAATGAAGAGAGCATCCTTGACAGAATGGAGAAAAGAGATTAATCACCTGCGGTGAAACCTAAACAAGATAAGAAAAAAAGTTGAGGATGATGAAGATGACGATACGATCAAAACTGTATGTTTTCGATGTAAAAATTTACTCTGTATAACATAACTCAACAAAAACATGAAAAATTGGGAAAATGAATGTACTTTAAGATGGATGTTTGAATACTCACTGAACTCTATCTTCTCTTCAGTGCCTAATCTTCCGGCTGTTACTATACACGAAGGAACAAGCAATATATGCATCAGCTTGTTACGCTGTAAACTCAAATAAACATTGCTCATTGTATTTCTAAGCTTGTCTGTGGTTTCAAGTGCCTGGCCTAACGCTGTTCTTTTCAGTTCTGTAAATGAAACATCATACGGAAGCACTGCAACTTTTCTTTTGGCATCGTCCAGTTTAAGAACAGGCGAACAAAAATGCACAGCTTCCTCTATTAGAACTTGAGTTCGTCGATCTGAAAAAGATTTCACATTATATCCAAGCAGGATACTTAAAATATTCAACAATAAATCAGAAAATCAAAATTATGTCATTTTCATAACTATATTTGTAATCGATACCCACAATTTTTTTATATGCTTTATAGAAGCAATGTTTGAATGCTTGCGAAAGATCAAGACTGCGTCACATCTTAAAACTAAGAACAACAAAATATGGATTTCTGGATTTTTGCAAGAGGCTGGTGACAATTTTTGACAATCAACTCTTCTTCAGACAGTTTAACCTGTGACACAAGGAATATTCTGTGACACAAGGAATATTCTGTGACACAAGGAATATTCTGTGACACAAGGAATATTCTGTGACAACAGGACTATCCTGTGACACAAGGAATATTCTGTGACACAAGGAATATTCTGTGACACATGGAATATTGTGTGACACAAGGAATATTCTGTGACACAAGGAATATTCTGTGACACAAGGAATATTCTGTGACACAAGGAATATTCTGTGACAACAGGACTATCCTGTGACACAAGGAATATTCTGTGACACAAGGAATATTCTGTGACACATGGAATATTGTGTGACACAAGGAATATTCTGTGACACAAGGAATATTCTGTGACACAAGGAATATTCTGTGACACAAGGAATATTCTGTGACAACAGGACTATTCTGTGACACAAGGAATATTCTGTGACAGAAGGAATCTTCTGTGACACAAGGAATCTTCTGTGACACAAGGAATATCCTTTGAACATGACTCCTTTCTGGTATGAAAAGTGATCCGAATGCAAAAGGAATCCGGTAAATTCTGCGTAAGGGATTAATAGAGATTTTCATGAATACCATTAGAGGTATTTTTGCCAAGCTGATGCAAAGGTTTCATTTTAGACTCTTTGGCCTTTTTCATTTTAGACTCATTTTAGATTATTTCAAAATAATTGAAGAATTTTTTTTCTCTTTTCATTATTGCAAACTAATTTGACGACAGCAACTTGAAATAAAAGATTTCAAACTAATTGCAAAAACTTGAATGAAAAATGCTTACTGTTTATTCCATGCACGTGCTTTTTGAAATGCTTCAGCAAACCACCGACAGAAGTAACAAGTATCTGCAAATCATCTGCAAACAAGAAGATTTTATTTTATCTTTGAAACAATTGCATAAAAAATATGGGCTACAACGCCTGCCAAAAGTACTTGGAACACCCACCAATTTACGCTGCATTTGATATCTTTCATTCCTTTCATGAAAAAAAATTGCTACTTCCGCCCCATTCCTCCTCAAACAATGTTGATGATTTAGAGAAATATCATAAAAGAAGCGCAAAAGAAAGTGCTTCCTAAAATCCTAACCCGTTTGATAGTAAACCAACATTGTTCCGTGGGGGAGAGGGGGATGATTGGTTTTGACCTTGGAAATTGATGTCAGTGTTCCAAGACTTTTGGCAGGCATTGTAGGTTATTCGATTTTTTCCTGTGTTTGAAAGCGATTTCTGAAGTTAGCTAAGAAATAGCCATTGTCGGAACACAAAAATGACACAGGTGCAGCTATTCATATCAATAGGGGTTACAACAAGGCTAGAAGTAGGTTCTATATCAAATTAGCCTTAGCAAAGAAAACATAGAAGGCCACTGGCACCAGTATTTTCATAATCACAAAACGTCATTGTTCTTGAATATTATAAGAAGAAGTGTTAAGCTTGGTTTCCGGGAAGAAAACAGTAAAAAATTTGATCGTCTCCTTCAAGCCTTTTAATACTTGTTCGGGAGATGAATCATGCCTGTCTTCTAGACATGCACTAGCCCCCGTTTCAGAGTCACATTATCACTTGAAGCCCTGGCGGGAAGTTCAAGAGTTGTGTGGTCCAAGACAGAACAGCTGTGCGAATAGTGTTTTTAATGCGCATGTGTTATGACCTCGTAACGTTGATTGGTTTCGTCTCCCGAACCATAGTCAACAGGTTTTTCTATTGACTATGCCCGAACAAATACTACGAAATTATGCTACGAAATTTTCGTCGATAACGGAGCACAGAAACTGAATATGAAGATCATTATATAGAAAATTTGACAAAATGTTTTGTCAAAATGTAGAAACGTATACACGGAACCACTTTTATGAGAAGAAGAACTTCCCTCCATTTCCCTATCCCTTTTAGAAAAAGCACAACAGACCTAAGTTGTCTATGCTTTGCAGCACACCAGCGGCAACTATAGCTCTTGGAAAAATCGCCATATTGAGCTGCTGCTGGTTGACTAAGAATTCAGAAAAAGTGCCAACAAATTGCTTTTCTTGTTTTCTGTTAACCAATGGATGCAAGTCTGCATGATGCCTAAATACGAAAAACAATATATTTGTTAAAAATTGAGCCGTAAAAATAATGATAAAAGATTTCGAGCGAATCATAAGGTATTCAAACTTATTTCGATCACTGAAGAGCGATAATGTTGCTCATACCTTGGGAATAAGGCATACTCTGCTCTATTAATAGATCCACTGCAAAACTCCTTTAACGAGAAAACATCACCAAAGTGTAAGTAAGCTGTGCCATAATCTACGGACAGGACTTTTCTTGCCTTTACTAGACCCTAAAACAATGAAGAGAGAAAAGTTGTGAAAAAGGCATAAAATGCACCAGCATAAAGTACGAAAAGATTGAGATAATGGTAACTACCTTCAATCTTATAAAGATGTTATCAGAGAGTCTTTTCAATCTTCAATGTCTAAATTTAATGGCAGATGATTACAATAATCCCTTCGGTGTTACCGTTGTCTAATGTAGTTCCTGTTGCAAATTAAACTGCCTAACGATTCTGCTCATTTGCCTCAGAACTCATCGCCCTCAAAAATTGAGACTATAGTCTCGTGTTAACTTAACAGTTATTTCTCTTAAAGAAGATATGGATAGAATTACAAGAAAAGAGCCTAGTAGAGAGCCCTGAGGGAACTGTACCCCAGCTAGAGCTTTGAAAATGTTTGAATTTCTGAGGGATATTTCTAAATAGATGCTAATTGACTTGGACACTTAATATGGTATTTTGTTATCAAATTAATACAAGGATTAAGAATTCTGTCTTACACTAAGTGACTCCTTTGGTTTTGGGATTCCAAGTAATTCAAAGAGATAAAGACTTTCTTCAGTGATGCATTCATAACTGATACTTATTGGGCAGAAAAGAATATCAGGAACATATCCAAGAAAGAACATTTCTGTGATCATTGACATCATACCTGGAAAAGCAAAAGCAATTTTTTTCATGGCTTTAAAGGTTAAACTTCATCCCCACAGCTATTACTGTTTTATAAAACATACAACCATTTCTAGTTTATGCTGAAAACATATTCTCTGAGAAATGTGATAAAGAAATTTAGAGAGAGCCGAACAAAAAGAGGCAGACTGGCTGGATGAAGAAGGCTTTAGTCCCCCTCCACCAATCTAATATAATAGGTCTAGTTGTACCCATTACTTTGAGTAGTCATCAGAGCAAAGAGCAAGACAGAAACATTGTGCAACTCGTAGCGAGAATACAAACCGACTAAGTTATATAAGTGAAAGTGAGGTTAGAATAATGTGACGTGATATACAGTCCTACTACACTAAAGCATCAAAATTGTCATTTTTGGGATTTTTAAGGAAATTTTATCTTAGGCCCCCCAAAAATATAACCCAACCATACCCCTGTCATACTAGTGTTTAAAGAACCTTGATGGCATTTTATCTATTGTTTCATATAATTAAATTTATGACATGAATTTCTTTGATTCTTGTCCCTTCATATGATTCATGTTGTATAATTAAAGAATCAAATGTTTTACCTTTCTTTGCATGCAGGGATTTTCCTGACCGGCTCCTTGTCCCCTCCAAGAAAAATTCAATTGGCATTCTGCCATCTTTGACAAGCTGCTGTACATATTCAGTAAAAATGCTTTTGTAGAAATGATCTGTAGCAAAGGAGCGACGTAAGAAAAATGCACCACTTCCTCGCAGCAATCTGTTGACAACAGCTATATGAAGAAAATCTGCAAGGAGAAATTCAAAAACTCATAACAAAACATTTTCACATATCATCAACAAATACATACAAAAGAATAAACTTGACACTTGAGGCAACAAAGCTTGCTTGATATCAAAGCATAAATTAAAAAAACTGGCTTCTGCATTCAGTACCTATGTAATTTACAGCCAAGAACTGTTCCTAATGGTAAAATACAAACCATTAGGCAAGGCTCAAACAAAAATTACATTTACCTTGTCCACTTGCAATGGCAGGTAGAGGCAAGTTGACTGCAAAACATACTAGTGATGTGAGAAGAAAATCAAAGTAGCTGTTATGTGATGGAACAAAAACCAAGGGAGCAAATTTTGCAGCATGTGAAAGCTGAAAAGAAGAATGATAAGATGATGATAATCAAATTGTAACATCTATGAAGTTTTCAAAACCAAAGTAGGAGCATTGTATTTATAAGATTTGTCTAAGGCCAGGCATTTAGGCACTGATGAGGGAACAAAGTAGGAGGGGACATGTAATGATGGGACAGAGAGCAAGGGAACATGGAGCTATGGGACAAAGAGCGAGGGGACAAACAGAAAGAAAACAGAGAGTGAGAGAACATGGAGCTATGGGACAAAGAGCGAGGGCACAAACAGGAAGAAAACAGAGAGTGAGAGAACAGCGGGTCAGGGTATACAGACTGAGGGTATAGTGGGGGAACAAAGAGTGAAGGGACAGCTAGGGGACAAAAGATGTGAAGATTAAGGGCAAGATGATAAACAGTGGGTGGAAATAAAGCAACAGACAGCTAGTGAGAGACAGCTAGTTTATAAAAATGAAGGGTAAAGGAACATGTACAATGGAAGGGCAGATGAAACAAGAGGGCTAGAATACCAGGGAAGGAATATTAGAGTGAAGGTACAGTAAGAAAAGGGGTAGAGTTTGATGGATGGCCTAAGGCAACAGTGATGGAACAGGCAAACATGTTAGGGAGGCGAGTAGGCAGGTTAAGACGTTTGATGGAAGAAGGGATTTTCAGAGTGGCAGGATGCAGGGAAAGAAAGCATACAGTGGGGAGAAGAGAACAAGGTTCTTATATTCCTGCCTAATTCAGTAACAGCAGCAGTGTTCAGGATTACAAAGTATGAAAAAACATACTATATTAAATCTGCAAATTAAACTTCCAAAGAGTTTACAGAGCAAAAAAGAAGAATTAGAATGTCAGCCATACCTTTTCTATACCACTTCTGTTGACATAGACATTTCGAAACAGCTTATTGACAATTTTACTCAACATGAAAGACATAAATCTAATCGTCTTGAGACTGAATGTATGTGCAATTTCATCCACAATTTCTCTAGCTCTCTTTTCTAACTTTTTTCTGTCACTGCTATTATCCAAACAGGCCTAGAAGAAAGTAAATGTAAAATGAAATGGTAAGTTGTCAATGAATCGATATTGCTCATAGTAGAGCTTTTGGAGCTTGGCCCATCATGCTTTCTTATTCATTGGTTAGCTTTCTTAATCATTGGTTATTCACCCTTTCTTCTGAAATTGCCCCTGGGGCCTCCTTGTTAATTGTTTTAAAAATCAGCTCTGTTTATTAGGATGACACTCCTGGTCCGATAGAACGCTTCCCCTTAATTAGGATATCGTACTATCTGCTAATCTGGTTTTGTAATTCAAATATTAATTAGCGGAATGATAGAAAGTACCTTTTCAATTGCATACAAGACTCTTTCAGATGCTAGTACATTCTCTTTTATCTTGCTTTCTTCTGTCTTTGCAAACATGTATGATTCTGCGTGGTAATCTTTAAAACCCCAATTTAAGCCAGGCTTCCCAACGTATGAATCTGCCATACAATTGAAATAATCCGAAGAACATTCCATTATGTTAAATGCTTGTTAAAAAGAGGACAATTTTAAACCAGTCTAGTTGTACCAAACCAAGAAAAAGCAAGCCATCGCCTGAACATTCTTTATCCAAGCATTTTCCTTACTCGAAATTCACTCGTTAATAAACCTTTCAGATCTGTGCTTCATAACTGAGATACAATAGTGAACCTCATTGACCCCCTTCCTTTTTCGGTGCAGCATTGGAGTCGAACCACCTCATACCTATTGTTGTCTTGTCTGGATCTGCATGGCTGCATGGAAGGAAGATTTTGAAGACCTGTTAATTGTTTTCTTAGCCTCATTCTGAATTCTGTTTGTCTTCAATAAGAGATCGCATTTCCCGCCAAATTTCAATTCTGCTTCACTTTTTCATTCAAAAAACAAGTAACGATGAGTTGGGTTGCCAATAGAGGACTAAAGAACTGTATATAATTTATTTTCCTATTTTTTGACAAAAGTGTGCGTCCCAATTGACATGGCTTATCAAAGTTTAAAATAATTAGGTAATTTTTACCTAAGGGTCATACCCTGATGTCACAGATTTTAGGAGCTTTTTTACAATCTCTATCGTTTGATTAATTATTAAAATAAGGCCTAAAATTTCAGACTTTCGCTTTAATGAAATCCTGAGTGTTTGCCGGGGTGAAAAATTGGCTACCTTTAATTCACCTGTGTTCATTGTTGTTTGTTCTCGTGGCTTTGCGATGTTCCATATTTTTACTCAAAAAAATATTTGTTTAAGGCAGCTTTTTTTAGTGACTGAGACCGACCTGTCAAGCCCTCCAAAAATTCTGAGAAGCAGGAAAAGGGTAGAGTGCTCCATATTTTACAAAATCTGGGGAGTGATGGTGTGTTGTGGGACATAACGTTCGTGAATTTTGTAAAATGAGTGAGTACGGCACGTTAATACTAGAGTATCTGGTATTACAAACATGTCTCAGGGGACCTAGGATCACATCTCTGATTCCTTGAGAGCAATGTCCGTGGTACAATCTATAAAAATTGAGAGATCAGCGACACAGCGCCGACGAGACAGGTCTAAACCATAGAGATAGGAATATTCTTATCTCTATGATCTAAACAGACTTTGTGAATTGGATTTTATAATTGGTCTGCTTGATTTAGGTTGATTAAACTAAACGAGAATATCTTTTCCTCACTTCTCAGTTATTGCCAGTCCATCGGCCAGGAGCTAGGCTAAAATAGTTTTTTGAAGGAGAAGATGGGTGGCAGTTAAATTAAAATGAAGAGCTCAGATGTCATTAGCAAAAAAATATACTTCTAGCGATGGAAGATATCAAACAGCAGATATGATGAAACCGTGTGGAACGCCAGCATTCATCGAGTGGGGAGAGGAAGCGTCAACTCTAATGGTTTTTGGACCTATATCAGAAAGAAAGCTCCCAATCCAATGAATAAGGGTGTACGGAGTAACCCACAGCTCAACCCCTCCTAATTTTTTTGGACAGTGGGTGACCATCAAAAATGTTTTATAAATTTAAGCCTTTTTTGTGCATGTCGACTCTCTTTGCTCTGCATTTTAAGACTAACCTGCCATAATCGAAGCATTTCAAAGGTATGGATCGTTTTCATATCGACTATCAATCTGGAAAGTATGTCATGAAAACTCAAAGGAATGGGAAACAATTGACTGTGAACAATGGAACGTTATGCACCCTATACTCAGGGCCATCAAGAGATTTTGGAGGCACTGCGGTAAAACTGAAAGTAGACTGTAGAGGCCCAGAAATTTTTTGTAACCAAAGACAGTACATTTCAAATTATTTCCTGCAGCCATTTTTTTGCAATCGTTTAAAGCCTTTTACTTTTTTAGGCATACGTAACTATCGCTACGTTTAATTAATTCTATTCTTAAAGTGGATATTCATTACTTTATGAGGCAATTTGCCCCCTGCCTCTTCCCTTTCGGTGTGCAAGAGGCGTTATATCGCAAAGAGTGAGAGAGGCAAAGATAACACACTCATTATATATTGTATGCTCTTTAATTGCACTGAGAACACATTTTTTTACTGATTACTAAGTTCGTTCACACGGGAACGCAATCGTTCCGTTCCGTTCTTCTCCGTTCCGAAAAGCGTAACGCTCAGGGGTTGTGTTCACACGCGAACGCTTCAACGGGTACGCAATCGTTCCGTTCCGTTCCCATGTGAACGCGCAGAACTGGTCCAGAAAATGTGCCCTTGGCGCATGCGTCTGTGTTGTTGTTGTGGGAAGCAAGAAGTGACAATAATAAACTCAGCGAAGAAAATGGAGGATTTCAAACACTTTTAGGGTTGGCTTCCATTTTCCCACGAGCTTGCTTATTTTGGGGCGCTTTTGTATTCTCCATTTATTCAAATTGTTTAAAAAATTCAGAGATAGCTCAGAGATAAATCGAAATGATGAAATCACTGATCTAAAAAAAACTGGATCGCGCATCCTATTGTTCTCAAACCTTAGAAAGTGCGGCCGGCGAATTTCAATCGGCGCCATGCGCTTGTGACCAATTCAGCGGGAAAATGAATGGCTAGGGCGCTGGAGAATAAGGTATTCGCTGCATTTATTTTGGCTGTAAGAAATGCGAAATAGGGAACTGACGATGAAAAGGGAATAAATGACAACAAGGACCATGAGAATCAAGGATTGCAAATAAAAAGGAAGCTACGCTCCACTTTTTCACCGTGAGTACACTACTATTTTTATTTTAGTAGGCCAAGATCGTTGTATTTCGTAGGTACAGTTATGCCCCCTTTAAACTGGGTTTTCACGAGTCTGGACCATTTCAAATCATTTTGCTAAAAGGATCAAAAGTGATACGGTTAGCCGTATCAGTTTTGCTACGGATAGCTTGGAGTGGTGTAAACGGGAGGCCAATCCGTATCACTTTTGATACGGATCAACAAGTCACCTGTGGCAGTGTAAACGGGGCCTTAGTTACCCAGATAGATTGCTTTAGTTAATGTTTATGAATTAAGTAATAATTTTTTACATGGCACTAGGCCTAATCTTTGTGTTTCCCCATGAAAAAATTGAAATGTGGGACTGCCTCATAGAAGAATGTATCAGATCTATAAAGGCGCAGGCTAATAGATACACGAAAAATACTTTTATATTTTATTTTCTAGGTACTGAATACAGAGCAACTTGTGTGCATCTTTGACTTGGTGGATTGACAAAGACATGTGCCTTCACCACTTGTTTTGAAATGAAATAAACATCTGTTTATAAAACTATAAAGGTTTTCCATTTTCAAGTTTTGGAAAGGAACCAATTACTGAGATGTTATGATGTGACTAAGCAATGGAAGTTGTTGCTAGCAGCTGAATTTTACTAAAGCAAAACAAAATTTAATATTCATAACATTTATTTTGGAGTGAAAACAGTAATTTAGATTGTTTCAGGAGGTTCTTCAAACATATTTTACAAATTCAAATGTTTGCTACAAAAATTGTGTATATGTTTAGAACATTTAGCAGTAAATAAATTTATTTTGTGAGCTTTATGCAGTTATCTATGATTATTTCTGGAACAAAATTACCAATGTAATCAAATGTTTTGCTGTAGTAGGCCTTTTTTATGAGCCGTATTAGCCTTCAGTTCATAAAAGTGTTGTCACTCATAGCTTTTGTCTCAGGGCTGATGGATTTATCTCTCAAATATGAAGGATTTATCTCTCAATATCTCTCAAAGAGCTGTATACATAACAAATTCAAAAAACTCAAATTTTTAAATCACAATCTTAAAATTCATTTGAAACAAAGTCACAATCTTTTAATTACTATTCATTGTAATATCTGTTACTAATGAAGTTCTAGCTCAGTAAACTATATATGATTGTATCCCTCAATAGCTGTCAAGCCATTCCATTGCACTTTATTCTGCAAAATAAAGAAATGCTTTGTCAGAGGTAATATTAAAATTTTGATTCAAAAGTACAACCAGGCATATTCTTTAAGGCTTATTTTTTCAGAGGAATATGATACCACTCTTCAATTAGTCCTAAGTCACACAAGTCACAAACATAGTACAAGCGGTGATTCACTTGAATGTAAGCATGTTTCATATCAGATCATTTCAATGTAAAATGTATAAACAATGTAGAGGGGCACAAAAAGTTAGAGGTTTGAAATCACGGCTAGACTTGTTAGGAAAGAGCAGCTACACAAATTAAACATAGTTTCTATCTACAAGAAACTCAGTACTACACTGGGGTTGCTTAGAAGCTCCCAAGATGTTTTTGGGGGTTATATCCTATCAGAGAAACAACTAAAATTAACTTTAACATATAAAAGCTACTTATATTCTATGTAATTATCGCTGCTACGTGGCTTTTTCAGGCAATTTACGGCTCTAATTTGTTCAAATAAGTAAAAGGTAGCTAGTCATAAAGTCACTTGCCTGCTGATGCAGTAACGTACCTCTCAGGATCTATAGGTCCTATATAGGTTAACTATATACCAAACGATAGCATTCAATGTTTCCATTAATATGAGACCATCTATAGGTTCATAGGTTGATGTTTCGCAAAGTTATAACAAAATTACGTTTCACTCGTACCATCGATCAACTGTCGGCCATCATTGTTTACCCCCAAATCACTGTAAACGAGTCGAACATAGAGACAGTAGCAAAACACATTCCCGTTTGACACAAAATAAACAGAAATCAGAGTAAAACCAAGAACCAGCATCAGCACATCACTGAAAATAAATCTAAAATCCACCGAACAGCAGACGTGAGGCCCGCCATTAACGCTGCAGTAAACAACCTAATGTACAGCCGCGGCCGCATAGTTCAAGGCCGGAAGCCTTCGGAAACGCAAACGCGTCATAGTTAATTGAAAGTGACGTCATTAATTTGAGTGCACCAAGTGCCTAAGTTTCTTAACGTTAACAGATGTTATTGACCAAAATTGATCCATTTAGTTATGAACATTGTATATAATCAGCAAGTCTAACTTACAGCGTTAGCAAATTTAACAAAATACAAAAGTCAGCAATTTAAACTCAACGCAAATATAATACATGGAAAACATTTTTATTATTAAAAATTTTTATTATTATTAACGATGTTGAAATTGTACAGTAGCAAAAAAGTATATATATAAAACATAAAAATCTAACAAAACAGTTAAATATATAATCAGCAAGTCTAACTTACAGCGTTAGCAAATTTAACAAAATACAAAAATCAGCAATTTAAACTCAACGCAAATATAATACATGAAAAACATTTTTTTCAAGACAAGTGAATTCTTTTCAAAATTTGCGGAGCTGGAAACAGACTGTAATTTTCTGATATAATATCAAACAAATATCCTATCGTGTAAAGTAAGGAAACTGGTAACAAGCAAGGAGAGTCGGGTTAAATGTACAGGGTCCTTTGATTTGATATGTGGTGGGATTATATGTGTATTTTAGCGACTACAAAGGGGGCGATGGGCTGTTGCTGGGGAGACGCGCCTTTGCACTTTTGCATTTTCAGATAATTTATGACGTTACGAAAAAATATTCACTCGTCTCCCCAACAGGCAAAGGCGAATAACAAATGCAAGTCAAAAAATGGGTCAACAAACTAGAGCTAATTACAGACTACTTGGTGGAATTCATATACTACAGAGATTCAAAGAGACATCGGAAAGAAAATACTTAAACAACGTACAGTTCTGTTGCGATTTGATGCCAAAGATGGTAAAATGGACTTTCCTTGAATCTCTGCAACCACATGAACTCCGCCAAGTAGTCTGGTATGAGCTCCCGATTTGTTGACCCATGCTGGGACTTGAATTTATTCTTCGCCCGCTGCCACATCGCTTCTACATGATTTGTAGTGGTCCTGGTGACCGGGTCGACAAAATTGTAGGTGTGGTTCACAGTCCGATGTTGATAGCCGATGTTCCCTACTTGATTATATGCCTGCCACATGTCCGAACAGACAATTGAGCCAGGCACTACCCACGTTTGAAGGATGGGTAATAGGGTCACGGCATCCCTTCGCGGAACTGGAACCAGGAACCCTTTTTTGTCGACCGGGTCATAGCCTCCAAAGATCCAATTTTGTGGAAGAATTCTGCCGCGATTATACTTTCTTTTGGAGAACAGGCTCTCGTCGATCTCAACGATTCGGCCAGGTCCTCCAATTTGCTGTGGGTTGTTTAGGAAGTGCTCCACACAGACATCGCGGCAGAATTGCTTCCAGTCCACCACTGTGTGCTCGCTTTTAATTTCCAGTTCTTTTAGGATCTGCTTTTGCGACAGGCCCCGATCTCGTCCACAGTCTAGGCTCCAGAAATATGTAAGACCTATTACTTGCCATAACTGGAGCTTCGAGCCTTCAAAAAAACTCCCCTTCCGCACGTTAAACCTTCTCCGACATTGTGGGCACCTCCATGTCACTCCATCTAGGCATCTATTGAGGGCACCCTCGACACATTCCACATGACAGTTCTCGCACAACAGCCTTCGCGCAAGCAGCCCATTCCGCCGACACCAGGCAATTGTGTCGGGGATGTTCTCTGTGAACTGTCGGCATATCCCAAATAAAGTAAGAGAGTCGAACTCATCGAAATTGGGCACCATTCGTGCCATTTTGTTACTGGTATTTCTGCCGACAGTCCTCCAAAGTGACCTGCTTTTCGTTGGGAACGCATTTATAACATGTGTGCAATTGTTGCTAAATTTAGCACCAGACAAGCCCACACACCCCAGTGATTAACACATAGGTGCTAGAGGTTTGAAACACTAGCCATTTAATTGCTGAATTCAGTGAATGAAAATTACTACTAATCTGAAATCGGGGAATCGGGTAATTGGGGAATCGGGGAATCGGGTAATTGGGGAATATTGAAACCAGTAAGCCAATCTCTAAGACCCAAACACACATCAGCGCAATACATTTGGTTAGATTTCAATAAATACCAAAACTCCAGCAAAATAACAACAATTGGAATGCATCAACGGCTACTGCCCTTCAACAGCGAGGCACCTTCAAAACCATATATCACTTTTTAACAAGATAGCTCAAACAATCTACTGTCTGGTGTCTACTGAGACAGCTTTCAGTTTCAGGGACTGTATGGCACTTTCATGACCCTTCAGGGCTGCCAACTTGGCTTTTTCTAAGCCAAATTTCTGAAATTTGGCTTTTCCAGAACATGTTTGGCTTTGAAAAAATGAATTGGTTAAAGCTAGAATTTGGCTTAATTTGGCTTTTTCAGAACGTTTTTCAAATAGAAACTTGATTTACCAAAACAATATCCTTGACAATAAATAAAACATGTGAGGATTTACGGTTACATCGTATTTTTATCATCAAGAATGGGTGGTTCATTTTCAAACTCTAGTTAGTAAGATGTGACTGTCTGCATTTATAACTTACCTTGCTTCCTCAGTAAACTCACATTTGTAAAAATCCTAATGCAATTATTTATAAAACACCAGGTGCAATATGTTTATAAAAACGGCAGGATTTGGAGGCCAATAGAGCGACATAAAAGAGATTCGCTCCTTTTTTGTTTTTAGACATGTCCTTCCTAAAGCCTAAAGGCTCATACTTCCATCTTTAAAATCAGCAAAGTATTAGAGTCAACGAAATGGGAGTACCCAGAGAGTTTATTGCTAGAGGGGTTCAGCGGTACCGTAAAAGCTCTACTAAGCCGCCCTCTCTATTAAGCCCCCCTCTCTTTTAAGTCCCCCTTCTAGGACTGAAAAAAAATGAATAAGGCCCCCGGGGGCATAACAGAGCTTTTACGGTATGTGTAGATTATCGGAATTCTGTGTAGTTTATATAATCTTTTCATAGGGATAATGATGAATATTAATATGCATGAACACCATACCATGATTTGAAACCATCTTTAGGGTTTCAAGATGGAGTAAATCCCTGACCATGGGCCATCCAAGAGCACCAATTAGGCTGATGGGTCGTATCGACATCCTGTAACTGTTCTGGCTGCAAGGTTTTGTAACTTTCGAATTTTATCTAGAAGGGTTTCACCAACATCACCCCCAAACATGGCAGCAGTGTCTAAGGCAGGGCACCCCGGGTGGTATCTTCATCCTTTGCCCATCCCGATATACAGATTAGACAAAGCTGTTAGGAAAGCCCTTTTTATCATATAAATGGAAGTTGCGAATTATATGTCACAGAGTTAGATGGCAACATGTATTGCAAAGGTTTGTGTCAGGAACTAAAGAATTTCAGGCAATTATTTTTTAATCAGGTAAATTCGCAGTCCACACCTTCAATAAGGATTGCCTCGCGACGGCCCTGCAAGGAAGATATGTTGTTACACGCTTTTTGTTTTATAAGGAACCTACATGCCAAAATATTTAAAGAAATTATACTTCTAAAAACGAAATCCCTAGGGAAATTTTGAAAATTTTTTATAACTGCAAGCATCAAGAACTAAAAAGCCGGTTCCATTCATTTGCAGCCAATACTCGCATAGATTGTTTGCTATTCATGTGTCAAGTGCTTCATCATTGCTATTCAAGGGCGAGACAGCTTCCGCATATGCTGTCTCGCCCCCCTCTATATTAAGTGTTAAGTCTTGTTGTTATCAAAACAAATTAAGGAACTATTTTAAGGAACTTTTGGTAATACAATTTGATGATTTGAGGTCTACGAATAACGATCTTTATAAGCATTCAACTCTATAGAGTTTGAAGTGTGACGTCATCAAAACCTTTTTATAGAATTTTTGAATTTTAACCACATAGCGTAAAAGATCACCATAAAATACTTTGAAATACGCAAAATTGGCCAAATATGTCTAAAATCGGTTGAGATAAGGCTAATGAAAGATTTGAAGTTTGCTAACGAATCACTGTTATTTTGGCTCTGTTCATAAAGTTATGAACAGAGACCAAAATACAGAGGTTTGATGGGGAAAGAACCAATAAAAATGTGGTCATATCTCTGTCATTTCGTAAGACACTTGCCTGATTTTGCAAATTTAGAGGTATTTCATGATGCTCTTTCAGGTTATGGGATCCAAATTAAAAAATTCTAAAAAAAATTTATGTGACGTCATCACTGTAGAACTTTATTACGGTGCACTTTTGGCTTCCTCTTTGTGAACGCTTTTGGTAGATTTGAAGTCCACATAAATTTGATTCCTGGCCATTTTGCAGATATCACTCACCCTCTTATGCTGATTTATAACTCATCACTCGAAAATGGTGTTTTCCCTGACCTTTGGAAATTGGCAAAAGTCACCCAAATTTATTAATCTGGACCAAATACTGATCTAGCAGCACCTAGAAGGACAATTCTCGCCACCATAGTCGCCACCGAAGGACCAGAAAATTTTCGAATTTTGATGTTTCCCGTTCCCTGGAAAATGCACTCTTTAAAGCAAATGTTACTCAAGCAATCTTCCTAATCCTAAATTCTTTTATCATTGCAAATAAATTGAACAGTAGATAAAAACAACCTTTCTCCTTAGAACAGTAGATAAAGATTTTTCCTTTTTAGGGGAAATGGACACAACCTAAAGAGTGCCTGGATTTTTAGATTTTGTGCCAACAAAAAATTTTCAAATTTTTAGTTTTTGTGTCATTAGTTTTAATCAAAGTCATTAGTTTGTTTATCTTCCTTCATATCAAGAAATATCATATTTAGCCAGAGGAGCAACTATCTTTGCTTGATGCTTTATTGATGTTAATAGATGAAGGTCGCTGAAATACCTAAAGCGTTTCTTTCACTGGGCGGATTTTACCTGAAATTTCCTATCGAGATACTATTGGGGGGGGGATGTGACACCCCCCAACCCCCCCCCCGGTCGCGACGCCCCTGGCCAGAATTGTTGTAAGCAGCTTTCTATTTGGCGCTCGTGCCATGTGGTGCTCTTTTCTTTCAGAAGTGACTGTGCCTGATACCATTTTCTGAAACATATTTTCAGCAGCCTCAAGGTTGTGCAGTACTGCATTTAGCATATTCAAAGTACGCTCAGCAAATCGCACTTCAAAATGCGATTTATCATCCAGATGGACAATTCAGGTAAATGCACTGCCTCAAAAGCTAAATCTGATCGGTGACATATGCACCATGCAGTAAAAATGTCCCTGCCAACAAGATCCCTTAAAAGTTTCCACAATCCTCCTTTCTTCCCTGTATTTGCATTTTCACCATAAGTGGTTACTCCAGCCAGTTTTTCAGTGTCTACACCAACATGTAAGACATGTAAGAAATGCATCAAGAAATCCTTCGGCTCCTCCCTTGTCGCTGCTTGAAATTCCAAGAAAAAGGGTTTGGGCTGTTATTTCATTGCTGGTATAAATCTTGCTGTTACAAACTTTGAATCAATTTGTTGTCTACTAGCACTGCCATCGATTTGAACTGAATAGCACAGGCATTTCTTCAAATCAGTCGCTGCAATCTCCATTTGCAATTCTGCAACAATACGTCTCATTTCAGCATATGTCACTGGGTCCCTATAATGATGAACCTTGATTTTTCAAATGGTTCTAAGTCGGCACCCCTTTCTTTCGACATAAAAATGTTAAACAAGTTATTGCTGTGCTCATGGGAAAGTGAGCGCGATGGCCAGCTTGTGACCCTGCTCTACAGTCGTTGTATGCCTCCACTACCAACCTGAGAAAAAATCAAGAGTTTTTTTCTGACACTTTTCAAAGATTCTTGTCCATGGATGCTCAGATGACGTATTTTTCCACAATTCATAGTGTGTTTTTAATCTTTTAGTTTCTTTGTGTGCCCTTGACATAAGTGATCTACGAGGCATTTCAATCGTCCTTTTCCATCAACTCGAATTCCAGATGCCATAGGGAGACTCACTTGGCAGAAAACTATGTCACTTGGTTCACATATTCTTTAATACAGAGCATCTCATCAACTGCCGACGTTTTTTGTCTTTCATTTCAGTTTTTACTTCGAGACAACTTTCCGATAGCCAGACAATGCTCAGTTGTTTACTTCTGTACCAAACATTGTCATCTTCAGTACTGAATTACTTAAGTTGATCATCATCCATTTCATTTTGCTTGTTGGTCGGGAATTGCACTAATTCGTCAGTTGGTTGAGCTGAAACAGTTTCTTTGGTAAGATTCGTTTTTGCAGCTGAATTCCCAGCTTTCTAATTGCCAAACATACCAAGCAATGATTCTGCCCTGGTGCTGAGGCGGCTGCGCTCAACGCTTTCTTCCTATTCTCAATTTTTTGTCATTGCCGCATTTCTGCTTTCTCTTCATTGCTGTTCAAGTTCACTCAAAATCGTAAATCGTTGAAACTTTGTAACTTATTTCAAAATATTAGGCTTGTACATTTGAAGTTTTGTTTATGAGTAGGTGAATGTGATAGCTAGCCACGCACACACCTATTAAGCCTACACACATGATAATTTATTTTGTCAGTCCTAGAGGGGGGCTTAAAAGAAAGGGGGGCTTAATAGAGCGAGGGGAATTTATAGAGCTTTTACGGTAATGTCGGTTTTTACCTTCACACCGGCAAATTTTCAATGCCACTTTTGTAAAGATTTTTTGTCACCCACACGCCTGAAAAACACCCCTTGTGAATAATTTCCTAATCGTTTGAAAGCGCAATTGGTAATGGTTCACAAGGGAGAAAGAATAAAAACAGTTCAGATTTGTTGAGACAAAAACTATTTAGAATATTTCAAACGTTATCGAGTTGGCCCAGACAACTGGGGAATTTTTCTGATTTCGCCCATCACTACTAGGGAAGGTTTTGGGTCTGCTGGGGAAATTTCCCCAGTTGTTTTGTATTAGTTTGAAAAATCTGTAGTAGTTTAAAAAATGGCCTGGACTTTTTGCCAACTGAATAATTACTATTCAATTGAATAATGACTTATGAATAACCATATTAGTTTTTTGACTTATGACTAATGCGAATTATTTCAAGTGCCTGATATCGAAAAACTGAGAGGGTCCACACTTTGGAAAAATAAACTTGGCACTATCCTGTTGGATAAAATTATCGATGTGTGCGAATTTGGGTATGGACACGTTCACATATTACATATTGAATAAATGACGTATTTTTTATAGCTCAGAAAAGTTTAGAACGTTGAGAATATAGAAAAATCTCAGATAAAGGTCTACAAAAAATTTTTAATATATTTAATATTTTGCAAAGAATTTAATTTGCTGAAGGGTTAAATATATTCGGGGGCCCCGAATATATTTAAATGAAAAAAAATTAAAATCTCTAAAATATGTCTCTTTTTATTAAAATACCAAGTTGTTTATTGTTGAAATACGAAAATGTGAAAAAGGGTGATTTCATGGATAAAGTCTAAAAATCGCTGATGTGGCAAAATCCTTGATCGTTTCGCTTCAAGTTACTTTCAATTAGAGAGAATGCAGAGACCACAAAAGTAAGGATAGTGTATGATGCTTCATCAAAGGAAGGGAAAACAGGTACCACCACTCACACCTTTGTTATTTGATATATTATTAAGGTTTAGGGAGTTCAATGTACCTATGGTAGCAGATATTGAAAAAGCCTTTTTGGATGTTGAAATCGATCAATCAGATAGAGATGTTCTGATATTTTTATGGGCCAAGGATGCAGTTTGCGTTTCCGAAGGCTTCCGGCCTTGAACTATGCGGCCGCGGCTGTACATTAGGTTGTTTACTGCAGCGTTAATGGCGGGCCTCACGTCTGCTGTTCGGTGGATTTTAGATTTATTTTCAGTGATGTGCTGATGCTGGTTCTTGGTTTTACTCTGATTTCTGTTTATTTTGTGTCAAACGGGAATGTGTTTTGCTACTGTCTCTATGTTCGACTCGTTTACAGTGATTTGGGGGTAAACAATGATGGCCGACAGTTGATCGATGGTACGAGTGAAACGTAATTTTGTTATAACTTTGCGAAACATCAACCTATGAACCTATAGATGGTCTCATATTAATGGAAACATTGAATGCTATCGTTTGGTATATAGTTAACCTATATAGGACCTATAGATCCTGAGAGGTACGTTACTGCATTAGCGCCAATTACTGTTTTTGAGTGCCAAGAACGAAAGACAAATGTTTATTTAGATTTACCTTAGTTTGATTTCTGTTTTCGAGTTTCAATCCACCTACTAATAATAGGCCTAAAAGCGTAGGCTATCCGTAAAGCAACAAGAAATAGAGAACCAAAATGCCTTACCATCCATAAAATGGAACATTTAATAATTTGATGGTCCTTTACGCTCATATATATTTAGATTTACCCACCTTTGCCACTATTTGACGACAGAAACTTCGACTTTGTATGTCCGAACCGGCATTTCCTCGTAGTAAACAAGACCACAAGTCTGCAAAAGTGGTCACAAGAGCATGGCCGCTGCGATTTCTCAGCGGCCGCACTTTTAGAACAATAGATGCGCGATCCAGTTTTTTTTAGATCAGTGATGAAATCTATCTCCATTATGGACATGCGCATTAAAAATCATTTGCTTATTTTGGCGCGCAAATTGCAGAACGGAACGATTGCGTTCCCGTCTGAACATAAACAAAAATCGATACGCAATCGTTCTGTTACCATGTGAACAGTATACCTTTCCGTTCCAGAAACTGGAACAAAAATAGAACGGAACGATTGCGTTTCCGTGTGAACGGGGCCTAAAGATCAATCTGCTTTGTCGAGGAGGTCGTTAAGCGCCACCTCTTTGTGCGAAAGGCAATTATCTTCGGAGCGTTGTTCTGCCAAGACTCTGCTAAAGGCCTTCGGTTTTTTGGCACGAAAACGGTGCTGCATCACAGCTCGGTTCTCCGCAATGGATGGAAGTTTTGATTCGAAGTTTTGGGAATCAAAACCAGTCGAATGCCACACCTTTCTCCCAAAAACTCGAGACCGTACGAGCAAAAGTTATGATTGTCATGATTATCGCCTGTACATCGCTGTACGAATCCTTCATCGCAATCGATTTTAGCTGTACCCGTTCTATCACGTGTCCATTTTCATACGTCTTTGTTTACTTCACGAAAACGAAAAATATATGTCAAACCCTCGAAAAACTTCATGATTTTCAAAAGGGCGTTGGACATAAATCAAAAGCAAACTGAACACCAAAAATTCTTTATAAAAATAATAGTTTAGCATCATCTAGAGCAGCTGTTTTTATAAAATTGTGAAAACCCAAGATGGTGTCTTCTTCGAATGTCTTCTTCAAATTAAATTTTCAAAACAATCATTATCAAGGAACTAATTGTTTGCGGGCAGTACTAGCAAAAGCTATTTCTAGTATATCATATACGTTAACACGTGAACAGAACATTAATTGATGGGCTGCACGTGAGATGGCATGTAATTTTATTCACGTGTACTACAACCGATTGTCCTGGAGGCAGCAACAGCAACTTGCCTGAGGAAATGTGATTTTGCAAGATGGCGAGTTGGGTTAACTTTTCTGCATTTCTCCCTCTGCTTCTGGCGATAATAGCCTATTTTTACATCTCGAATAAAAACAATTTAGACTTTCTACAGAGGGTTGCAAATGGACTGCTAAAAGAGGAAAGCAGTGTCAATGTCACAAAGGACTTGAAAGTTGCTGTTGGGTTCGGATCATGTATGGACCTCATCGTCGATGGAATTCCTTTGTTAAAAAAGTTGAAGATCAAACCTCCGGCACAGCCAGCTCATCATGATTCCATTGGCAATGAGAAGGACTTGGCTGAAGTTTTTATGTATTTCATGCGGGAAGGTGCTGCTGCAGAGTACGTTATAATCATCTTTCATATATTGTCGCAACCAACACATGCGAAGCGCTAGGCCACGTAAACAAAAGCGAACGCGTGCTGACAAGTAGCTAACAGAGAAGGGACCAGGTGTTGAATTCCAAGTGAAGTGATACATTGGCAGCCTAAATAATTTTCCAAGGCCAAAATTAAGTTACGTCCTTGAATTCGATCTAGAGGCATCCTTTACCAACATTTTTCACGACTTTAGATAGAAGGAGGGTCACTGAAGAATAATTTTCACCTGTTAACGACAGCATTGGGCCGTTTAGGGGGGATGGGGGCTCGGCTAAGTTCAGTTGAAAATTTTGAATTTTTTGAAAAAATTTGAAAGATGGTAAAATTCCATATTTGATAATGCTAAATAGTAATTTGTAGCACCTTAAGTCCTTATTCTTAAACATACTTTGTAGCAAATTGTCTGCAAAAATATATGTTGTTGACCCATTGTGACATTGTTTTTGATAAGAATAGAAATAGTTGTCTTCAAGGTGACTGACACGGAAAATGAACTTGACCTCAAATGCAAGCATATCGAACATAAACAACTAAGACATTATCAATTTTTTAATATTCAACACAGTTTTCGAGTTATTGAGTGTCAAAGTTAGCTGTCGAACATTTTCCAAGCACGAACGAGTTTGCTAAAGCCTTCCGCAAAGTCCTGACTTCACAAATACCATGTTCAAGTCACTTGAGCAGCATGACAGTCTGGAAGGCCTTACTTTTATGATTTTGTGGAAGAACATCAATACATTAATTGAGTAGGTTTTTGGCTCCATTTCGACAACCTGATTGGAAAATATATTATAACTCCTTTGCAAATCTTTCATAATAAGATTTGCAAGAGTATCATAGTATTCAACGCGTCTGCGGCCCTTCCTCTGTCTTGCAGGACCCAGTGTGTGGCAGGCCAACAAATCAAATAAAGGTAGCGATAAATAAAAGGGCAGGATTTCTAATTTTCTGGAAACCTAAGTAAAATACTTTTATTTTCTAGAATACAACTGCTGTTATCGGGGCTGCCCCCCCTCCCCAACAAAGAAAATGTTGTATCTTGGTCTTTGATCCTGATTAACTTCAATATGTGTTGTAAAGATTTCGAATTCAAGTCACCCTTTATCAGAATATTCTTTTTTCAATCACATGAAATATTTTTAGGGTTTAAGAACCTCGTACAATCGAGTCGTAATTTCAACTACCCAGCTGCTGCACCCCTGTAAGTTGGATGAGCGGATGAGTTTGCAAACCCAAAACAATGTTCATGATTGATTTGAATGTAGAAATAACATATCAAAGTAATAATATTTTGGATAGATTCATAATAAAATGAAAAAATTTGAACATTTGTCTGCACGATTAACTTCAGAATTGAGAATTTCTTCAAGCAGCGAAAAATGCCCATCCCTTCCAAACTTGAATTCCCTCCTATCATAACGCAGTACCAGCTAGCACATATCCTTTCATACATTTCATTAGCCTTGAATTTTCATATATCTTGGATCAAAGGCTACATAGATCTCCTCGAATAGACTGAACAAGATGAAATTAACTGTCATGATTTGCTTTCAAGGAATAAAATCATGGTGTTTGTGAGATCAAGTGCACTGGGTCACATGAAATGCAGAAAATGGTCGAGCACTCAATGATAATTTCGTGACATTTAAAGTGATTGACATGATTGACAAAACATGATTGACATCAAAGCAAGTTTCAAAAGTCAATAATTCAACTTTAGATGGCATTCTATGGCTTTCTTTTTGCCCAATTATTTACTATTAATTTAATTGACCTGAAGACATCTGTTGGAGTCTCTTAACCCATTTTATAGTGTTCTTCAAAAAATGTTTTTAACATGTTTCCAAAACCCATAGATATTGGCTAGCTTTGTAATGGTTTCTTTTTTACTTTGTAGGCGTTTCACTGATCCAGCCACATTTGAAAAGATTTTAAAGACTGCCAAAACTTTGCCCAATGTTATTTGGCGAGCTGGTGGTAATGCCCCTATCATTGGCAAACGTCTATCCTTAGAAGGTGCCAGCCAAGTTTTGATAGCCTCAAATGCCAGTAGTGACTACAGATCATTTTTTCCAGATAATGTCAAATTCCTAGGTGAGGCAGATCATCAAGATGATGTGCATTTGATTCTAGAATTTAAGGTGGGAGATAAATGGGGTAGTTATATAGCCCCACGTGCAAACAGGTTTGTAATTCATAGTGATGCAAACAACCCAAAGCTTCGATACATCGAGCCATTTGGTACAGCAATCAAGTCATTCAATCCTGACCTGGTCATTGTAAGTGCATTGCAAATGCTGGACAATTATCCATTTCAAAACAATGAGAGAGATCAACGCATGCAGACATTACAAGACTTTCTTGAAAGCATTGACAATATGCCTGTGCACTTTGAGATGGCATCATTTTCAGAAAAAGCAATGATGAAGTCCCTCCTAAAATATGTGGTGCCATTTGTTACATCCATTGGCATGAATGAGCAAAAGCTGCCAAATTTAGTCAGTATGCTGAAGTATGGGGACATTGTTACCGTTTCTGATGCTAACCCAAGAACAGCCAGAGTCTTAGATTCAATGCGTGCTTTGTACTCTGAAATGCAGGAAAAAAGTCTAAGGGGATTGGAAAGAATACATGTGCATACATTAGCCTTTCAAGCAATTTTAACAAAAAAGTCTTCAAAATGGAAAAACAGCCAGGCTTGTGTAGCAAAGGCAGCACTTGTTGCCAACAGATACATTTGTAACAAAGAAGAGATTGATACATCAAAAGCAAAAATATTGATGGATGAGTCATTTGCTGCAAGTTTAGCTGAAGACAGCAAGCGCATCCCATTCAACCCAGATCATCCTGTATCATGCTGGGATGAAAGGGACTATGAAATCTGCATTGCACCAGTTTTAGTGTGCACAGAAATATATCAGACAGTTGGTGGTGGAGACAACATATCACCTGCAGGATTCCTTCTACAGCTATCCTAAGTAGATTTTTCAATAGAACTCAAAATCCATGCACCTTAGGGACTTTTAATGTAGGTAATTTTGGGAAATGTGGGCTGGATAATTTTGTTAAGATGAGGGTTCATCTTTCAGCACTTAGGAAACAACTAAAGACTATGGGTATTAAATTGGATTAGCTGTATTTGTTATTGGAGGCCTAGCATGACTGTTGAAAGTTTATCTGACGATTTATCGTAATATTGATTGGTTAGATAGGGTTATAAGGTGCTATATTTATAACCATTAAATATAGATGTCAAACTGCAAAATAGATACCAACCTGGCAATGGTCATTAGCAATGAGTAGAACAATATTTTTTTTCTACTTTAAACTGTTTTTTAGATTGGCGTACCTCATAGAATATCCCGTAGTAAGAATGCGGTTTCAGTCTCATGCAAAGTCATGCAAATTCAATGACAGAAAGATACATCACAGTAAACCCATTTTTTATCATAGACCAATGATTTGATTTTCCTTTTGCGATCAAGATTTTACAAAAAACTATGAAAAATCAATGATTAATATATTGACACAGTTCTGATGATGACTTATTATGACACAGCATGTCGGTTCTAGCATTTCATGGTTTTGAGCATTTTGTTATGATAGAATGTTAAAAGAAATTGTCAAAACTGCTAAAATACATTTGAATTTCTTTTTATCATCAAGTTTTAAAGAAATTGTCAAAACTGCTAAAACAGAGACATCAATGTTTGATAACCTCCTAAAAAATTGACCCAACTTTGTCATGTTTGTGGGCATTTTTCTTCGCTAATTCAGTCCTTTTCGTGAGCAAAATTACGCGTGTGTGGCAAATCGCACATGTAAACAAATTTGCGCGTGCGATCGCACTTGTAAAAAAATTTGAAGTGCCAACCTGATAAAATTGGTAAAAGGAGCAAGAAGGGAAAAGCCACTCGAATACGTGCAGGAGCAAAACTCAATTCAATCAATACATAACAGATTTTGTTGCCCTTAGCAGCCATCTTTCAAAAGTTACTTGCTTTCAGGGCACAATTACGTTTGACAGGAAATCAGTTATTACATTTAACATGCTAATGGCGAATTAGCTGAAAGACGATTCGCTAAGTTGAAAGGAGCATTCAGTCAAAACTTCCGAAAATTGGAAAAATCATATTGTGGTCAAAAGTGCGAATCAAGTAACAAGGGGAAGGATAAACAATCATGAGACCATAGGAAATTAATGTTAAAGGGCCTCTCCAGCAAAACAAAACAAAATTTTTATTGACTAAAAGGTTAGCATCTGGTGCGTGTATTACGACACAAAGTCATTGTTTGTGCAAAATTCCAATTAGTTGAGAAGTTATAAGCCTTTAAAGTTGCACCTTTCCGAGAAAAAAACGACAAAAGCCGAATCAGTTTGGTGACATTCTGACGTCACAATGTGCGGCTCTCGTTCGCCATGAATTTCATATACCTTAGTCCCTTCAAATTTAGCCTACCTTCAATTTTGGCTCCCTTTAATTTTCGCCCCTTTAATTTTCGCCCCCTTTTGTGCACAAGTTCGCTCCCTTTAATTTTGGCCCCCAAACCCTTTAAATTTCAAAGCTTTGACCTAATCAGTTTCCAAGCAATGAACGTTCATGCGGCATGGAACTACACTCATGCGGCATGGAACTACACTCTGAAAAATCTTTTTTGCTTGGAAAATTTTTACTGAAAAATCGCTTTTGCCATTTTTTCTTGAATTATGTCGTTATCGAAGATTAATGGATATTATTTTGAAGTACAGTAAGGCCCCTTAAAAAGACATAAGTTTATCATCTCTGTCAAAATTTTAAGGATTAAGAAATCTTTTTTATGACCTTCAGTATGGATATTTTTCCAGAAGGTGACTAAATGAGAACTGTAACAATGAAAGCAATCAACGCAGGATGAAAATTTGACGCGCGTAAAGATGGTAACTTGAAGTTTTCTTGAAGGGCCTAAAAACTAAGGTTCTATTATAGAAAATAGATTTTTTAAGTTCCCTTTAATTTTCGCTCCCTCTAATTTTCGCCCCATCAAATATTCCCATAATTCGCCCCCTCCGGGGCGAAAATTAAAGGCAGGCAAAATTTGAAGGGACTAAGGTATCTTCCACCGAAGCGTGAAGGACTCGTGGTCACGCGTTGATAACTGCATCCAAATCTTTAGCACAGGCTTTTTAGGATCGACAAATCCTAAAAAGTTTACGTGTCGGAATGTGTCCATGCTTTGTCAGGACTTTGTTTTGATCACCTGTGTAGGCCCACAAAGCTATGGCTTCCTGTTCCAGCTCTTCCCTCGCGTATAATTAATCGAAATTGACACTTCAGTTGTTCTCCAGAAACGATGAACAACTAAAGGCTTCAGAATTGGTGTCTGAAATGCTCAAACTAAAAGCTGGTGGAACGGAACTGAGAGTACCATCACTTGCAGTGTTCAATTTGCGAATCGCCGACGTTCGATTCGGTTTGAGGCGAGACTATCCGAAATACACAGTGACGTCAAAATTGCGTCACAGTGTCACCAAACCGAAAATTTTTTGTCGGTTAATTCAATTCAATTATCGAAATGCAAGAGCTTATATCTCACAAACAGTAAGAAATATCGAAAAACAAATAACGAATTCGTGATCAGCAGGCTCAACTTCTTTAGATTAGCCAATAAAATGCAAGTGCAAAATTTTGCTGGAGAGGCCCTTTAACAGAAAACTGCAAAAACACCTGTTTGCGCGTGTGGTCAAAAGCACGCGCAATTTAACTTGCGCGTGTGCAGGCGTGTGCGGGTGCGATCGCACGCGCTAAACGAAAAGGGCTGCTAATTGTAGGTATGGAACATGTAACATGTGGATCAATGATTTCCTTGTAAGAGGATTGTCCCAAAAGTAAAATGACCTTTAGTTATTGTAATTTCTCTTAACAACATCAATGCTATTTTTTGTTTTACACATTTTCTTTTGGATTGCATTCAATAATCTACCTCAATCATATATAGAAATTTAAAATTTGCCCAATCTAAAGATTTGGAAAATATAAACCAGCAAAAATTTCGAATATATCCAGCCAGGTTTAGGAAAGCTCTTTATTTGTTTTATGTTACCTTTGGAAAAAACAGATCAGGTAAATGTTATATAAAGATTATAATTTAAACATTGTAGATTATTATTAATCTAGAAGCTATCAATGTATTTTTGTTTCTGAAAAGGGAAATTACTAAGCATATTTTCTCATAATTAGGTAATGCTAAACAAGATCACAAATAATAATGTTTATAAAAAGGCTTCTTAATATTCCGGTAATGACATACCATGTCTTGGAAACAAATCGACAAAAACTCTCGAACTCCATAGACAAATCGCTTTTTGCAGGTGTTATGCGTGTGCATAAGATGCAAAATTTTGAAAGCCAATGACCCTTCAAATACAGTGTAAATGGATTGTAAATGCTGGTTTGCCTCCGCCAAGAATGAGTTGTTTCAAATATCAATATAGGGCCTCCGATTCTTTTCTGGGGTTTTTTCACATTCTTTTCTGGGAGTCCATATATGCCGCAGTTCTAGGATTGCTAGGGCCCATATCAGCAGGATTTTTTAGGGGCCACCAAGAATATTTCATTGTGTCCTGATGTGCCACGCCACCCCTGCCTATAATTCACCGTTATCATTAAAGTTTTAACTAATAATTCTCAGCATAAAATTCAACCCATTTACTGATCCATCTACACTTTAATATTCTTTATTATAGATAATGAAACTTGCAATATTTTTACACTTCAATTTCTGAACATTTATTTTTAAAGCCATTAATAGACCCTTGTTTTAAGTATTTACTCCTAGCTCTTAGGTTTATAGGTTACAAATTCATCAGGCTACAAGGGGTGACCTTTTCAATTTACTTGAAGAATTCCCTACCCTAGGGACAACAAATTGTTTTGAATGAAATTTTTGCAATACTCTTCCAATTTTTTCATATCTTTTAAAGCTTATTTTATCGACTCGTGTGGCTAATGGGTTCGTAAGGCTCTCACATCCCCTTGATTTATCATTCTGAGCCTCGACAGTTTATCATTTTATCTAAATAGTCTTATATTCTTTTCTTTAATTCATCCTATATGCAATTTTATGATGTCCGTTTCTTTTTAGGCCCTTTTCTTTTTAAAGCTGTAGTATTGTAATTTTTAGTACATTAGACGTACAATTATGTATTTCATTGTCTTTCAATTGTTTAAAATTGTATGTAGGGTGGATGAATAATTCGATGCACTGAAACAGTAATCTCAATTGCCATGGATGTTTTTCTATTTAGTCCTTTGTCGTTTTCTGCGAAATCTCTTATTTATATCTAGCAACCAATATTCATGTACGTAACAGCTAATTTTTCCAAGCATGGTAATAAGAGCAAGCAAATAAAGTCACTTCTACTTCTATATAATTCTTCATAAATATGTTTTTGTTAAATAAACAATCTAATTTAATTAATTTTCTCTTATCTTAGAATTCACCATAAACATGCTCCAAAATATACTACATTAAACAAAGTCGTAATGATTAAATTGAATGAAAGCCAAATTTAGGGGAATTTTCATAACTTCTTGAAAAATGGTGCTCTCCCAGTAGGTAGAATAATCCAAGAAAGAATATCCCCTTAATCAGTGGCGGACTGGCAATCATTTGACCCACCGGGAAAAGCAGCCAAAAGTCACCTAACTTTGGGGTTGTAAAACGGGCTTGGAAAAACTTTGCTTTAGCTGAGAATCAGTTTGTTACAAACATTGTCATAGGAAACGAAACGGGGGGAAATTTTTTGAAATCACACTATTTAGAATGTCGGAACATGCCCCATGTTGAAAATCAAACTTTTATATTCATAATTGGGATTGGCATGAAGACGATTCTCAGTCAAATTGACTGTATTTGAAACGTCTACACGGCTGACAAATTTTGTAGGTACCAATTGATTTATTGCCCTCAATTTTAGGTACCAAATGATGATTTTTCACCTAGCGATACACTATCTTCCAAGATTTTACAAAGAAAGCAACTTCTCTGGCCTAGAAGTCGAGATTCTTTTCAATTAGACTCGATCTCGAAATCTTTAGAAATTTGACGAAATACATGACTTCATTCTCATAAATTTTCAAAAGTTTTGCAGCATATCTTTGAAAAAAAGTGAAGGGGGTGCCTTAGCACCTGCTAGCCTAATGACTGTGTTTCTCCTGCCTCTACGCTGGAGATACAAATGATTTACAAAATATATAATACCAGTACATCAGCATGTGGAATTATGATCAGGTATTGAATATGTGCTTAAAACTTTAGACTTCTAAGAGACCCTGCTGCCGTCCGTTTTGCGAAAAATGATGACTTTACAGCTTAAAGGCTCCTTCTATATGAGAAACTGTGTGAAAACATGGTAAAAAGGGTAAAAAATTTCTCAAGAAAAGCACAGTCTATATTCCGTTACAAAAGTTTGAAGGAAGATTGGAATACTTTAATAGATAGCTGTAAATTTGAAACCCCTTGTTTTTCAAAACAGCCGGTTTAACTTTCCATTAAGTTTTACAGAAGGTTCGTACATGATGGCATGAATTCTCAACAAATTCCGTATAAAGTTTTTTAAAGAGTGGTCAAGATTTTTGGCTCCAATAAGTCATAATTTCTTTTGGGTACAAAATTACTGGTTGTAATGTACAAAAAGCATGATGCCCGTGAGTTTTTAGTTGAATTGCAAAATAAAATAGCTTGCCACCAACAGGACGTTCAGAAAGTATATAGTTAATCATATAGTTAATCTAATATGGTTAATCATAAGTCATGGGTTTCACGAAATTATTTGTCACCTCAACAGAAATGAAATTACTTCAAGTATTGAGCACTTGCTTGGAAAATTAAAAACTAACGAGGGTTGGAAGTGAGAGTAGGCATTCTGGCTGCTACCACAGCTACTGCTGTCAGTAAAACAAAATATGGACAATTTTTTGGCGCTACTAAATTTGATAATGGCTTTGAAAAAAGCAAACATTTTTAATATACTAAAAGCCTTTTCGTCTGAACCTCTCCAGAGTTTGAAACGTGAGAAAAAGGATAAGAAAGAACAAGATGGAGAATAAATGCCAATTTCTGGATCGAATTTTTCATCTTGTTCTTTTGGACCCATATTCTGACGTTATATGCTCTCAAAAGTTTCATATGAAAAAGATTTGAGCATGTTTAAAAGTTTTGCTTTTTTCAAAAAATTCCAAAATTTTCAAAACAAAATATGCTCTTTAAAGGTTTTCAAAAAATCTTGCAGAATTTGCTGATCAAAATTTCGTTTTCAATGAATTTTACAATAACAAAGATCTAGAAACTTAACAATTAAACTTAACAATTGAACTTAACAATCAATCTTAATATTGCTCAACTTAAAGGTGAAGCTAAACTTTTTATGAAAACGTACTTAGACAGGAGGTCAATTGATGGTTGTAATCAATTTTAGTTTTGTTCGAAGATTAGTTGCTTTTTGAAAGTTTAAGTTTTTGAAAAAAATAATTTGGGGCAAAGGGCGCACCGGGAAATTTCCCGGTGTCCCGGTGGGCCAGTCCGCTTCTGCCCTTAATAGGTGGAATTAAAATTCACATTTTGCTCCTGAAAACCCAGAGTTTATTTCAGGTCCAACTTCAAATTTTGATTCCGCCAAAATTTAGGGCAAAAGCCTAATTGACCCACCTAATCTTGTTTTGGAGCAATCATTTGCGCAGAATTACCGCAAGATTTCACGTGTAATAAGTAGTGTTCTTGGATAAAAAAAATCGCTACCTTGATCAGTTACAGCTACGGAGGAGCCTTGTTTTGTTGAACGTGGAACCAAGATGGCTGCCTGGTACAATCTCTTTGCCTTTCTGGCGTTGGCTGGTGCTATCCTGGCATATATGATTTTGAAGCAGAATTGGGAAGCTCAGCATATGGAGAAAGTCATTAGAGGACTAGAGAGAGAGGAGAAAAGTGCTAATATTTCAAAAAAATTTCGCGCAGCAGTTGGGTTCGGATCTTGTATGGATATTTTCGTGGATGGTTTGGCAGTGTTTGAGAAACTTGGTGTGGCACCTCCTGAACATGCTGTCCATCACGAACTTATTCAAGATATGTCGTCCTTTGCTGAGACATTTGCATACTTCATGGACGAGGGTGCTGCCTCTGAGTATGTCTTGTTAAATCTGATAAAATAATCATTTTATATATTACATTTTCTGAAAGCATTTTACACATTCACATGCCACTGGCCCATTCCCTGTTTTGTTTACAGTTCACATCGATTACCAGATCAAATCTGAAATCAAATAAGACCATTACTATACGGTAATCATTTTCTGAGAATTGCTTCCGAGTAAGTTTTTGTTCCATGCGGTATTTTGAATGGAATACGGTAAGGTTATGATCATAATGAGTGATATTGCAAGCAAGCAAGATTTATTTGTTAATGCAGGTAAAGGTTCCGGTAGCTTGTAACTGAAGTTGACATGAAGCCTATGCCCCTAGACTGGTATTTTAGAATTAATACCATGGGTACTCATTTTCTGACCTCACAAGAATGGACTCCACTCCTTTCCACATCCTGCTGGAATGATCTTTCAATTATCTTTGGTGAGAAGAGCCTCTCAATAATACATTGCTGGAGTATTTTGGTGCTTTTTTAATCTTTAAGTCTGGCCTAGGGGCATGTATCCCCCAACTTTTCACAAATAAAGTAAGGACCTTATTTGCAGTTCACAGGGGTGCCCCACATTTCCTTTACAAGCCTCTCTTCAGTTTTAAATTGCTTACTAATTCTATGTTCAAACAGGTGGTGCTCAGATCATGAGCCAAACAGATTACCAGTATTTTGTTCTGTCTATCTTCCAGGAAGGGGGTTATTTGGCTGCCCCATAATACTAGAGATAGCAAGATTTGATATTGACAGTGTTAGTGATGACAACAGTGTGTGAGATGAACAGACAGGGGAAGAAAGCTTGCCAGCCAGATCCATTCAATAACATGCCAGACTGGAAACTTTATTTCTTGCGCAGACATGTTTAAATTGAAATCTCGAGACTGCGTGCCTGAAATCATACAGTTTTAGTTATTAATAACATTAAATGTTATTTTCTAGGAATTTTTCACTAAAAAGCATTCAGATGTGCGGGTGGGCAATATATTGTGGTCCGCAACAAAGCTTCCACTCTGGATAGCATGCACAGGCAAGATCTTTCTTGGACCACCACCAAAATTTGTCAGCTGCACCTGCTTCTGAAATCTTTTTATAGTTTTACCAGTGCCAGTAATTTTAGAAAGTTTTTTAAGGTGTAAAACATCTAAAGGCCATCGCATTGCCAAGGGGAGTTTTTATAGAGAAGCAATCTCTGCTAATCTAAAAGGGGTGGTCCTAAGAATTTTCTGGATGGTACAACCTGAAGCCCCTCCTCTTCTACTGTTCAATTCAGATCTTTTCCTAGACCCAGTCTGTAAAGTAGTTTTTCTGTGTGGGAAACACAAGAATAATAAAGATCTAATCAGGGGGAAGACTAATCAGGGGGAAGACGTTCTTTACAGTCTGGCCCTGCATCTGTGTCTCTAACACTCCAAAATTTACTGTATTATGGACTTCCCCATACCAAAACCAAGGAAAGCTAATTACGTTGCCACTACATATTAGGCTTTACACCAGGACTTTAAAAGTTGATGAAAAATAGAAATAATGGCTCAATCTAACACTAGTGGGTCAGTCTGTAAGAAAGTCCACGTCAGAGATAACATTACATGGTTTACACCCTTGTGAAGAGATCATTGGCCAAACAAACCCTCCAGCACTTTTTTTGTGAGAATTTTAAATTTTTACCAAAAGCAGGCCTTTTACATTCAAATTTTTTTGTGACTTTTCAATGGAGCACAAAAGACAAGTTGGATATGCATTTGAAATTATAAATCAGTACAATTTTGAAAAAAATGGAAAATTAATTGAGCACAGTTCAACAATTATTTAGGTAGGCGTCATGTCACAGCCTTCACTTCCAATGGCCTTGATAAGCACTTATTTATCTTCAATGTGCTTAGCACTTATATTTTTCTCTCACTTTCTTCACTTTCTTGCTCCTTCAAGATTTTAGATATCTTTCTAAACATCATCAGATTTTCTCAAAATTTATTTGAGCTGGTCATTTTGGATGAAAGTATTTTAATATAAACTTGCAAAATGTGGGTTTGTTTGGATAGTGTTACTTTAACTGAGCAATGTGATATTTCCTACTCTTATTCTGCAATGGTATGAAATCACTTTTCTAATTATAAAATAAGAAAAATGACACATTGTGACTTGGCTGGCTCTTCAATATAAGTCACATTGATTAATTTTTTTTAATTACTGTCTTGTAGAGTCTGCTATGAGATTAAGTATGTTGCTCTAAACAGCCATGTAGCTCTCTAAAATTTTTCGTTTTTCCCATCAAATTTGAATGAATCTTGAAGATCATTTTTCTGAAAACTTTGGAGGTTAGTATCACCTCCCCTTCCACTTTGCTTTTCATTTTGCCACTTATCTCTCTCTTCTCTTAAGTTTATGAGAGAAGAGACTTTATAAATAATGAAGGAATTCAAGATGTTGCTTGATTTTTTATTTTCCAAAGTTGGTGATGAGCAAAACCTGATCACAAATCTGATAGGAGTAAAGCAGTAACGTAGCAAAGTTTAAGGCATGTTATTTGATAACTAACGGCCCCCGACCAAAAAGGCCCCCAATTTATTTTTATTTCCATGTTTTGAAGACTTTGCTCAAGTTCAATTCATTTTCAAAAAACTCTTAAATTCCATCTACTAAAGCTTTTGTAACTTAAGCCCCCAGCTAATGAGAAAGAAGTCTCGTTTTTACATTTTTCTATTGTGTTTGACATGCTCTACAGCATTGGATGGGACTTCTTGCTGTGCGTAACAAGGGGCCCCGTCTCAGTGTTTTTCCTTAGGGTCCAAAATGCCTCCGTTACGCTACTGAAATACAGACTGATTTTTTGAAAAATTGTTCATTTTTTGCCCTCTTGCTTGTGTTAGAGCTTGCATGATTATCCAGTAATTTTCTATTTCTTTCAGAAAGTATACAAACCCACTATTCTTCAAGAAGATTTTAGAAGCTGCGAAAACAGTTTCAGGTGCACGTTGGGCTCCAGGGGGAAACGCACCTGTTATAAGTCGAAGATTATCAATAGAAGGGGCTGAAGAAATTCTAGTTGCATCAAATGCAAGTGCAAAATACAAAACATTCTTTCCGGAAAACGTTCGTTTTCTTGAAGAATCTGACCACAAGGATGACATCCATATTGTTCTCGAATTTAAACTAGGTGAAGTTTGGGGCAACTACACAGCTTCAAGAGCAAATAGATTCATCATACATAGTGACGTTAACAACCCAAAGCTACGTTACATAGAACCTTTTCAAGAAAGACTCAGTAGCTTTGGGCCTGACCTCATAATTGTCAGTGCTTTGCAAATGCTTGACAACTTTCCATTCAAAGGTGATGAACGACAACGACGAATGGAGGTTCTTCAAAAAATGCTAGAGCCTTTGTCAGTCCCAGTGCATTTTGAAATGGCATCCTTCTCTGAAAATGCAATGTTAAAAGCATTGTTAGATTACGTCGTTCCCTATGTAACATCACTTGGCATGAATGAACAAGAACTACCAAATTTGGTCAGCATGTTGAAATACAATGAAGTTGTCAACATAGCAGATGCCAGTCCTAGAACTGCAATTATTCTTGATCTGATGCGAGAGCTTTACACTACTTTGAAAAAGAAAAGTAACAGAATCGAAAGAATCCATCTTCATACTCTAGCTTTCCAAGCAGTTATAACAAGGTTGGGTACACCCTGGAAGAACACTCGAGCGGCCATTGCAAAAGCATCATTAGTTGCCAATAGATATGTTTGCAACACTGATAATATAGATGTAAAAAAATCGAAATTGTTCATGGATGACTCTTTTGCAACAAGTGTAAAACCTGGCAGTCGTCGTATATTTTTCAAGCCTGAAAATCCAGTTTCATGTTGGCAAGAGGACGATTATGAAGTCTGCGTTGCTCCTGTTCTTGTATGCACTGATATTTATCAAACTGGAGGGGCTGGAGATAACATTTCTCCATCAGGGTTTACTCTTTCGCTGTAAGTTAGTAAAAGACTAATTGATATATATTACGGTCACTGGCTTTTTGGGCAAAGGATTTTATGAGATCCCGTGTGTTGTCTGACAAATTATATTTCGGTAACTTGGTACCGTCAATCTATGGTTTATAAACACATTGAAGTTTCCAAGTTACTGAAATATAATATATGTTTTATTTTATTGATGCACCATCCCTATACCTTCGTTAGCCTTAATGTAATGATGATGGCCGTTGAAGAGAGGATTGATAGATGGAGATATTGGTCAAGGTATCGGTTGCCCATTGTCGTACGCTTCTCACCCCAATAAATGTTATTCAAATCTTAAGACTGGAAGAAAACAGTGTTTGATGTTTTTGCAAGTCATACTCTCTGACTTGTGCCTTTTTTTACAGTCCCAAATTATTTTGGATGTCGATTATCTCCACATCAGTGTCTTGAATGGAAAATTAGACCACGAATTGGCATTTGGAACTTATGCCCTTTGCCTATTGAAAAGAGTCATTGAGGGTTTGAACAAATTAACTCATTGATGAGAGGACTAAGAAGGGTTCCTTTTTAATGTCCCTAAAAAGAATGCGAATGGCTACAGTGTCTCTTTTTCAATACTTTAACTTTGTTTTGGGTTCATGTTCCAGTGATAATGGGGCAATAGCAATTGCTTAAATCACTCAGATTTGGGGGCAACTTTTTTCATTATATAGTCCCCAGATAGTCCTTCACTATACAGAGCCTAAGGTTGCAAAAGAAGTAAACAATAGGTAGCAGCGACAAGTGGTAGCAAAGAAGTTGCCCCTCTCGATTTACCGTCTCACAGAATCAGTAGTTGTTTACGGTATAGCATACTCACTACTCTAAAGTTTCAATGCCTGTCTCTTATCTGAATAGCAATAAAGTCAAACAATTACACTTATTTTTATCAATGCATAAACATAAGATAACCCAAATATATTATGTATTTACCTTAATATTTGCAAAGATATTGATTTGCAACGGGTTCACTTTTTTTCGAATTTAAATCGTTTAAATGGTTTTTAGAATTGGCTTTTTAGCAATGATCGTCATTGAAATATAAATTTAACAAAGATTTAAGTAGAAGTTGAAAATTAACAAAATGAAATTAACAAATTAACAAAAGCGGGAAAATTAACAAAATGAAGTCTTTATTTAAAATATCATTGATGAAATTTTATGAAACATTGTGTTTTTCTGCTGTTTCTGTCAGAATTTGTATCAGAATTTATTGAGAATCGAAACAAGCACTGTAAGCTGGGAGTACAGTTTATATCTTCTTTAGAGGTTTTTTACACTCGCTTTCTTGATATTGGATTCTTCATCGGTTTATGCTGTTCTTGCTACGAAACGTTATCATAGTATAGACTTCTACAAAAGAAGATTAATGTCTTTTGTAAAATTCGTGGACTTATGATACGAGATAGGGTATTAGAAATTGTTGGCTGTGAAAAAGCTAGAAGATAGCACCTGCAGTTTACTATTTGAAATTTCATATTGATAAAAATGAATTGCCAAGGATTAAGAAACTTAGAGAAAACAGGGGTAGCATAATATCGTAAGAGTTTACCTCCAGGGTTGCCAGATGGGATTTACCAAAGAAAGCCAGATGGGTGAAAAACTCTGGCTAGAAAGCCCAAATAAAAAAATTCTCCAAAATTACACTGCGTACATTTCCACGCATGTGCCTTTTAGATAATTTCCAAACTCAAACAAGAAACTGAGAAACTCCCTCCTTCAAATATTTATTTTGCCAATCTTTAGGTTAGCTGATAATATTTGACATTTGGGTTTACATTGGGCAGTACTGCTCTTTCAATTCATAATTTGTTTGTTACTCAGGGTGTTCAAGTTAAATTTCAAGTTCAAGAGTGACCTTACAATATCTGCTGGAAAAGTCCAAATTTAAGTAGTAGGCTTCTCCACTTACCCCTTTCTCCACTTACCCCCTTGTTCTTTTCTTAGCACCAAAGCCCGGCTCAACTGCTTTTGCTTTGTTTTGCATTGCTTTGAATTCTGGGCCATTTTTTCGGCTCCTTTGAAAGAATTGTAGATTGTTACCCCTCGAAATGTCACCACTAACAATAATTCTGCCCAAAAGTGATCATAAAGTTTATCAAACATGGTGTTTTGCACAAAATGAGCCAAAATTAAAGGACATCTACCCAAAATAATCGATTTTCAAGTGTCACAATCAAATCCCTTAATACTTTTTTCAAAAATTATATAACTAGAAAATACGTCAAAAACAACGTTTGAACAACCGGAAAGGTTTTTAGCACACCCCTAATTTGATTTTATGACGAGCCTCATAATATGTTTTCCAACAAAATCCCATATCCTAAGCTATTAATTTTAGAGAGGATTTGTTAGGTATTTGTTACTTCTTGTAAGGTATTTGTTATTTCAATAATAAGATGGTCCTTTCTGATAATAGGATTAAGGTTTTAAATACCGATCTTTAAGTTTATTTTCATTTAACGCAAACATTTCTGTAGCGTCAAACTTCACTACTTATTGTTCTTTTAAACCGATAATGTTTTTCTACATAGTTAAAGTTTATGCATAACAAAGCTTTGATATGCAAAAGTGGTTTACTGTATCAAATTGGTTGATATATTTTTCAACAAGCATTTATTTACCTCTAGATCACTCTGTATTCTCGTTCTGAAAGGAAAACATTCCCACCCTCAAAATCAAGGCCAACTTTCTATGTAAAATGAATTTAATTCTATGTAGATATACTTCAGCTTCATACTCCAATCCTTCAGCATATTTCGTATTTCAGTTGTCCAATTCCTGAACGCTAATTTTTTGAACTCTGGATTTGTCCGTATTTTCCTGTAGTGCATAAGGAAAAAGTGTCAGTGTCCTAAAAACTACCTTGCAAAACTAGGTAGCAAAATAAACAAGCAAATCATAAACTTTAGATAGCTATGAATTATTTTTCTTCTAGACCTTGAAGTGATAAACATTTTAGCTAGCGATCATTAGTATAAGAACATAGCCGATGATAGAGTCTTTCGCCAATCCTCTTGCTTGAAGCGCTTCAATCTAAGGACTCTTCCAACGAGTTTACCTGCTTGACTAAAAAAATTGTTTCAGTTTGGCTAAGATTTGTAACAACTGTGTATAGAAGATACGATCATTTGCGTTGCAACTTCGTGATCAGGGGGTCAAAAAAGTAAAATCGATGAATAAAGACATGAAACTGAGCGACTAACTTATTTACCAACCATCAAAGAACAAAATTGGGGTACTGCATCCCACCCACTTCACCTTCATAAGCCATACACCCACCAAATACACCCCTGGTGACTGAAACCAACGAATGTAGGATGTTCGAATGAAGATCTGCTAAAAATCATCCTCTATGGCCACGAAGAATTACCACTCGAATCAAATTCAAAAATTCTCGCTGCAACGCTAAATATATCCAGGCCTCTAAACGTTTTGAGTAAATTGATGATGCAAACAACACATTTCCTCTCTCCTCTCCTCTTTCTAGAAAAAGTTTCTGTTTCTTCTTTTCGTTCATTTTGCATCTTTAAATTATAGTTAATTCAGTTTTATATGTTAAATTTAAATTACCACAATGTTGATATGTATTCCCATGCTCTCTGTGGTATCGTCTGGTAAATTTGTGTATGTTTTGTAAAAATTTTATGTGAATATAAAAAAAAATAATGTAGGATGTGCCTTCCTAAAAAGATTGTCTCGATACGGGCCAGTTGTCTGGGGAAAGTATCATTACATAAAAAGTAAGTTATCGTCGTTTTCGGTTTTGTTCCTTGTTTTCTTTATCATAATTAATGACGTCATACGTTGATACTCGTCACCAGAATGAGGTCAGGAGCAAGGTCGTGGAAGCGTCTGTCGGGAATCTATACAAAGGCATTATGGCGGACGAAGGACACGTTGGGGAAGAGAAACCCAAAGAAACTGTCAACAGGTAAGGCGTCTATTTTTCTGCTGGTCTCTTTTCATAAAATCATCTTTGGAACATCTCCAATTCTTCCTTGGAAAAGTAAAGTAGAAGAAATAAGAGATTAAACGAGAGTGTATCCAAAGCTCTAAAACCATGCCAAGTTTACTAGTAAGAAATTTAGAAATGGAAACAATTTTCTAGTGCGATGTTTTAGAATTTATCCAGCTTTTGCGACAGGCTGCTATCACTTAGTAATTTGTGATTTCTTTCTGGTTCACTTACGAAGAATAAAGTATGTAATGGCTAGCAACTGAACTTTGAATTGATGGATTCTTGACGTCATCAATTTTGTTTCTCGCTATCTACAGATCTTTTTCGAAAATGGACTTCAGAATTGAAATCTTCATCTTTAAATTAGTTTATACTGAAAAATTCATGTTATTTGGACCGTTCGGTCGCATGTTACTAATACTTTGTTTCAAATATTTAGATATTTCTTTAGAGTTGACCACAACTTGCTGCTGCAGTAAAAAAATTTCACTACAGCAACAAATTCCATTGAAATGTATAGGAAAAGCTAAATTTTGAAAATGGGATAATTCGCAGCCTAATGGCCCAAACAATTTGAAAATTTTGGCACAGACTAATTTTAACATGAAGGTTCCAATTCTGTTATCCATTTTTGCCAAATGTTAAGAGACAAATTGCTCTATTCCGAGAATTGTGCCTTTTTTAACTGGTATTCCACACAAGCCATGCAACATTTGTTAACACAAAAATAAAGATTTCTGTTTGAAAAATTTATAATATTGCATCACAGGAGGAACGGAAATTACTCAATCGAGCGCTTTTCCAAGCAAGGCCTGATAAGAGCAAAATACATTGAAAAGTTTCTTACAGTGACTGAATAATTATTTCTGTATAGCCAAACTAGAAGAAATAGCAACTTAATTCCTTAATCATTCCTTTGTGAAAATGTACTTAATTCAAAAATATTCTATGATATTAATTCTATGATATTTTAGGAGCATTACTTTTTGTACTGCATTAACTAACTTTTTAAGAACCTGGTTATAAGATTTGTGACTTCTATGTCAAATTCTACAGCTTTTTTAGTCTATGAATTATTTGCACTAAGCATTCAAAATGTTATTTTTGTTGATTTACATCTGTTCATTCTTACCAACAGGACAGTTCTACAGCTGTTAATACTTTGCCTTCTAATTGAAAGCACCATCTCTGTTGATAGGAACAACTTTAAAACATGCCAGCAAAGCAGCTTTTGTAGGTAGGCTGTTTAATGTATTTTTGCTCTGAACACTTTGATAGAGGATATTAACTCATGATTCAAAGTTGACAATAAGCATGAATTTTAGGTAAGCTTGCACTGCTAAGCTCTGTATAGATTTTGCTTGTTGACTTGTGTTTGCATTTAAAGAGAACTTTAACCTTAGAAGTTGTACATTGTTTTCCTTTTGATAAATTCTGATATCTAACCAATTATTTTTCTAACCCAACATTTCCTCAACAGTCAAAGAATGATTTTTTGAAGTTGTCTCTTGAGGATCCATGAAAATGTTTTTGTGTTTGAAAATAACTTCACCTTGACAATCATAGAAGCTACCTGCAAAATGTAATAATAAAATATTTGTTTATTTGACTTATTTGACTGGTTTTTTTCTTTTACCAGATTACTGAAATGCACTTTCATTTGCAGGAGAAACAGAGGCATCCAAGAAGGCAACAGTCCTTACTCCATTTTGCAAGATAGTGTCAAATTTGATTCAGATTCCATAAAAGCCAATCTTTTGAATTCAAAAAATAATGTTTCTTTAGCCCTTACAATTGAACCTTTAGAAAAAAACACAGCAAGAATAAGGGTTAGAGAATCAAACCCAATCCGACCTAGATATGAATGCAAAGATTCTCTTGATAAAGAACCTGCCAAAGTTAGGTTAGTATCATGTTTTATTTTACATTTTCTTGATACATCTCCATTTTATGTATTTTGTATTTATATCTAGACTGCCTCTGGTCCCATGATTGAGATTATGTTTTTTCTTTGTGCTGATAGTTCTTTTGACTGAATCTTATTTGTTTAGCTACACAAAGGAAAAGGAAGATGCAACTGGCTGCAGCATAAAGTTTGATGGAAACTCAATTGCATTGACTTACAAGCCTTTCAGACTAGACTTTTTTCAAAGTGGTGACCTTGTTTTAACTATGAACAGCAGAGGCTTGATGAATTTTGAACACTATCGACTTAGAAAGTAAGATGCTAGATATATTCAAACTGATTTTGTTTGTTTCTGTGTTAGAATCATTATTTTTTGTCTAAAAATTTGATTGAATGTTCACAATGAAACTATTGCTGTCTGAATTTGGTTTAAAATTTTAAGGGCTGTCTGCACTAGTGTGCACACTGAAGATCTGGGCTCGCTCCAGATTTACTGGCCCTGGTTAGTTTAACCCAGGTTTTGAGGTGGGAAAAGTCCAGGCAGAGCCAAGGCCAAGCCTTAGTTTCCAGCTGTTTGGACAGAAACTTGGGCCAGACCTCAGTTTTACTTCAAAATCAACAATTCTTGAAGAAGCCTTGGTTTTGATAATTTTATTGTTCTAAATGAATCTTTTTTCACCTTCTTGCAATTTCTAGAAGCTATAGACAACAGCAAATTTCAAGCATTAGGACAATTGAATAATCTCTAATGATTGTATATGAATATTATTCTGATTATTGTAATCTATAATGGGTAATATTCACTTGATATGGGCTTTTTAAAAAATATTCATTGTCTACAAATTTCATTTACCTTCAGGAATATTGAAGAGAATGCAGAACACCCTAGTGAACAGGAAATTAATGATGGGGAACCACCAGAGAAAAAGGCAAAAGAAGATAGCAGTGAAAACAGTGAGGTCAGGGACTGCAAAGTTTTCAATTTATAAAATTGTTCTGTTTTTTATATTGGTCTTTTATGATGACTTTTGTAGAATATGCTTTTGCAAAATATTCGAGACAGGGCCTGCATACTTGAAAAGATAAACCTGGATCAGTTACTGGTTATCTGTCTCTAACCTCATCAAATATGACAGAGCTGTTATGAATTACGAATGTGTGTCCAGACAGTCTGGAAGAGACATTTATTAAATGGTCTGAAATGTCTGGATACAGGTAAAAAACATTAATCTACTCTGGTACAGAGATCAAGAATGCAATTCATTTGCAGACAAGAAATATCTCTACAACTTCAGTGTTCAAAAAGAAACTAAAAGATTTGGTACACTGCACAATTTCTACAAAGAGCAGCAGTTATAAGATTATTGATTTGGAATGCAATATTAACTTTTAATCTTTAATCTATTTTTTGTAGCGCTTATTGCCATTATTGATATTGTGTTTTGAAAAACTGATAGGGATTGGTGGATAAACAATATTATGAAATGAAATAAAGTTTTCAGTAAAATGTGTATGAGCAGTTTTTCAATTGAATAAAGCGTTTTCAACACATATAGTAAATATACAGCTTAAAACCTGATAGATAATTTTAATTGTTATAGTTTTAGAGCTTTTAAACATAATATATCAAGGATCAAAGATATTCCTTCTGGAATTTATAAATATATCAATCAGATTTATAAAATTTTGCAGAGCTTTTCCAGCCTGAAAATCTTTTTACCTGAAAGCAGGGGGAGCAATCAGAGAAAAAGGAAGAAAATAAAGAAGAGGAGAAATCTGATGATGCAAAAGAAGAGAAAAAGGCCAGTGAAGATGAAGAAGGGATGTGGGAAGAATCTTTCAACAGTCATGAAGACACCAAGCCACGAGGTAAGCTTTAAGGCGTCAATTGTTTCCCCTTTTTTCTAAAGCACCTGAACTCAACAAATCTTTGCTCCAGAAACAACACAGTATGGGTGGTAGCAAGAAACTATCTGTACAGAATAAAATTTTACTTATGAGGTCTCAGTTCCAATTCGTTTGCATTTTCAGTCCTTTTGAGAACCTTGGCCCAATATTTTTTTCTAAAAGCTCATTTTTTAGTCTTCCCTCTTTCGAATCTCTTCCAGCTTCTCTGTATTAGAGAACATTTGTCCAGTATTAGAGAACTCTGCTTCAAGGTTGTCCAGGCTCTCTGACAGTCATTATTATTTCATGCTGCCCTCTTTTAGCCATATTATGCCTAGCTTAGGTACTAAATAAACGGGGGACATTTGATTTTATTCACGTAACCAAATAAAGCAGCGTATCTCGTATCGTGTGATAAACAGCCTCGTCTACCACCGGAGTAAATACAATGTCAAGTTGAACATAATGGAAATAACTATAAGGTAAAATGCATGCATATCTGAACTAAATGAATTCGGCTTTAAGAATATTCTTCATGAAGGATACATTCGATTAGTGACTGCACAAACGAACTGGCACTAAGCTAGAATAATTGCTGTTTTTTATTATAATAACAATTTAAATACCTTTGTTATCAAGTTATTTCCTGGAAGCTAATTATCTGGATTCTACATGAAATAAATAGATTACCTCGGAGTTATAGACGCCATGACTCCAATGGGGTAGAGCTGCAATAAATGCAATGGTGGCTTATATCATTGGGATTTGTAAATTCTTCTGTAGATTAAACAAGGTCTATCTTCTGTAGGTTAATCAACACAATTTAGATTGTCATTCTTAAAGTATTTTTCCCTATTCTAAAGAGGTTTAGATACCAAAACAGTTGAAGGACAGGCTCTTGTCCACCACGAATTTTTCGCTCGTTTGCTCCAACCTGAGCGATTTGAACAATAGAATTTAATAATGGCGTCGCGAACTCAGAGATATAATGGTCTTTGTATAATGGATTGTAAAACCGAGCAGCTTTGGGACCTAGGCCAAATCCTTGATTTATCGTGGCATTTATTATTCTCTTGTTGTTTTACAGCTAGATTAGCTTCAAAAAATGCAGAACCATCTTTTTGATACTTCTTTTTCCCAAGCCGCTTGATTCCTCCGCTAAATTTTGTCCACCCCCGCCCCCCTCCCACATTCAGATTAATCTCATTAGCCAAACTTGAAATTACTTTTTAGCAATGTTTTGTGACTAAATCGTTGCACTCACACCAATAAATTCTGTGTTTCAAGGACCAAGCGCAGTAGCCCTGGACATTTCTTTCACCGGATTTGATCACGTGTACGGCATACCTGAGCATGCAGATTCATTGGCTCTCAAGCAAACGACGTATGTCAATCATTTTAAACTCTTGCAATGCAAGTTGCGTTGGTTTCTATTTATATGTTGACACCAAAACAACTAGAAAAATGTTTTCTCTCTAAACTGTATCGGCCTATATTGAATGAATTTATTGTACATTGCTTAAATCCATTACTGTCGATTAATCTTTTTGACAAAGGGTCATTGTTAGTCTATTTTCTTCATTATTTTTTATTTTGCAATGAAGGACTTCAGGTTTTTAATTAGCTTTGCGTGAGGTATCAGTGTGGATTAAAAAGTTTTTGTCTCTTATTTCGCACCCCGTTAAACTGAAAAGAAAGAATGTTTGTACTGTGTTTTTAGGTTTTCGTGGATTGGGAGTCCTTAATTCAAACCCTGAACACTTTTGTCACTGTGTCATGATAAATATTTTATAACTTTTTTGTATGAGTATGTTGATCTTACATTATTTTACAATTGTGCTTCATACCTATTACGTCATAGGGGTGGCGATCCTTACCGCTTATACAGCCTGGATGTATACAAGTACGAACTGTACAACCCAATGGCATTATACGGATCTATCCCATTCATGATTGGACACAGGTTGGTTTCAGTAGATTATCCAGGCAATCACTTTGAATTTCACTACAATATAGATAAAATATTGAATTTGTAAGAAAAGACACTTATTCGTATTTAGAGTTCATTGAACAAAAAAATACGAAAACCGTATCTTTGCTATCTAAAACAAAACCCGTTCAGAGCATATTTCAGCCACTGTAACATCAGTTGGTGCCGTCAAAATAGAGATGTCATTTCAAAACGAAGTTTTGCCCAGACACCTTTCTGCAACCCTGAAACAAACATCGTAAATTTGAAACTGGTGAATTTAAATGGAGAAACAGTGTTGCTTTTGCAAATTTATCGGCACTTTCGTCATCGCTTAGTACTATCCGACCCGTCTAAATGGTTTGAAAATAAAATGCCCCCTGAACTCCTGTACTAACAGCATCGTGGATGACTTGATTGAATCTAAAAGGCTTCAATAATCCACCCTTATATTTTACAGTAAACGTCGAACTGCTGGTGTATTCTGGAACAACGCAGCTGAAACCTGGGTGGACATCAAATCTTCAAAGGTAATCAAAGCATTTACATGAAAGATTCTAGTTATTAACCGATTGTTTTCACTGTAGATTTCAGTTCAAAAGACTCATCTTTTTGAAAAAGCAGTCCCCCGTCCTTACCATTAAGGATCATGCGCAGTAGCTATTAATCACATTACGCGTGTCCTTCGGCCGCAAGAGGGGGAAACGACCTATTCCTAGTCTTTCGGCTCTTAAAGCCCCTTATAACATCAAGGTTAAATTCTAGGTTGTTTTTCTTTCTTTGTGTATTTACCGGCTATCAATTGAATGACCTCATTGAACTAAAATGCAGCGAAATTTCAGAACAGCATGGAACAAAGTATGCATTGTTCATGAATGTTGTGGGTACAAGTTTTTCGCTCTTTGTCATCAAATGCATATTATACTGAGAAGCTGTATTATATTACCTTTCTTTGAGTTTTTAATGTTTGTTAGGAATTATTGAAATGAAACCCTCCTATTCTACCTTAAACTCATCAAAAAAAGATTTTGCAATTTAACTAAATTATACGAGAAAATTTAAGGTAACGACTATTTGTAGTCACAAAAGTTTAAGAGAAGTGGGTAGTTTGGTATGATACTAGTTAACCTCATCAAAATTTGGAAAAATGACTGTAAAATGACGCATTTTTCTGATCTGAGGTAAATCGCTTTGAGATTCCTTGAAATTCCTGGAAGATCTTAACTTAATGCCATTGATAATGATGATTCAGAAAGGATATGTTTGATTCCGTCTTGAATTTCAAACCTAAACCTTATTTTTCAATGTCCAAGTTGCACACTTGTTTTGGTATGTCTGATGTAAATTTTTGGAATTAGAATTTAGAATTTTGTTAGTTCTTAAGCCGAAAGAGACCTATAATATGACAGACAACCTGTTTATGATACACACGTATATAGGTATAATCTATCTGATTGTCTCTTTTTTGGAAAGTAAATTGATGTCATGCAAAATAAATACCTGTTTCCTCATGCAGTCAATGCTGAGCTCTTTGATGTCGTTTTTCAAGTCTGAAGAAGCTGTTCCGGAAATGGATACTCATTGGATTTCTGAAAGCGGGATCATAGACGTGTTTGTGTTGCTTGGGCCTAAACCACATGATGTCTTCAAACAGTATGCCACTTTAACAGGGACAACCCCAATTCCACCGGTACGTTTTAAGTTGTATACACTGAAGTAACCTTGTTTCGCCTAGCAAAATATTTGTGATATTGAAAGCTTTTACCTAGTTTTACGAAGAAGTCTTCTAATTTCATAAAATTTGCTCAGTTTGTTTGATACAAAGGAAACATTAGAAAGAAGAAAAAGTTATTCACCCAGCACAACCTTCATTGCTTTGCTCAAACACCTATAAACCTTCATGCACTTAACACTCTTCATGCCTACATATTATTTATTGGAGATGAAGAAAATTCCACAAGGTTGAGCATTTTTTATGGCTTGAGCCGCCTTTTTGTCTCTTCTACGCAGAATTATTTTCAATAACAACTCCAATCTATTTTGTAGACATTTGTTGGGCATTCTTGTTGCTGTTTCTCATTCTCATTTTTTCATAAAACATAATTATCTGATCTATCGCTAGATGTCGTCCCGCCTGTTATAATACATATATTGCCATGCGTTCAGAGCACTTCTATTCATCCTTGATTAAAATTATTTAGTTTTTAATGAATTTTTTCAGAGTTACTTTCCGTGTTTTTATAAAGGGATTTGTTTATTTTCTATGAAAATATCTTGACAACTGCTTTGTTTCACAGCTTTTTGGAATTGCATATCATCAGTGCAGATGGAACTATAACGACGAAGAAGATGTTAAAGGGTATGTTTTATATTGTATATACGTTTTATATATAAATATATACAACAATTTTAACATCGTTTATGAATATTGAAGAAGCCAATTTTATGTTTATTGAATGACAATTTCTGTTCACTGGTCTTTTTTATAGTGCTCAATGCTATATAAATAGGGCGTAACTTGCTTTGGTGTATAGAACAGAGCAATTCTAGGTTGCAACTTCGAGTTTCGCCCATAATGAGATTGTCAGGCAAATGTTTGTATGTTGACAATTGCTATTTACCTATATGTTTTTGAGTGTTTATTGCCATAAAGGCAGGGCTATGCTTGTTAAAGTTTTAAAGCAGGGTGGTTACTGTTGGTTTCTTGCTTGAAACTATGAAATCAAAACTCGGGAGCTACAAGCTGAAGCCAATTTGTTCATTTGTCCAGCTAGCATGGCAATATTTTCTAATAAACGTCTAATAAACATGTTACGTTGACTTAAATCTTCTATTACCTGCATGCTGGCAAAAAATGTAATATACCGCAATCATTTACGGCATTGCAACCTCACTTAACGAAGCCGTACTCTGTTTTTCTACTAACAATCCATAATCAATGTTTTCCTTGTCTTTCTTTCTACGCAGTAATCCTATTTTTGTCGCGTTTGCCACTTTTCGTTGAAGGGAAACCCCCCTCCCCTCAAAGCTGAGTTTTAAACCTAATGTCCCACCACCATTTTTGTTTTTGATCCTTGTATTTTTATATTTGACTATCATACTGCAATTATTCAATTTTCTAGTGTCGACGCGAATTTTGACACTCATGATATCCCTTATGATGTAATTTGGCTTGATATTGAGCACACAAATGGAAAACAGTAAGTTTGAACATTTGAAGTACCTGTTACCGTCCTTTGTTTTGGAGTTTCCTTTTCTTAATTTATGAGATTTGTTAAAGACGTCCTTATATGATCTTAATTAACTAAGAGTTTCAAAGTTTAGTCGATATAGATATGCTTTATTTGTCTCTATTAGATATATATGTTTTAAGATTGGCCAGGCTTTTTACCAGGGCCCACACCACTGATCTTAAACTGGAGGAACCAGCGATGAAAAGAAAATTTCCTTTTTTCCTCTCTAGCCAAATTTTTGCTGACGCTGTTCTACTTGTGGACTTTGGTTCAATAAATTTGCTGCAATCTACAGGCTTATCTGATTTGAGCTGATTTTATATTTATTTAGCAATAAAGGCCTCCCTGGCCTCCCTGGCCTCTTTGGCGCGGGCCCTGTTTGCTATTTGTCTAATGCTTTTTTTTTTGTATTTGTTTCTACTTAGCATCCGAAAGTAGTTATTTCATTCATTCATTCATTCCAGGTAGCTTCTACATGATCCGTAGGTTGCTAACCATGGTCCTCCAACAAACCCTGTCACTACACCTACTTTTCAGGATACCATAGTTCTGGATGTTAACCCACTCTTTAATATCGTCTTTCCAAGTCCTTCTTTGCCTACCGCTAGATCTTTTTCCTTCAATGTACCCCTCCACGATGTTACAAAAGACTGCTCCACTTGATCCTCTTGCCACATGCCCAAAGAGTGCAGCTTTTCTCTTTGCTATGATGGTAAGAAGCATAGTTATTTAGAACACAGAAAAGCTATGCTTATCGAGCAGTGCCCTGACCTTTCTCTCGATGTAACCACACCTCGTGATACCTATGCCTGGAATTACAGAGAGCTGGCTACTCTCCTCACTCTGGGTGAAGTTTGTTCATGGCAGGGGCTCCCACCACAGACCCTTGGATCTGTAGTTAGCGCCTCTAGCCACTGAGCCATCCTCGATAGCTTTTTGCATGTAAATTTGTAATATGCGCGAATTATTACGAAATCAGCAAAGTCAAAAGCATTGAGCTTGTTAAGATTTTCTACGTTTTTGCCATCAGATATTTGACCTGGGACACGGCAAAGTTTCCAAATCCAAAGGAAATGCAAGACAATCTTGCGACACGTGGCCGAAAGGTAATCCTTTTTGCTCATTTTTTCTAATGTAGTTTTGAATGCTGTTAAGACTTCTAATGAGACATTAAGATAAATGAGACAAGTATTTTATTGATACCAATTAAGACAAATGACAAGAATCAGATTGTGAAATTTAAAGTGTAAAGAGTATGAAAAGTGGACAAATTTGACAGAACTTCAATTAAAAAAGCCACTTAGGAAAGTTCTTAAATGAGGCAAATTATGTTAGGAACTTGAGACCGGATTTGAGAAATCTAAGTGGGTGAAAAAAGCTCCAGTTCTCAAGAATAACGTGGAGCGTTTTTGAGGTGTAAATGTAACCTTACTGTTTAATTTATAGGAAAGCTATGCTAACGGTTATCGAACCAAAGCTTGTCATATTTTGCTCTATTCTTGTATAATTTTTTAAGTGTCCTCTGAAGCTAGCTTAAGACCTGATTTGTTTAGCAACTATCTACCATACACCAGCCTAAGTTGTTGGAATTTAAGCATAGCGTATTCAGTGATAAGGTGTTTTCATTTTTGCAAGATGGTAACAATTGTGGACCCACACATCAAGAGGGACTCTAGTTATCATATTCACTCTGTAAGTATTTGATTATTTCCTAAATTATTCCGAAGAATCCAATCAAGGATAGCCTTGGTTATCGTTGTTGTCGTCTTACTTTGTTTGTGTAGAGCACTTCTCTTCCTGTTCTGACAAACTTTTAAGAATGTTATTTAATTGATATTTTATTTAATTTCTGTTCTACATCTGAACTCCCTTTACTCTTTTCAGCAACAACTCATACTTGCTTAACCAGGAAACTAAATGGTATCTTACTTGTGTTCATCAACTTAGCAGTAGAACCTTTTATATCTTTGAAATGTTTTTATTTTTCCGTGAAGGAAGCAAGTGAGAAAAATCTCTATGTACTGAACAAAGACAAACAGCAATATGAAGGATGGTGTTGGCCAGGTATGTTGTTATCTTTTTCGGCCTTGCTCAGCCTTGTTACGGTGATGTCAAATTTGCTCCAGACGTCAGGTGACAGTTAACACGAAATTTTGAAAAGGTGCCATTTGATATTCGATTGTTGGATGGCAAACCATGCTTGTTGTTTAACTGAGAATTGCAGTTAGAAAGTATCAATTTTGTAGTTATATTTGCCCTAAGAATTTTTCAGAACATCCAGAAAGTTTTATATTTTTTTCATTCATATTTTTCGTGTATTTCATCAACAACAGAAAAATTCAAGTTTAGCATTGATACCAGCTCAAGTTTATTTTGAAAGAGCATGTTGAAAAATCGGTCTTTAAGGGCATGGATTTAAATCATGAATTTTCTATTTATGAATTCAAGAACTCTTGTTTTTAAAATGAAGCTGTTATATCATATAGATTATGATACAAATTTAAATTTTTTACACCTTTATAATGTTACGCACATTTTATACCTGCTTGGTCACCAGGTATTTCGTGTAATTAATGATAACAGAATTATTTTAACATAAAATCGAAGTGCTTGGTAAATCGGTCACTATACCATCTGCCATTGTTGTGTCACTTGGCTTCTCTTGTTTGCAATGAATCTTCTTTTTATGTTATGTTTCAATGACTTCGTTTCTTTTGCCCTAAAGGATCATCTTCGTGGCTAGATTTCTGTAACCCGGAAATCAGAGAGTGGTGGGCAACTCGTTTTGCCTACGACAAATATGAGGTTTCTTTTCATTATTCTTTATCACTTGATAATTTGATAATTTATATAAACCTTTAGCAGTCTAAAAATACGCCAAAGTGCCAAAAAACTTGATTGATTGCATTTTAAGTTATTGTGGGACCTTTCAAAATTTAGTATTAGATGTTCATAGTATTTATTATGTCTTACATTTATTTACTAGTTTGTCAAACGTTTTAGTATATTGCTAGGTTTATAAATTATAGTTCGTGTTAGGTTTTTTTCTTCACCATAGCTAAGGTAACAGTTTTATTTTCGTTTAACATTAACGTATTTAAACATATTTTCTTATCTTTCCCTCATCCCAGGGCTCAACACCAAACCTTTTCACGTGGAATGACATGAATGAGGTTTGTTTACCTCCGTATTTTTTTGTTTCATGAGTCAACCCATATCTGTTATGTCACTACGATCAGACATTCCCTTCTTTACCCCCTGTTTACCCCCGCTTGCATACCCTTGCAGAACAGCTTTGATCTATTAAGCTTGTCGCTTCTTCCAAAACGCCCCTTTAATGTGCCTTCCAATTTGGCCGAAAGCAGTGTTGGTTGCGACAAAACATCTTATGCCACAAACGGCGTAAAACTTCAACAAGAATTGCCCCTTGATCCATTATGAAAAAAATTACAAAAGTGACTGGTTGCTTTACGATTGAATTAAGTTTAAAACTTGGAGTAGCAACTCAGAAACTACACACCGCTGCATTTACAGCTCTGCCTGCGTTCACAAGTTAAATTTAATCTTTGCAACTCCAGTTATTGTAATCATTTGTTCAGTGTCCTTTCTTCTAGTCACGCTTGTAAAATTAGCATGCTCTTACTTCCTCAGCCGTCAGTTTTCAATGGACCAGAAATTACCATGCACAAAGACGCATTGCATTATGGGGATTGGGAGCATCGTGACGTCCATAATATATTTGGTGCATACGTCCACCAAGCAACTATGATGGGCCAAATTCAGCGGAGCGGAGGAAACGAAAGACCTTTTGTTCTTTCAAGGGCCTTCTTTGCTGGCAGTCAGAGATTTGGTATGAGGATGAAATTCTCCCTAATAAAACATCCCAAAGAGTTTTAGATCCGCGTTATAATTAACAACACTTCCTAACACTAAAAGCCTAAGTAACAACACTTCTATTGACCACAGAGTAATTGCATGATTTCATAGAGCCAGGGTAGAGCATGTCAGTGCTGAAGAATTTGTTTGTGACTAAAATACTACGGAAGAGGGTTTAGAAAGAAGCGCAAAGTCTGCTTGATTCTAAAAAAGATGAAATTAACCGTGTTTTTTATTATTTTTGTTAGCGCTGTCCACTTATCTAGGAGATTATTTTTTAAAAATGAAGTAATTTTTTGATAGCTGGGATTTGAAAAGTCCATTCCGAGGACTATAAATTTTGGTACGAGACGTTAAGAAGCTTGTTGCTCAGGACACAAAATGTCTCTTAGAGCCAAGTGAAATTATTAAGCTAGACATTTTTTGGTTTCTTACCATCACTTAGTACCTATTGCAGAAGTGATTGATCGTTAGGTTCCATCTACGTATTGCAGGTCATTTAAATATGTTTAAAAAACTATGTTTCTTGTCAAGGCGCTGTTTGGACCGGCGATAATGCGGCGGAATGGGACCACTTGAAGATATCGATCCCAATGTGCTTGTCAATTGGAATAGCTGGACTTCCGTTCGTTGGAGGTGTGTGTTGTTTCATCATATGTAGCACTATAATTAGCAACCTCTCATATTTTTATTACAAAAAATTGAAATATTTCCAACCAGAGAAAGTGATCTTGAGTTAATGCTATTCGTAGCTATACTTAATCTTGATTTCTTATGAAAATTTTTTTGCCAAAAGATCTGTAAGACATTCCTATTTCTAAGTACATTTTTCTAGACAGTTTTTGAAGATCCTTAAGATTATTTTTGAACAATATGATTTTGACTAGATTTGTATATTATTAAAATCCTTTTGGTTTGCACAATTTTTGTTTTCATTTTTAAAATGAGAATGTATATTTTCAGCTGATGTTGGTGGCTTTTTCGACAACCCAAGCACGGAACTTCTTGTCAGATGGTACCAGGTGAGTCTAAATTTTGGTATTTATAATGAAAGTTTTTGTGTAAGTAAGGATAATTTGATTTTGTTAAATCCCATGATGAGTCAAGATAGGCTGAGATGAAGCAAAGTTAAGATGAGGTAACAAAAGTCTTCAGTGGTTCTCAATAATATTTGTCTACAAAGCAAGATTGTAAAATGTTTTTTCAATAGGCTGGATCGTTCCTTCCATTCTTCCGCGCGCATGCTCACCTTGATACCAAACGGAGAGAGCCATGGCTTTTTGACGACAACACGAAAGCTTTCATCCGAGAGGCAATCAGAAGACGCTATATTCTCTTGCCATACTGGTACACACTGTTCCGTGAGACTTCCATCAATGGATCACCAGTCATTAGGTGAGTGAAATTAGTTCTCAATGGAGGGTCCTTTGAGAATCAGCAACGCTGAAGGACAACCTGCCTTAAATATTTTAAACGAATCAATCATTTCAGTCAATCAATAAATCATTCCAATGAATCACTCAATCACTACAATCAATTATATTTCAATAAAGTTTTAAATTCCAGAGTTCACATAGTTTCTTCTATCACCCAATCCTTTTTTAAACATTTTGAAAATGGCGCGTAATTAGACTCAAAATTTGACTAATTCTCTTAATAAAACGAAGTTGAATCAATTTTTACAGTGCTAATGGAAATTCTCTGCGTTTGTATTTAGGCCTCTTTGGGTGGAATATCCTGACGATAGCAAAACCTTTGACATTGATGATGAATACCTTGTTGGTAAGTTGATCGTATGTCCAATATCAAGTGTTTGTTGCCTACGTGGTTTTTCATAGCACACAATTAGGAAGCTTTCGAACAATCCTAGACCAGAATGGTTAGACTGTAAACTGTAATTTTTCCTTCCCCTAATTTGATTTCATTTTTTCTGGGCTAAGGTTATTTAACATCCTCCTATCCCTGTCTACTGCTGATTTTTTCGGTTTGTTCATGAAAATATTTACCTTGGAAATAATCATTTAGTTTGAGGTTGGAGATCGTTATAGGAGAGAGGTTCACTTTGACTTTTCATTTCGATTGAATTAAAGAGTCAATCGATGCCATTTCTCTCCAAACAGAAAATGTGTAATAGATAACGAGAGTCGAAGTTCCAAACAATGTTTTCCTTTGCCAAACTTATAAATAATCTGATATTAGCTGTGATTTCAACTTTGTTTTGAAACTACATTTACTATCCATCTATAATTTTTCGACTTGTTCGTCATTTTATTTGCAATGAAATGTATTTCAAGTCTTGAACAAGAGGCAAATATTGTAGATCACCAAAAGCCTTTATCTCATATCCTTCCCGTTGCATTCAGAATTTCGATGCATTTCTGTAAACCTTCCCTTCAGCTCATAAATTCGTTAATCTAAAACATACTTAACCAATAACTTTGTAACACAGGCAAAGATTTGCTGGTCAAACCAGTAACTGCAGCCGGACAAACGAGTGTGGATGTTTACTTTCCAGGTGGAGAAAAAGAGGTCAGTGTAAAAGCAACATGTACTGATAAAATTCGTGTAATATCTTAGCTTTTACAATTTTATTTACCTTATTATCAGTTTCTTTCATACAGGAACATATGTTGATAGGAGTATATAATTGTACTGAAAAGGCTTATCCAGTATAAATATGTTTTATTATTATTACTGAGATTCTCATTAGTTACATTTTACAATAGCCTATTGTTGTTTGAAGAGAATTCACTTAGTCCAATTTCTTGATCTTGCCCTATAATTTAAACACTTGATCTGTTTTGAACATGAAAGATTTTCGTATGAGATTTTTCCACCGTCCGTGTACAATTCAATTCTATCAGTAACATTTCTGCTACAAAAATGGTTTTATTTTCGAATCTCTGATACAAGAGGCTGTTATCTTTAGAGCACACGCCTGATCATCCTTTCGTTTGTTTCATCCCGTCGTATTTTTTTTGACAAAAAAGTTACATCTTTCTTTTCAACTTGCATTTTTAGCTTTGGTTTGACGTTGAAGACTTTTCAACTGTTTACAATGGCGGACAGCAAGTCAATGTAGCTGCTCCCCTTCATAAGGTAAGGATTGGCATAACATATGCTAAAATTGTATCTTACATCTTACAAGTATAATAAAAAGTACCTTATAGCTGAATAGCTATAGAATGGTTACCTTGAAATTGTCCTTGTGTTTTCTTCTTTTCCTTCTTTAATTTAAAGCTGTAGCTATCATGCCATTATGCTTGCAAGTGTATTAGTTTTAACTTTGCATCCGGTGATTTAGACGCTCATTTGTTGATAGATTATATCTTTCCATCCTTACCCCCTTAAGAGTTTATGAGTTTATGAACTTAAGAGTTTATGAAGCACTTGGCTTTTGATGCAAACCCCTCTGCTTTAAGCTTTTTAATACTACAATACATATTACAAATATCAGTTAAATTTTTAACAGAACTTTCAATTCAGAAATTAGATCTGATTTTCTCTACTCTGAACTATATTCCGAGTAATTATTTTGGGCTTACCGTGTTAAACAAGCAAGCAAAGTTAGAAATTAATCAACACATCACTTTAAGACAGATTAAGAGTGAGATTGGCCTGCTATTTAGTGTGAAAGAGTTAAGCTTTCTTACATCTTGTATTTTGTTTGATCGTCTGCTAGCTGCCTTCCTCCGAACCTCTTGACATATTTTGCAGTCATGATACTTTTTTTAAATGAATTTGTTTGTTATAGATTCCCGTGTTCCAAAGAGGTGGAAGCATTATTCCACGCAAGGAGCGTGTCCGCAGGTCATCTTCGCTCACGCATAGAGACCCATACACGCTGTTGGTGACACTAAACTCTTCGGTTCGTTTTGCTAATGTATTTGACTAGCCCGCTGTTTTCTCATATTTGGCTCCGTTTAGCCTTTAAAATAGTGCAAAACGATGCCACTTCTTATCATTAGATTTTTTTTTATTTTTCAGTAATGTGCCTAAATAGCTCTTCAATGATTCGGAAAACCCCGCCACCCCCTGCCACTCCCCTGCCATCCCCCCCAACCTTAAAAAAGTCTAGCCAACCTACTTATGTAAGGTTACTTTGTCTGAATGTTTTTCACCTTAGGTCTTCTCAATCGCCTTTAATAAATCCTATATCCTTTTCTAAATCGCGATTCGTTCCTTGCAATAATTTCTTATAACAATCTTTGTTTATTTTTGTATTTTTTTATTAGACTTTTCCTCAATAAGACTTTTCCTCAATAAGTTACTAGTAACGAGAAGCCTTCACTACAAGAGAAACACCGATATCATAGGAAAATAGCAATTAGTTAATTTCAATTCTTTTCATACCTTTGCCGACTGTGTGATGAAATTACTAATATTTTTTTGTTTTGCATATTTTAGATGGAAGCCTATGGAGAGCTGTATGTTGACGATGGGCACAGTTTTGAATACAAGAATGGAAAATATATCATGATGAAATTTCAAATGACTGGATCAAATTTCATTGCTTGGTAAGATACGTAAAGTTTTAAGTTGATGAAACTTTTCACCATGCACCCTTTATATCAAAAGTGTGTTTTGTCTAATCCAATGCATTATATTCATCGGCCAAATATGCTGGGGGGTATGGTCTTTCCTCAAACTTTTTCCACTTAGCAACTATGGTTCTTCATGTATACTCGATTGTCATATACTTTGTTATTGATTAACATCTTTCAAATTTTGCCTGTTGGTTGAGACATTTTCTCCAGTAAAATGGTGCTTATAAAGATCATACCATATCTGCTTCAAGCATCAAAGGGCCTTATAGCAGAACTTATTAAAAGATTTTGGGTATTGTTGTTGCATGAGCTTTTTTATGCATCGTGTATTTCATTTTTTTATTTTCCCCGTGGAACATTACCTAAAGACCGACCTAACCTTTTTTCACGCGCATGCTGCGACCGAGCATATTAGTGGACATTTTGAGATCGCTAGGTCGCAGAGAAACAAGTTTTGGCGCTCTTTCGTAGCAGGCTGTGATGCGAAGAGACAGTCATATCAGATATTGCATAGCACGCGAGCGAACAAAAAAAAGTGAGGTAGAGGTCGGTCCTTGAAACTGCATCATGCACCATTCTAACCGGACTGAGTTGAACAACATGGATTCTTTAACTGCTTACGACATTTTTGGCCCTTCTACTGCAGTGACAAAGGTTATGGACTCGAACCCAGCCTTGAAAAGCTTCATATCTCGCTTTCTTTTTTCCTAGAGGCATATAGGTATTCGCTATAACAATGGAGATTAAAGACCGTGAGGCAAAGAACTGGCTAGACTTACGCCGTGAGCCTCTGTTTCGTTACTGCCTCTCTACGAACGTCTGTTGTAGCGTCCTAAAAGCGAGGCAGTAGCGAAACAGAGGCCCATGAAGTAAGTCTAGAAACTAGCTGCCCTACCTTGACCGGCTGTTTGCCTAAGGACTTGATTTTGACTGAAGACATTGTAATCGCAACAAAGTACGTTTTCATCGTAGGCATGATCATTCGAGCTTCGAAACGAAAGCATGGATAGAACGAATTGTCATTCTCGGTGTTACCAAACCCTTCAAATCAGCCACCCTAATGGCAGTCAGTAAGTAATATGTATATTTCTTCTCACATGGCATGGAAAGTATCATAAAAGAGCCATCAAAATAGATATTTGTCACAAAGTTATTTTATGTTAGTTCATGTGTTTTCACTATTGATTTTGTGTTTTTGCAAAAAGTAAACAGTGTTAATAAAAGGTTTTCGTTTAATTTGCAACATATTCTGAATCATAAAGAATAAAAGCTTTTTTACTTTCCTCACTTACTGTTGGAAGGTGTCAGTCTTGTACTTTTTCCTTACCAGCCTCATAAACTTTCCTCTTATCTTCAACAGATCAAATGAAAAAACTTGACGTTGGCTACATCGCTCAGAAGAAAATCTTTGTCATCAAGAAACCAGAGATTAATATTGGCAATGACTTTTCAATTGTTTTCGATTAGCTGAACTCAACAAATTATTATTGACTCCGTAAAAGGACAATCCGAAGATAATATTTTAATTGTTGGTCAAAAGATGTATTTGGTTGTCCAGTTCACAAGAACTCTGGCACCTCCTCTTTCAAGCATAGGATCTGTTGCATAATAGTGTCATTTTGCGTTTCCGATCCCAAACATGTTCTCGATGTCTCTTTAGGCTCAATAATCTGTTACTGAACAATCAGAAGTTAGATAAGAGGCAAAAGGCCCAACTAGATTTGAAAATTGCCAGAACTGCTGAAATTCTATCTACACCTACCCCCCTTCCCCCATCCTCCTCCAAAGGTTGTCACTACATTCTCAAGAAAGTCAGAAGAAAGCGTGCGTGAGATTACGATGTTGGTTACTCTTATCAGTTTCAACCACCTCGGTTGTAGCGTTTTTAATTTGCCTTTCAAAAGAGTTTCCTTCTAGATCTCTCTTGAGTTCAGTTGTTTTCGTTCTTGTTCAAGTCACTGATTTTTCATTTGTAAGATCGTACACTTGTCCCTGCTGTGAAACAGTCTTGTCAACGCCATGTTTTGTCTGCACCAATCTATGTTTCTTTTATGTTAGCGTTAATGAACTAAAAGCAATTTGAAAATGCTTAAACGAATAAAAAATTTTAATAGATCGATCATGAAATTTCTTTGATGTTTTAAATTGTAGCACTGAAAACTGATGAAATGCATTAAGTGACCATTTGGTATTTCCATCTTTACTATCTTCCATTCTCTGTGGGTTAGTGTGCGAAACTCTTGAAGGCTACAGCATGATTTGCAATAATATGTACTTGGCATTTTGCAATTTGAGAATGTGTGGCATCGGGTTTTCGTCTGGATCTCTCTATACGGCATTATTTCGGCTTTAAACAGTCTTTTAATTTTTATACTTAAAAAGGTAATAGGGGGGACCCCAACCTTCATTAGAAATAGCTATGTCTTTGTCTGCTCGACTCCGTGTGTCGTATATGATATAATTTGATTACGGTATCTCCCCCAATCGTAGCTTAGTAGGAAATTTTAGCAAAATCTCTTCAGTGGAAGAAAAATTGTTCGGTAATTGTAAGACCTTCGCGTCTTGAAGTCAATAAGAAATCAGGCAATGGTAGTTGCTTCTGTGGTTACATATGATATTCCGCTAAGGTAAACAAACCTATGCTTTAATGATCTCGAGATCCTTTTAAAAAGATCTCCAGTTCTTTTTTACATGCAAATGAGAAAAGGGGTCAATTGACGATTGGTTACCTGGCTTCACAAGTAACGTAACAACATTGTTTTTTCAAGATCATGGCAAAACTCTACCAGTTGTTTTTTCTGCGGCACAAATCTTTTGCAAAAACTCGAGAATTTTCAATATGATTAGATAAATAAAAAACTACCTTTGCAGTACAATTTCCAGGGATTTATTAGGCGATTGCTTGTAGTTGTTTGGTGAAAAGTTATTTGTTGACAGTATTGATCAGGTAACGAAAGAATGGTCGCTTTTAATAAAACCACCTTAAAAGATCGAAGGCCTTTCACGAGACATTACTACATAGCTTGCAACCTTCTCAATTTCATCAGGACAGTCCTGTATCCTGACTTTTTCCCGAACACCCGAACCCAATCTGAAGAAAATTCATCAAACTATGTTGCATAAGCTAAAATATATAACAACGACACCAAAAAATCGATAAAAACCAAAAATAGCATTTATTAGCATTTTAAACTCGACAGGGGGAACTTTTATCCCTACTTACCGCAATGTAGAGTTCGAGCTTTCGCATGCCTTGCGGTCAGGACCCGAACAGGACTCAGTCAAATTACATTTTTTTTTGAGAATGAGTCTTTGGGTCCAAGCATTTCGACACTTTATGCTAAGTATGTCGAAGACTGCTGTAAGAAACGAATCCTCACCTCAGAGCTCGTAAAGTTGAAGAGCTTTTTCAACGTCCCGAAAACTGCCCAGCACTAGGTATGCCAACTATAAATCCCGATCTTTGGACTCAGTTGCCCAAATATCAGAAGGAGCACGTTAAACGACTCCAATCCGCCCAAGGTTAGCTAGCCAAGAGCTTAACAGGGGTTATCGGGGTGAAAGAAACTCTCCTACAATTCAACACCTATCCGGATGAACTCCCAAGTTTGTTCAAGGAGCTGAACGAAAAACTTGATGCCTGCGTTGCTATTCTGAGCAATGCTCACCTTGAAACATCATCTCGGCGAAGAGACATATTGAAATCGGCATTAAACCTTAGATTTCACTCTTTTTGCAGCACAAAAACCCCAACAACTAATTACCTTTTCGGGGACAATATCCTCGATGCAGGCAAGGAAATTTCATTTACTCAAAAAATGGCAAGGTCAATCGCTCCCTCACGCTCCTCTTCCGCATCGACTTCACGTTCGCCTTACCGAAACTCAAGCCATCAATTCACCCGCCCTCACCAACCTTCCACCAGTCATTTAAACTACCGAGGCGAAACGGACAATTCATGGAAATCCCGACAACAGAACCGACAAATGGCAACAAACTAGCAATATCCAACTTTTCCCAAGAAGAATCACCAGAAGTAACAAAAGAACCACGGGTAACTGGTACAACTAAATGTTATCTTAAAAATTGGCACACACTTACTAATAATCAAATCGTTCTAAACCTCGTAAGAGGCATTCGCATTGATTTTTTTCAGGTTCTCGTCAAAATTTCATCCCTAAACCAATTCAGTTTGGTGAAGATGAACTTAACTGCATCGATAATGAAATTCAAATCTTATTTCGCAAAGAGGCTATCATTCCCATTTATCCAGACGCGTCTCAATTTTTATCCAATATTTTTACGAGACCTGAGAAGTCTGGAGGATTGGGCACTATCATCAATTTAAAAAGGCTGAACAAACATGTAAAGAAAGTTCATTTCAAGATGGAACATATTCCCACATATTTACCCTTGCCAAAACGCAACGCATTTATGACTTCAATCGATTTACAAGATGTATATTTTTCTTCACCTATTGTGGAACTATGTCGCAAATACCTACGTTTTATGTGGCGAGCCACTTTGTACGAATATCAATGCCTTTGCTCAGCTCCCTATTATTTTACCAAAGTTATGAAGCCGATTTTCTCTAAATTTTGGCGTGAAGGTATCTATTGTACCCATTATATACATAGGTGATAGCTTATACCTTCAAACTTCGGAAATGAAACTTGTAGAAGATACAAACCGAGCCAAAAATCTTCTTTAAAGTCATGGCTTCAGAATCAATTATGAGAAATCGTCTCTTACACCATCAAAAAACAACACCCATTCAGGTTTTGTTATCGATTCTGAAACATATACAGTCAGTCTCCCTGACGAAAAAGTTGTAAGAATAGGACAAGCTTGCAAAGAATTACTTGATGCCCAGTTAGCCAATTCGCCAAAGTGCTTGGCCTGCTTGTTTCATCTCTTTTAGCCGTTCATTACGCCCAACTGCATGCTAGTTACCTAGAAATCTATAAAAAGCTTAAAACTTTTGGGTCATTAAGATGACCACATTCAAACCAAAAAGCACGCCATTCAAACCAAAAAGCACGTATTTTGGTCGACCGATGCTCGTCCGTGCCCGTAGGCATGATCAGTTAATGCCAGCTATGGGCCGCCTATGAGCCTTAGGCCATGAGCAAAAATCAGCTAAATATCTTATTCCTATCTTCAAAAGTTCAAAATGTGAATCCAAACACATTTTTAGCTATTCGGATATTGATAATTGTATTTAGCTGGAAAGAAAGTTTTCGAGGACATGAGAAATCTCTTTAAAGAAAGCTTCATTTTATAGAATAATGTCCCAAATGTACTAAATTGCTAACATTCTATCCTTAGTTTATAGTTCTTTTGTTGATTTTTCAAGTAAATGTTTTGCATAAACCGTGTTTCATTCTCTCCTCCATCTTCATCTCCTCCATATTTTTCCCCTCCATCTTATATTGCTTACGTGTGTGTGAATAAAGGAAATGCCACAACAGCAGGCTGCTCGACGGACTCCGATGGAATTCTTGCGGCGAAAAATAGATAAAAAGTAGCTAGTAAATAACGCGACGAGAATGAACAACAACAAACGGACTAAGTCAGTTATGGCTAATATTTCACACCGGCATACGGAGTTTCATCAGAGCAAAAGTGTTATTCGACTTACTTTAAAAGCTGAGAAAATTTTCATAACGAAGTACACTGAAAAGGTTATTCTAAAATTTTGCAAGCCCTTTCCTATCTCAATGCTACAATAGACCAAATTATGGGACATATTGATGAAACAAAGTTTGAAAATATTGTCACAGGCTTTCCTCTAGCAAAAATCAATTTTAGATGTAGTTTCTGACCATCCTCAGATACCATATTTCCAAAATATATTTTGTCGCCAACCATGGTGGCGGTCTTTCAAAACTTTGATATTTTGGCCCATCCAGTGGCGAAGCCAAAGGTCGTGCCTGTCGTGCCCGGCACGACCATAAACTTCCAAAAGTAAGGTTTTCACATATTGGCAAAAATTTATTTTGCTCCGCGAAAATGTTTCAAATATAGACAAAAATTAGTCGTATAATCGACAAATCGATCAAGCTTATCACGCAGACATAAGTGAATTCTATTTCGTCATCGGTCCCAGCTCCCTACAGAGCTGCACGAGATAGTGTGCCGCAGTGCATGTGAACCAGTTGTGTGCAAATGCTTGTGTTGCCAGCTGTGTGTAATTACAATTTGTGGTTGCTTTAACGAGTTTTTGCAGAGCCTACGTTTCCCGACAAACTTTCTGGAATTTAATCTGCTCAACTGTTTGGTTTATCTTAGCCAGATAAGTATTTCATATATCTTCATTATCATTTCATTATCTCATAGATGTCTGCTGAAAACAGCGAAATACGGGACTTGGCAGCTAGTCAAGCTTCCATTTCCGAGACCATTTTATCTAGGCCTGTTATGCCAGAACATTTAAGGGGCACTTCTGATCAACCTCTTAATACTGATCTACTTTTTGTTCTACAGAAAATGAACGACACAATCGTCTCATCCAATCAATTACTTTCCAAGTTTGTCAAAAACTATCCTAAACGTCGTTCAGATCACAGGCCCTCAGACTCTGATTTTGACTCTGATTGTGGCGAGTTTGAAGAACCTCCCAGAAAACGAAAATTACTTGCCACGGCCACTGTGTCTGTAGCGCCAAATAGGCAACAAAATATTTCAGATGTGCCTACCGATAGTCCTGCACGCTCACCCGCCCCTTCTACAGCCGGGCATTTGCATGAGACTCGTCCTTCAGCAGACGATGCAGTGAGTCTCTTTGGTGAGCAAGACATTGACGAAGGAGTCAATGACATTGAAACCCTCATCTCTCAAGATGAATTCTTAAATGAGGTAGAGAATGCTGTTGCTACAGCAAAACCAAAAGGTCCACCAATTTCCGAACATCTGGCAAAGATTCTCAATGACAAATTTCATATTGAGCTTGAGGCCTCGCAGCGCAAAACTCTTCTCGAAAAGTATTCAGTGCCAGAAAACTGCACGGGCCTATATCGCCCGCGAGTTAATCACGAAATCTGGAATTGTTTGAGCGCCAATTCTAAAGTAATTGACAAAAACATGAGTTTATTGCAAGATGCACTATTGACAGCCTCGAGTGCTGTTGCCATGTCCATTGAGGACATACTTAAGTATCGCGAGACAAAAAAGGACCTTGAT